ATATGTCTTCATCGGAATAATACCTCATATATTGGTTTAGCACATAATGTTTTGATTTACCAGATAATTTTAACATCACAAAAAAGCTACGTTGAGAATAAGTAAAGTGAGTTACTTGTATAGTATTTTTAAACAATTTTAAAATAACCTGAAGTCACTGAAAACTTCGAGCGCTTTTAGTCAAATACTTTTAAATATTCGTGCCAAATTTCGTCAGCAGTAACTGGCATGTGCTGAGCTCAAAATATACCCGAAACTTCAAGATCGTCAAGTCAATTGTAAAGCAAGGCGCATCAATGAACTCTTGACACAAATTGGATCGAGATTCAAACCAGGACAAAACTCATTTTCGTTCAAATTTAACTAAGATTTAAGTAAATAAAGTGTTAGACAAAATTAAAGCTCTAACGGTTTAAAACGCGATATATTAGTTAAACTTATTTGAAAATGATTTTTAACTTCAGCCCGACGTTTCGGATGCTTTGCAGCAGCCGTGGTCACGGGGAGATAAGTTTAACTAATATATCGCGTTTTAAACCGTTAAAGTGTTTTATTTAAATGTGTACTACTCGCGTAAACTATAGACAGTATTTAAAATTAAAGCTATTAGGGTTTCCGAGCTATTCCATTTCTCATTGAGAAATGGTTAAATTAGTACTATTTAAATAAAACATTTCTAACGGTTTCAACACGAAATATATTAGTTAACTTAATCAAATTATAATGCAATTGTTGGAGCACCTACAAAAACGTGATCATCCATACTTGAACAACTGACGAGAAAGTGCTATGACTTTTGGATAAAACGACTACGATCACGCCTTTAGATACGGATTTGCCCACCAAGTCGTCATGTTATGCAACGAGGGAAAGGTTACGAAGTAAGAACTGTAGGAAAAATATATATCTATAATAATATTATAAAGCTGAACAGCTTTGACGCGCTAATCTCAGAAATTACTAGTCCGATGTATTTCTTTTTGTATTGGATTAGACCATTTGTCGAGGAATGTAGTAGGCTATATAAAAGCACGCTGCGACTATTATGTGGGAAGAAACAGTGGAAAATATGGATAAAGCGGATAAAATGATTTTCCCTTTAAGGGCTCCCGTCGCCTGCGCTGCGTAAACGGAACTTTAAATTATTTACATAAAGTCCGCGAAAGTTCACGTGTGACTCGCAAGAACTGTTTAAATTTAACAATTTATAGCCTAACAAAGATAGCCCAAGAAATATCGAATCATTGAATAGTTAAAAGAAAGGAATATAATTAAGTAAATACATTAAACAAAAAGTTTATTTACAGTTTTTTGAATTTGTGGGGGGAGTATAAGTTTGCAATAAAAGCTTAAATAACGTCATAGTACCTTCATAGTAATGAGTTAATAGCTATTTTAAGAAGAACACTTAACTCAGCAGTACTTACAATTATAAAAAAATAGGTAAAATATAATCTGTATAACTATATAGATATTTTTGTATAGAATAAGTCCTGTAGTGTTTATAACTGGTAAAGTTAAATATAAATAAATAGTTAATAAATTTCGACACTTTCTACGCATACCTTGACAGTCGTCTGCCCCGTATCGTGTTTAAGATTAATTAATTGTATAATGAGTTCTCGAAACCTTGAAATGCGCGTGCGCATGCTTTGGTGTTTTGCATGTTTTACGAAAGAAATATGATGATTTTTTTTTAATATTATCATCATCATCATTGCGTATAGTTCTCATCTTTAATTATAATAAATGTTATACAAAAAGCCTGGCGGCAATACAAAGGTATTAGATACAACTGGGCGTTTTCGTCTAAACAGACATTTTACATTGATGGGAGTCATTGAGTCCCGACTGTGAAGAGACAAGCATCCATTTACTCACTGAATACTCTGTATACTCGAAATTAAATGGATAACCCAATGACCTCCACAGGTGGAAGGTAAACCGGTGAAATGGTAAGCAGATGATGTCAATTGATCCCCCGTTCTTCTATCAGTGTTCCCAACAGAAAATTACAATAATAATAAGGTATGTACTATTGTCTAAGTTTACCGCACTTCTTCGTAACAGATGAAGTAACGGCATCGATAGTTATGCAAATATCGTAACTCGGGCCACATCGGGAACCGGTATTCTAGACCGGATGTGTTTTTTGCCGCAAGAAAGAGTTCTGTTTTAAAGCGTGCTGTTTTTGCCTTTCAAACTGGATTTGAACGCTTAATGGCCCTTACAAAACACGAGTAATATAGTAGTAGGTCAGTGCAGTCATAATAATACTGAGTACAGTTACTGCGCGTTTCCTTTTGTAAAAACAAGTTTATCTTTTTAATTTTAAACGTATTATGTTTCCTTGACTGTATTATTGTATGTGTAAAAATCACTTCCAAGATTTAAGGACCTCTTGTTGATACGGAATAGAAAGACAAAAAAAACAGCTGCAGTAGTAGTTTTAGAGGAGAAATTCTTTAAAAAAACTGTACCCCTTATCATACTTATGTAGTTTTAGTAGGGGCATAGGGGCGGACACATTTCGGCGTCTGTTTCACTGATCGGTTTATTATATTTATACAGACAAGTAGCTTCTGTCTCCCGCCCGACCGAAACAATCTATTGTTTCCCCGGGACTCGAACCCAGGACCTCTCGCGCACGCAACGCTAGGCTCATCATTTAACCATTTAGCTAGAGAGTTAGTCACGTTATTAGGCTATGACATTTTTATAACCACGGAATTTATCTAAAATCGCCGCGAGCGCAAATACGGAACCCTAAAATTTACGGGTATCATCACGCACGAAGTGAGAGAAATCGTGAAATGCATTGAATCGAATGCTGGCGATCGATGCGCATAAACCGAAGCAAATTACTTGCTGCGAATAGCTACAGGTGAAATTTGATAAATTGCTGTTTCTTTTTATTAGAAATGATGTATAAAGGTAGCTCTTTAGACTGCGCAAGAGTGGGGTTACTTTGTTAACGTACAAATTACGAGTAAATTATTTTGCTGTCTCTCGCTTCAACTCATTAAGTTCTATTCAAAAAAATCAAGTACCAATTACACTAGACTAACCACATTTACCGAATTGAATGGCCGAATTTCGTACTCGTTCAGAAAAAAGGCATTTAAAACATTATTTGACCTACATTACCACATAAAAGATAAGCTCTCATTTTTCATGTTAGGTTGAATGTGAACAATTTATATTTACAGGTAGTAATTACGAATGTTCATTCGCTAAATTACTGCATTAAATAAAACCAGTCAAAGACCAAAATCTATTATGCAATTACTAAACTAAGATTCGGTCATAAGAAATTCGAAAGTACTGTAAAATTTTTTTTATAGAGTTTACTCAATTATCTTAAATTGTATTCTGATTTAGGAGTGAAATGAAATACTTATGGAAAATATAGAGAGAAAAAAACCTAGCTACATTTGTTTATTGATGCCGATTTATATGTCCCAATTTTAAAACACGTTTTCTCTACTTAGGAGGTATTCATGGAGAACAGACATATTTATGTGTCTGTTCTTTATTACTAGTAGATAAGTAATTGGCCACACTGCGCTGAATCTTATAAGTACTCCTCCTAACTCAGTGTGTTTAGTGGTGCTATAATCAACTTATGTATGAATAATTATTTCTATTTGCCAAGTTTTAATCACACACGCAAGGTCACCATGATATAATATGGCTTCTTTATTATGCCTCATGGAAGCTTAAGTAGAGAGGTAACTGTATTCTTAAACTGCTACCGAATATAAAACCTGTTTGCTGTTTTGGTATTTATTGATCTTGTCCTTAACGATGGTCAATGGTGGATCTGAGATCATATGCACCTCATATTTATAAATAATCTATGATGTAAGATGGTAGGTGTACATATATAAAGGTAGATTTGTATTATAATTATCTAGAGAATTTAATTGGTTTGTATATATACATATAAATTTCCCGTAAACCGTTAATATTACCTTTAGGGAATTTCTGCAAAATTCATCATATCTACTTTTTATTTGTTTTTATCCTAAAACTTTTGGATAATTGAGTAATAATATCTTAAATCTAAAAGGAACAGTGTGCATTTTTTTTACACATGTAGTGGCTGACAGATATAGCAAGGGAGTGAAAAACCATGGTGATATTGCTATAAATTAGGTTGGCTGTTAATTTTGGATCATAATTTTCATGTATTCATATACGAAATATACTTAATGTTGATTTCATTGAAGAAATAAAAAAATATCTTTTTTTCTAAGAATTTTTGAAGGAGTCTTTAAGAAATCTATTAATTTAAATAACCAATGTTTTGACACATTCCATGAAGAAAGCTAGTCAAACATGTTATTTTCATCAAACCAATTTTTAATTACCACAATTGAAAACTATCAATGCATATGCCCATACCATAGAAATTATTATGTTTTATAGACATAGTTTAGTTTTGAAATATACATTTTTTAAAAAAAACACTTTAACGGTTTAAAACCCGATTTTTTTTTTTAAATTTTTTTGAAAATTTTTTTTTTTTCCCCCCCCCCCCTCCTTTTTTTTTTCCCCCCCCCCTCTTTTTTCGGGTTTCACGGGGGCAGGGAGTCTCCCCGTGACCACGGCTGCTGCAAAACAACCCAAACCCCCCGCCGAAGTTTAAAATCATTTTCTTTTTACCAGCAACGCTAAACATCGCGTTTAAACCTAAAGTGTTTTATTAAATATGTACCACTCGCGTAAAAAATAGAAGTATATACATTTAAAAAAACCTAAGTAACGCTAAACTTCTTTAAATGCAGTCATTCATTAATATGTACCAGTTGTGTCCAAAAAAATATCAGATTCAAAAGATAGTAAAAAGGCTCATAACAAAAAAATATGAGACCACCATATAAACAGGCTTGATTTGATATTAAATAAGAAGTTTATACTGCGACTATAAAGACACTAATGTCAACTGCAGTTTGTATAGGAGCATGCTTTTTAAGTACTTTTTGTTAAAAAATAAATTACTCACCAGCCCTCGGTGATATTGGAACAGCTGGTTTGGGTGCTGCATTTGAACACAACCTCCCTATCTTCGAAGGTGGTTTAAGACCAGACGGCTTAGAAAATGTTGTTGGTCTAGTTGCTGTTGACGCTGTTGTGCTTACTGTGGAAGCTGCTTCTGATGAAGTTGACGACCGAGTTGGTGCCGACTCCATCTCATTGTTATCACTCATCCTTGTGTCACTTTTATCACTTTAATATGTTTTCCGCATCTTTAACGTAAGACCTAAGCACTGAGATAATAATCAATCTGTTAGAGCGACCGAAACATTGAAAACGCGACGCGACTCATAAACTAAAAATATCTCAGTTCCCGCGCACTTTGAGGACGTGTAATCTGGATCACGGCCATGATACAAAAGCAAATAAACTATATTTACATTCTAAAATTATCGCTTATATATCGCTTAATAATTCTTTAGTGACAAAAATTACTGAATAATGGTTTTTAAGCTTCATCGTCACAAGTTTAACATCGTCGCAGTAAGACGATTAATAATTGTGTTTATTCAAACATGTAGAAACCGGTGAAGCTTAAAAAGTGTATAGGGTACCTTTTTGTAAGAAAAGAGATCGCAAAATTTTACCGCTCCATGCACCAGCTGAGCTTGACGTTAGATACGTTATCACTATCACTGCACAAAACACATTTTACACGAAAAAACACTATAAAGTAAGAGTTCACCAGTCTCAACCGTTTTTTCTGTAAATAAGGAACACTACAGAGTTAAATTCGATACAATCACATTTACCGCTACGAGATTACGCGACGAAAAAACAATAATTACCTACAACACCATTGAACATTAGAACTTACAAGTAGGTACATCTTGACATTCTAACGAATAACGATATTTTTCTTCACCATAGACTTTAATTTCTATGCTCTATGCCTGATACAACGTCATTCGTCTAACTTTTGACATAACTTTTCCACAATGACACATGACATTTCACTTAAAATGTCAATTAAATTTTTGACAAAGTATAATACAATATTGCAATGTGTACAATATTTATTATAAAACTCACGAACAAAATGATAACATATTCTCTCATCTAATTGTTGCAAAAAGTCTAAAATGAAGTTAGTTTTTAAAAATATAGACAAAGATGGGAGCGGGTACGTATTGTTCTTCGTATCTATCGTATACTGCGTAAATATTATCATGCCTTTAATATTTTTTCAGGAGCATCGGTCTTATACCGGAGGAATCTGAAGATATGTGGCACGCTTACAACCTTATCGCAGAAGGGGATTCGGTCACAGCATCAACAGTACGCAAAGTTCAGAATGAATCTTCTACTGGATCCTCAACAAGTAGCAGAGTACGGACCACTCTTACTATTTCTGTTGAAAACATAGACTTTGATACACAGGCGTGTGTTTTACGCTTAAAAGGCCGGAATATTGTTGAGAATCAGTATGTTAAGGTATGAATACTTTAATGGTTTAGAGACTAGTGCATTGAAATAATTTACTGCAGTATGAATGCTCTCACGATGGTGTGATTTGCAGAGATTCTTTTTATATTATATTAGTAACAAACTAAAGTTAAAGAGCTATTTTAGTACTACTGACTGCCCAGGCAGAAATATTGCAGTGCCTCTTCTAATCTGTGCCCTGGGTGATTTACAAGGTTTTTTTTTTACTGTCGGAAAATACCTCCTTGGGTATGGCTCTGTAAGCTGACAAATCTAATGACTGCTCAAGCGGCAGCCCCAATGTGGAAGCCAGCTAGTCTTGCCTCCTAGGCCTAAATGCTATGCTAACACACCCAGGTGGACACGGACCAAATGCTGTCCCCCCGTACCCCACAGGGTACCAGGGGTGATTTACAACCTGCTCTGAGATTAGAGTTAGCACTTTAGTAACAGTGCTAAATAGTACACACCAATTAACAAAGGTTGAGTTATTGATTGGTGTGTACTATTTAGATTTTAATAAAAGTTTAGCATTATAGTTTAGACTATTGTTGTTGATATTTCAGATGGGGGCGTACCATACCTTGGATCTAGAGCTAAATAGAAAGTTTACACTAAGAAAGGTACTTTGGGACTCTGTAGCTTTAGAAAGAGTGGATATGGCCTGTGATCCAGCAAGTTCAGCTGATGTTGCTGCAGTTGTAATGCAAGAGGGATTAGCACATGTTTGTCTCATAACCCCATCTATGACATTAGTCAGGTCTAAGATAGATATTACTATACCGAGGAAACGAAAAGGATTTGTGCAACAACATGAAAAGGTTCTATTTGCATTTATACTAAGCAGTTATTTATTGATTTATCAAAACTACAGCCTAATGAAACAAACATATTGTTTACCTATAAGTAACAGAAGCTCTTGAAGTTTTTTAATGTAACGAAAAGCTATTTTTATTTTTAGTTGTATTTATAAATTTGAAGGCAGGAGGTTTTTATAAATAAAATAAAGTTATTTAAAATATTTTTCATCTCTCCTATAAGATAATGAATTAAATAAACAATTTAATATTAAGAATTATCTTTACAGGGTTTGATGAAATTCTATGAAGCAGTAATGCAAGGAATCCTACGGCATATAGATTTCAGTGTTGTGAAGTGTATAATTGTGGCATCACCAGGTTTTGTGAAGGACCAGTTTTTTGATTACATGATGCAACAGGCTATTAAGACAGATAATAAACTTTTGATGGAGAACAAATCAAAATTCCTGTTAGTTAAGGCATCATCTGGATTTAAGCATTCACTAAAAGGTGATTAATATATGATCAGTAGTAAGTGGAGTGTATTTACCAAAACAAGTTAATGGTAAATCTTGTTGCCCATTTGTTGCTACGTATATATGGCCTGGTATTCCATAATCCTGACAATCCAAATTCTAATACAGAATCTTATCCATTTAAGAAATAATCTCTATATTAACTTGTTTCTGTGAATTGTGGATCTCATTTTTTGGTTATCCCATTCCCCACAAGAATTAGCATTGTTTGCACATTAGGCATGGCATCAGAAAAATATATTTTTAATTACTAAATCAATTTTATTTGCCTAATGCCTATTAAATTATTTAGTATTTGCACAAGATTCAAAGTCAGAGTAAGCTTGATTTTCACTAGAATGACTCAGCTGGGTATAATCAGTAGTAATGTCTAAGGCCCAAAGTATATGTTGTAGAATTTTCAAATATGTAATTATTTTTAGCTTATGTTGACTTTTCATTACTTCATTATAGAATATAGATTATAATTTTTAAAACATATGTTGTGGATATAGACAGGATTTAATAATGAAGCTTTATTTCTGATTTTAGAGGTTCTCCAAGAGCCGTCAGTAATAGCTAAGATATCTGACACAAAGGCAGCAAGTGAAGTAAAACTTTTAGAAAGTTTCTACACCATGTTGCAACTGGAGCCCGCAAAAGCCTTCTATGGGAAAAAAGATGTATTGCGAGCCAATGAAGCCCTAGCGATTGAAACCCTGATGATTTCAGATAAGCTATTCAGGTATATATGTTGAAAAGTTAAATGTATGAAAGTTTAAAACCTTGGACATATACATTGAGTTCACTTGATGGTAGATGAAATGTGCACGGCCATATACCATCTAAACAAAATGCGCTGTCGACCTATTTTGGCCTGTGATATTCAGAAATCCACAGACTGAAACCGAAACGCGATTAAATATGACGGCCTCATCTGTGGACGGCGGTTTGGATGGACTTTCGAGATTCCTACCACCCATTTAATATCAAAATTTCCAGACATAGTCCAACGACTTTCAGAAAATTATACACTGATCGGAAAAATGTTGGATTCGATAGGCATCGAAGTGTTGATTATTAGCCCTACATTGTCAACATTATAGAAACCAGTCCGTCTAAATTGTTTTATTTATTGCCGCTGTCTCCAAGGTGATTTAATTATAATATTGTATTGTCACATCGAGCATCTATTTTCTGATAAATTAATTAATATAAGGACCAATTTCCAATGAACACTTAGCTAACAAAATATTTATAATATTACAGATGTCAAGACATTCTGAAGAGAAAAGAATATGTCGGTCTAGTTGATTCAGCAAGGGAGAATGGGGCGGATGTCAGAATATTTTCTAGTATGCACGTTTCCGGTGAACGTAAGTGTTTAACAAATTATAAATGTAATGCTAATAAAATTATGATAAAATTAAGTGTATTTTGTATAAATACTATTGGCAATTGGGATTTTAATTAGTGACTAATGGAAATAATTATAACTACGTAATATTCAGTTGATATGGTAAAAGAAAAAGATGGCAGCCCCCCCCAAAAAAAAAGGGCCCCTCATAGGCCCTTTTTTTTTTCCTTTCCCTTTATCCATTTCAAAGGTGCATTTGTATAGTATATTTATTTATATTTTTAGGCCGCCAATGAAGTTCACTTTTGTTCCCTATTATCTACTTTAGACTATTTTTTGTATATAAATATCATATAATACCTATATAATATGTCGTATAAGAGAGGATTAGTGTAAATTCTTTAGATGATAGAAACAGTCAGGTGTCACTTGACGTTCCTTACCAATGACTCTTCCAATATATAATTTAAAAAAAAACCTCTTTTCGTTTAGAATTGGATCAACTAACAGGTGTGGCGGCCATCTTGCGTTTTCCGATGCCAGAACTTGAAGATAGTGACGTAGAAGGCAACAGTGATTCAGATTCAGATTAGGTGTCAGGAGGACTGCTTTATTTTATGCTGTGACTAACGAGTTATTTAAAAATATTGTGAACATTAGCATTTAGTTTACAACGCATTAGGTAGTGTAATTATTCCTTACATTATTATCAAAATTAAATATTGTCCACTGCCCGATAAAAATGTAACCTACCTTTAGAAAGAAACAACAGGTTATTTTCAGCAGAGCGTCTCTTTTGCACAGTTATTTTATAATGCATAAGTTTGGTATATGTTAAAAACCACCTTTTATCAAAATATGGTATATATGTGAAATTATAAAAATGGAGAAAATTTTTTGAGACTTATACTAAAGATACAGATTAAACTACTAATTTGTGTATGATAGCTGGACATAGATTAAGATTTAATAATATTTATTTCGGCCATTAAGAGCCATACAAACGCCCACAGGGCTTGTGCAAATAGTTATTTTTTATTATTCACACCTATGCTGTGCTTGATTATATAAATTTGACTTGTTTTATTTAAATGTTATTTTCTCATTATTATTAATTAATGTTGTATGTAAAACAGTCTTTGAATTGAACATGACCAAGATAAAAACAGTAGTTAGTGTACCCAATTAGATGTTACTATTTATTATATTTACTGTAAATAGAAGTTCAATAATGATCCGTAAGATACATTACCAATTTTACTCTATGTAGTTAGACAAATATTAATATTGTATTCATGATTGATTTGAAAGTCTGTATGTACATAATCGTAATTATTATAAACCAATTTTGTTGATAAGCAAGCATTTATGCAGTGGTTTTATTACAATAACCTGATTATATTTAATTTTTATACAAACATATATAACCAATACATTGTGTTGGTTTCTATAGCATTAAAAAAACTATATAGACTGAAAAATCTCTATTCATTCGCTGATACAGATGGTTAGAACCTGGATGGAATTTGTTTAACATGAAAATAAACATATCAACATGTTTAGTTATAAAACTCTACAGCTATCACTATTTGTAATCTTTCACACAACTAATATAGCCAAGGTCCACAGCATGTTACAAAATAAAATAATACATTTGTTGTACAATTTTATTTAGGACACAAAACTACATGTAGTTTTTAGTAGAATTATGCCGATGCATTTAATGCTTCCATCTTTTGATTACGTTTTGTAGTTTTTCGTTCTTCCTTCGTCTTTTCATCGTGAAGCCGCCTCTTCTTCCTCAATAACCAAATTTCTTTCTTCCTCTTTTCCTGACCGGCCTTCATGCTCTTGTACAAGTTCCTATGCTTCTTTCTTACCAGTTTTTCCCTGAGTCTAAAAGCTTGCTTGTCTTCTATCTCTTTCTTGTATGGATGCTCTTTATGAGGGATACCAGTTTTGACAGCCATTTTCTTTTTCTGCAATAAAAAGAAAATTATAATAAATACTCTCAACCTAAAATAATCTTATAAAGCTGAAGAGTTTGATTATTTGTTTGACCGCGCTAATATCAGGAGCTACTGGTTCAAATTGAAAAATCCTTATTCTTTATTACTGAATAGAACAATTATTGACGAAGGCTTTAGGCTATATAAGATTATGCTACAATCAATAAGTATCAATACAAACAAGTTGATGCCTAAAATAACTATTCTACGCGCTCGAAGTCGCGGCCACAGCTTGTCCAAAATAATTTCATAACAGTATTCATACCCATAATGTAGCTATCAGATACAATTTCAACTTACTACATAATTAAGGGTTTTTTTTTATATTCTTACTAAAAAACAAATAGTATCATATGTCTTACCTTTTCCTTAGCAATTTTCTTTTTCTCAAAATCATCTCCTTCATCATCATCATCATCTTCAGAGGGTGAATCCTGTTCCACTTCAGCTTTATACTGCTTGGTTAAAATCTGCTCTTCAGTCTCAGACTCTTCTGCACTCTGTTCCTCTTTGTCCTCATCACTGGCTTCTTCAATTTCCTCATCAGACTCGTCATCATCACCTGTAAGTAAAATGCAAATTTTATAAATGTGTGATTTTTACACACCTATTAATTTTTAAAACAAATGTCAATGACTTTATCTTTCGTTAAAAGATGCATTATTTTTTAATAAAGAATCTGTATAACATGCGTACCTGGTGGTTTATATTCAGGATCGTCAAGTGCTCTTTGTTCAGGGGGTATATATACTTGATCCCTTGTTTTGTCTATGAATGGTGACAGATGTGGTGGCAGAGTTGCACCCATGAGATACTTGTTAATTGGAAGCAAAGTTCTCGCATTGACACTGTCAAATACCCATTGAGGTTGAACATAATACCGTGATAGGTACTGTTTGTCCATACTTGGTCTGTCAACAATTTGATACGCTATTGACTCATCGGTTTCATCAAAGGTAGCTCCCACAAAGTGATCTTTATCCCAAGAGACCTCCCCACCAAAACAGCGAATAATAAAAACAAGTGGCTCTCTAGGTACTTCTCTGTTTAGAAAGAACTTTAGTCCCTTGAACATAGTCTTCAAAAATTTGATTTTCTCAGCCTCCTGCTTGGCTTCCTCCAATTTCTGGGGATCTTGGTCTTCAGTTTCAAATAGATCTATCTCTGGGAACTCCTCTACTTCATTGGCACCAACTTTCCTTGCTACAGAAAGGTTCATTGCAGCAATCCTTTCTGATACATAAGCCCGTTTATCTACCAATCCTTTATCATTATCTGATGAGAAGCCAGCAGTCAGTTTAGGGGGGTAAACCAGATTTAATGAATTGAATAACTTAAAGTTCACAAAACCAAGCATCATTACATAAAACTCCACAAATGTTGACATTATTTTGAAGTCCACCTCATCTTTAGTTTGTGGCTGCAAATAACAAATTATAGCATTAATTTCAATAGAAAAAAAAACACCATTAACTACCATATACACTAAGATAATATAAAAAAAGAAACAATTACCTCGAAAGAAAAGTGATGAGGCACAATCCATGTGATGGTTTGTCCTTCGATTTCAGCTTGATAATAATAGCCTTTAACAGATATGAAGACTTTGCGTAAAGCCTTTGCGACAATCACTGCATGCATAAACTCAACAGTGAGTCGTCTACACAACATAGATTGATCTCTAGGTACACGCCGTATGGATGGGAATGTACTAAACAAGAAGCATAGAGTCAGACAATCATCTAAATCTCGTAGAGCATCCACAAATGAAGGGTATCGTTCTTTGATGATGTGATCAATTTTGATTGCTGGGTAATCTCTGAAGTATTTTTTCATTTTGCCATATTCTCTCATAGCTCTGGCGCGGCGAATTTTTTGTTGATATACCTGTTATATTAAAAATTCATTTGATTAAAATAATTATCTACACAAGGTATAGTGCTTACTGAAGAATGTAGAATGTATTACCTTTAAATCCCGAAGCTTCCATATTATTGGTTCGTGTAGAAGAAATTTAATATCTTTTGTGTGGTATAGTGTTTTGATACCGCCAGCTCCTTTCTGAGCCCTTTTCCTGTTGCGTGGTTCTCGAGGGTAAATCCCTTTTAGTATGCAGATTCTTCTAAAATCCTTTAGGGATAGTTGTAGTTTTTTAAGAGCCGCTTTTCTTGTCATAAATTGCGCTCCTTCTCCAGATGAGTACTGTAATTTCATGCATATAATTAAGTTCGTTTAAGTGTTTTTTTTTAATGTTAGTGATAAAGCTCTACTATTCTATATTATATAATTATCACAAAATGTTTGACTTCTATTTAACGAATATATAACATTATTATACTTGTTCTTGCCAAAACCACGTGTTAGAATATACAAACACAATTATCCTTACCTTCTTCTTCTTTTTAGATACCATGGTGATTCAAATGAATTACTTTACTCCGCTCTTAATAAACAATTATTCAATAAGAGATATATAATAATAAATGTTCTTTTTCACATACTACGCATAATGTTTATCACCCAGCACTCATACATGAAAGGACCATTTTTAACCATGCTTGTTTGGACTTTGTCTTTGACAGTGACATATGTCAGCTGTCATAATTCAACAATTTCAAGGACCTAACAGATTAAACGCTTATACCTCTAACTCTAAGTCTAACTTCAAAATCAATGTCTCCGATCTAATAATACATAATATCACAAAATTACAAAATATACGTAGGTATTTACTATATACAATTACAACCATATTATTTATAATATGAATTATACATATACATATTATACCCGTATAGGAGGATCACATGCAATATTTAAATAAAAGAACAACTAGTTAAATAATTTATTGAATTAAAGAAAACTTAAACATAGATGTATAAATTAATAATCACTACATTTTAATTTATGAATCTGACTCTGGTGTTTTTGTTATAGTTGAAGCTGTTTGACTTGCCCAAGCATTTGGGTCTACCATTACATATTGGAAAGGTAAAGCGTAAGTATGGGGCCAAGTGGCCACTGGTTGCGCTTGAGTTGTGGAACCTTCAATCTTCGTAGGGTCCTTGTACGCGTTAAAAGCATTAGCTATGGTTGAGAGCATCTGCGGATAAAAAAACTGAAAAGGAGAGTAGTGCGGTTGTACCGGGGCGTTAGAACACTGAGCTTTGGATTCTTCAACTCCAGATACCGCAAGAGTATACGGGTTGATTACACTTGCTTCAGCCCCAGCCGTGGGAATTGCGTACGCGTAATTAACAGAAGGTGTGGTTATAATTGCTCTTTTCTGTGTGAGCGTTTCTTCTTGTGCGGGCAATATAGAGGGTTCAATTTCTGATGCCGCTGCCAGAAAGTTTATAGGCTGGTCTGTGAGCCATTGGGAATTCACTCCATTATCCTCGGTGGCTGCAACGTACAAATCTCCAGTGGTTCCATCAATCGAAGGCTTAACATAGAGTCCATGAACGGGTTGAAGATTGCTCGGTGTCTCCCAAATAGCAGCGCCGTGTACGCAGGCTATAAAGAGTAAAAGTACCAGACTTTCAGACATCTTGCTTGTATACATTTGAGGCGGAATTTAAAAAAGAGTACGTAACACATCAATTTATATAGATGACCCATGTTGTAATTGATTGGAGATAGGTTTTATCGTTTATCGAGAAATCTTTTAAAAGTTCAAGTTAAGACACGTCTGTCAGAATTTCTTTCATATTGTCACGTTGCGGATGATAGAGAATCTGAGACTATTCATGTTTGCTTACGAGCATAATATTAGGAGACTAATTTTGGCTTTAAGTGTATCCGTAGCTAAATATATGAAGGCATATAATATTTAATTAGAACAATTTTAAGGGTTTAAACGCGAAATATTAGTTAAATAATGTGTAACAACCCACCTGACATTACGGAAGAAATCGAGGTCAGGCGGGAACAAATATATTATGTACCTACGTGCTAAGTCATTGCATTTTATGCCCTACATATACATTGTTGCGCTTTTAGGCTTTTTGCGAATAACCAAAATTATAAACGACACTACCATAAACTGTGGCTGTGGGTTCGTACATCCATGAATCAAGGGACATAATCTCAGGAATTACTTATTCGAATTAAAAATATATTTTTAAATTCAATATTTATCGAGAAAGGTCAATAACACCAAGCTGCGACTAAGAGGATCGAATAGTGGAAAAAAACGGGGCAAATCTTTGGAGGGCATTCATTGCGAGTGCTGTAAAAAGTTAAAAGAAACTAAAAAACAGTGTTTGAAAGAATGATTCCTCTTTAAATGATCTGAAAAATGTCCGTTTATATGGTAATCAAATGTATTATCACCATTTATTTGTTAGAGTTGTAACATAATAATATTAATACTGCAAACAGCAAACAACATTTACTGAATCAGCTAGTCTCAAATACATTTCAAAGATTTAAACAGTTCAAAATGCATATGTATATACACAATTCATATAAATTGTCTCTATGGGTTAACGGTTAGGTTTTTAAACGGTTTTATTTAGCTCGACCCGTACAGAGTTTATTTATTTGGGTCAAAATTAGAAATTGAAAATTAAGCACCTTCCCGTTGCCAGATTGATCTGAAATTTTGTACACACATTTAATTTAGATGAAAATACAATAAAATCAATAATATTATAAATCTAAGATGGCCGCCGATACAAAATTGCGGATTACATATTTTTTCTTAACCCACTCAATATGGGTATCAAATGAAAGAGCTACACAAGTAAAACACGATGATTATGTCAAAATTAAAATTTTTTCGTAGTTTTCAGTGCACCAAAAACCGTTTAACTTAAAAGTTCTTTTACCGATGAAAAAAATTAGTAAAAAAAAATTTAAAAACTAAATTATTAACACAAAAATAACAAAGCCTTTGCGCCGTTTAAATATATGTCTTTCTAGCTCTATTATTATAGTATGTTTTTAAAGCACATTTCCACAATAAAACTCGAATTCAAGAATAGTAATAAAAATGAGTTTTGCGCAATATCTTTATCGTTGTTCGGTTTTTAGTGAAATCATATTTTTCTTAGCTCTCGTTCAGCTAAATTGCGTTATTTCATTTAGAACATCCACTTGTCTGCTAAAAAACGAGGAATTTTCTCTATGCGGATGGAAATGCCCAGTGACGTGTATAAACTTCAGGTTCCTGAAGGAATCCTTAGCTTCCCTGTGCCCAGAGAAGTGGGAATGTCATATCGGTTGTAGATGCTCCGCGGGGTATGTGCGGGACGAATATAGCAAGAACTGTGTTACAATTCAGGATTGTCCTCGTAAGTACTCTTAGTGGGAAACCAATTATGACAGAGGAGGAGAAGGGGGCACGCAGTCACTTCTGAAGAATCATGACGGACGGATAGACAAACATATTTTTTTTTTGACGAATCCAAGTGATTTCTGATCTTAATTTTTTAGAGAATAAAATAAATATTTTATTTCATTTAAATAAAACACTAACGGTTTAAAACGCGATATATTAGTTAAACTTATTTGAAAATGATTTTTAGAGAGACACGGGTCTCCCCGTGACCACGGCTGCTGCAAAGCATCCGAAACGTCGGGCCGAAGTTAAAAATCATTTTCAAATAAGTTTAACTAATATATCGCGTTTTAAACCGTTAAAGTGTTTTATTTAAATGTGTACTACTCGCGTAAACTATAGACAGTATTTAAATATTTTATTTCACTTGATGGGCCTATTGACTTTTGTCGGGATGGCCTAACTATTTTGTCTGTAGATATTTAAAAAACCACAGACTACATACTTTTTTATGATAGAGAAGGACAGACACACATGGGGTTCTCTTGATGGAAGGTAAAATACCCCAACCATATAACATCTAAACAAGATTCGCCGTAAACAAAAAGGCTTTGGATATTCGGAAATCTACAGACGGAAACCGAAACGCGATTAAACTTCACGGATTTTTCATGTAATTGTTAACGTGTTCCATTTAAAGATCAGAATTTGTAGCTTTTGTTCTAGATTAGATTTCTAAATAACAACTGAATTAATGCATTAGTTTCTTAAAATGTAATGTTGAAATCTTATTTAGTTAAACCGCAGCTGGTCTAAAATTACTAGAAAATTGTAAATTGATGTACAAGCAAACTGAGAAATTATTCTAGGTCGTCTAACAATGAAGGACTTATTTTAAATATATTGCACAATTGGCATAATCGTAATAATTATTAGACTTTTATAAAGTAAAATTTTAATTCTGGTTCGATACATGTAAAATCCTGTTTTTTTTCACTGTGTCTGTTTTACTGATTGATTTATTATTTTTAATTATTATTTTATAAAGTTTAAATAAAAAACTTTGATCGGTTTAAGTTTTTTTAATTACAATCTGATGTTTCGGATGTTAACTAGTACTTTTCGGGTTTTAAAGTGTGCAAACTGTTTTATTTAAAGGTGTACTAATCGCGTAATCTACATCGCGTAGAGAGGTTTTATGTATTGAAGTTCTTAAAAACTTATGAAACAAACTATTTACTAAAATGTAGTTATTCGTTTGTACCCTTTTTCTGTATAAACATAATTAAACATGTAGATAGACCACGCATTAACAAGTATATAAGTAGGTTTTTTAAGTAGAATATTAAAAAAAAGTTTTACACCTTTATAATATACAAGTTAAATATTGTCCATTTAAATAAAATAATTTTCATGGCTTAAAACGAAAAATGTTTTCGTTAACCACCCCCTCCAGTACGAAATACCCCTTCACTAAATGCATCTCTATATTATGTTAAGATACAAAAAATTCTAGAAAAGGAATTTCGGAGGCCACTTTAGTCGCATATACGCAAACTACCTATATAAAAAAAAACACATTTTTGTGGTTTTCGTTGTAAATGTTTTGTTAATTGTAATTATGTAATAATTAGTAGTTTTACTTCGTGACCATCGAAGTAAAACGTGGTCTGGGGCATCACTGAAATTTGCGTTTTACCTTCTTACAACAAAAGCCGAGTGGTGTCCGTCCACATACAACGTTCGTCGTTTTAAACCGTTGAAGTGTGTTATTGACACGTGAGATAATCGCGTAAATTTTGCGTTCCTAAAATCTGTTTTTCAAGCAACGCTGGTACATAAGTGCTTCGTAGGTTAATTATTGAAAAGAAGTATTGATACATTCGTTTACTAAATGAATACATAACTAGAAAATAAATTAATAATCATAACCCAATTTCCAACGCCAACGACCATTTGACTACACGAACGAAGCGAGAAATTTCGCAATCCGCAAGTAATTCAATACACCGAAAAATTGTTTATTAAACAAGTATAAATAATGTGCTTATCATGTTCACTTTCATTTAGTACCCCATTACTCACAATGAAGGTTGTGTTAATCTGTGTATCGGCCTGGATCGCTCTAGTAGCCGGGGCACCTACGATCCTCAACTCGATCCCGGATTACCTCAACGATAGACTGTACCAGTACCGGGATAAACGCTCGAAAATCGCCCATTCGATTTATCCCATCGGAGGCGTGTCATCTCAATTCTCTTCGTTCTCACCCTACCAATGGAACGTTCGACCCTACGTGAACCCCTACGCGTTCGCCAACTATGGTTACCAGTCCATGTACGGTTGCGGGCGTGGCCTGTTTAAGTCCGACGAACGAGAAGACGATAGAGACCCATCTGACACGGATCCAGACGCCCACAGACACACAGACACTTCAGGAACAAACCCTCAACTCACTCCCACCAGCTTGGCAAGTATGGGACAGCTGGTGGCCCCCGCCGGTGGCCCGGCGTACGGTATGTTCCCGAATGTTCCAAATGCCGGGTGTAACGTCCCGTTTCTATTCAGCTGTGCCCCAACAATAGTCCCGGGGAGAATTATGCGGGGACCGCAGTACGGTTTCGGGCCGTTTGGGGCGTTCCGTGACGTGGATAACTTCGGCTACGATAGTACTTTGCAAGACCAAGCGGCTCATGAGAACGTCGCCACGGGAGACGGCAGCCAAGTGACAAAGAATTAGTTATAATTATCTATAAGAATATGATGTTAATAATTAAAGAATAAAATGATATTGTTGTTTTTTTTCCGATAGAGGAACACAGACAAATATGGTATCCACTTTATAGAAGGTGAAAAACCCCAGCCATATAACATCTAACATATTCAATAAGATGCCCTGTACATCTATTTTGGATAATCGGAAATCCCCAGACTGAAACCGTAACGCGATAAAGGTGACGTTTTCATCTGTTGAAGGTGGTTCGTGACCCGAACGGAATTTCGATATCCTACCACCCATATACCCAAACATACCCTGATTTCCAGACGATTTTTCTGACGAAAAATTATATACTGATTAGGAAAAGGTTGGGCCCGGTAGGGATCGAATAGGCGACCCGTTGATTATTAGCCAGACACTGCTAACACCAACGAGCCGTAAATTTTAATTTCTTTCTTCCTATTGTATTTACACAATACATAATCATACAAAAAGAAACTATTTTTTAAAATAAACGTTATTTCTTGGCTAATAAAATACTTTTAAAATAATAAAAAAAAACAGTTCCGTTTATTGATTTTTAATTAATAACCAATCGCATAATCATAAAAGTATAAACTAAATATTATATCTGCTTTGGCTTAAAAGAAAAATAAATTTGTTTTAAGTACTTTGGAGATATTTGTTATCACTTTATCGATAATATTTTTTTTTTCCCTTAATACTTAAGACATATATATATCGTTTACAATATACCACAAAGTACTAAACTATACGTGGACATAAATAATTTTTAATCGTTCTTTCTCGCGGTTCGGGTTTTGCGTAAGTAAAGGTTTCAGAAGCTTAACCCTCACGTTGAGGGTCGGGACCAACGTGGATGGCTTCACGGAACACCTCTTACTTCCCTTCGCGGCTGCTATAAAAAAATCTTTAAAATACTCAACATTTTATTTGACACAAGATTCGAACCTAGGATGCAGTTCAGTGCATCAAACCCTAGACCAACTAGTTTATATTATTATATGGTTATAAAACAAGGATTTAATGATGATTTTTTTAAGAATATGAGAATAGTATAATGATAAATTTATTATTAGGTTCGCTATTATACAGTTGCTACTACCACTACTACTAATTACTAGTAGATAACTATTATAATCTAATGAAGGGTCAACGAACTAGTTTGTTTTAATTTTTTTAATGATTAATTTGTAAATAGACAAAACAGCAAGTACATTATGTAATCGTGTAGGTACAGTTTAATTGTAACGTATTTTTTAAAATCTTTATGTAATATATTTAGTTAAAGTTGTGCATACCTTTAGGTTAGATACATAAGTAGTTATAATTATTATTTTAGTTTTATGTATGTAGTTGGTAAGTCTTGTATAAATAAATAAAGTTGTAAAACGGAATACAAATACAACGGAAATAAAGTCGACTAAAGAATAAACCGCCTCTGTAGATAAATAGTTAAACGTATTGCCTAGCACTGCGTTAAGCGCGAGAGTTCCTGGGTTCGAACCGGAAAGTGAATTGTGGGCAGGGCACAGAAGTCTGATCAACTACTTGCCTGTAAATAAAACCGATCAGTGAAGCGGACACAGATGTGTGTTCGCCCTATGCCCTATGGAAACGGGATTTCCTTTTTTATAGATATATTAAAGCTGGTTAAATATTCCGGTTAAACAAGATGCGCTATCGACCTATATTGGCTTTGGACATTTGGAAATGCACAGACTGAAACCGACACTTACACTTCACGGCTTTATCAATGCACAGTGATCTATGACACAGACGGGATTTTGACTTATAAACCATCAGTATCAGACGAAGTCTGTTTCAGAAAACTTAATAGTAGAATCATGTTCGCTATGGACTCTTAGAACTCACGCAGTTCAAATTTGAACCCTATACCTCGTGCTCTGGATCTGACCGACCCATAGACCAACGAGGCAGACCTTTTTTAATAATAATTATTATCAAACTACTAGCTGTGTTAGCTGTCGTCACTGTAGAATAGTTATATTGGCATCAAAATGGGTTTTCGTAAACCATTTCTTCAACTCTATAAATTTAAGTCACGATGTAGTCTGCGCCCTGTTCGTTGCAAGTTAATCTTAAAATATAAACATATGTTATCAGGGATTTTTTAATCATTTCTTGATACATTTTTTTTTGTGTATCATTTACCCCTTTTCCAACGGAAACTCACAAGAATATCCCCGTTTTTTTCGTTTTATAGTCTTAAAGCCATCCTCGATAAATGTTTTAACTAACACGAAAATATTTTTTGAATTCGAACCAGTAGTTCCGGAGATTTGTGCGTTCAAACAAACAAACTCTTCAGCTTTATATATTAGTATAGATTAGACTTCGTTCTCGTAACGCGATGTAGGTAATGCTGAATGAGTGAAATGTGTCGGAATTCTGCTAACGTGGTGTACGTGCGCCCTCTTTACGGAGGAACACGATTTTCAACATTATAACAACGTGATTGCATTTTAAACAAATTATTTATCTTGAATAAAACATCAAATACTGTCTATAGTTTACGCGAGTAGTACACATTTAAATAAAACACTTTAACGGTTTAAAACGCGATATATTAGTTAAACTTATTTGAAAACGAAATTCTCCACGTGACCACGGCTGCTGCAAAGCATCCGAAACGTCGGGCCGAAGTTAAAATCATTTTAAAATAAGTTTATTAATATATCGCGTTTTAAACCGTTAAAGTGGTTTGTTTTAAAAAAAAATTGAATAAAAATTTTTTTAACCGTTTCAAACTGAATACTTATATATATGAGCACAGCTGAAAAATCATTTATGTTACGTATGAGGGCGCTAGAGGCCAGAGCCTAACTGCTATTTTAGGTTTTGAAGTATTTATATTTTCACAGTCTAATAATGTTGACCAGGAGCACAATGACCCAAAATTATGAACATAATTTTTACACAAATAATAAGAAGTAAAATTGAAATCCCGTTTCCCCTCTTGGGGCATAGGGCGAAGACATTTTTGTGTCCGATTCAGCGACCGGTTTTATTTACAGGTGATCAGACTTCTGTGCCCTGCCCGACTGAAACATTCTACTGTTTCCCCGGGATTCGAACCCAAAATCTCTCTCGCTTAACGCAATGGTAAGCAACACGTTTAACCATCTAGCTACAGAGGCGGTCGTACACAAATAATATATTAGTACCAACAAATTCATTTTTCCCAAAGTTAATTTATTTATTTTGCTCCTTAATAAAAATCATGTTCTCTTTCTAGCATCTTCATAATTTAGTACGTAGTTAAGAAAACATTGACTGAATTTTAAGTGACATGTACAAATGAAATAAAACTTTTAACTGTTTAAAACGCTAAACACATATTAAGACTAACACCACCATAGTGCAGCCTCCGGAAGTCTTATAATAATGTTGCGTTTGACCCCTTCAAAAGTGTTTTATTTTATATGTACAAGTCACTTATATGTCAGCCAATGTGTTCTTACAAACATACAGTTTACAATGGTATACATTATGTATAGGGGCAAATATATACTGATGGTACCGATTTCAAAAATTATTTCAGTGTATGAAAAAGTTACACTATTTTTGGTGACCATAGGCTGTATTACATTTGAAAAGAGATATGTATACTCCCAATAATGTTAAGGTATGAAATTACAAAAAATCGCGTGCGCTGCAAAATCTATGGATTATAGAAGAAAATAATGTAGAACGTATCTACGAAAAATGGCGCGAGAGCATATGTCTAACTGTAATATTTATTTAGAATACAGAAACAAATAAAAGTATCACAGTAAAATATTATAAGGAACTTATAAGCTGTGACAGCGACTTCGTCCGCGTAGTATTATTTTGGGCATCTAAATTTGTTTTAGATATAAATTTAAGATGTTACGCACGACGTCGGTCGCGTCACGTCGTTCGGGTCGCGTCGTTCTTGCAAGTTAATCTTAAAAGATAGACATATAGTGTCGCAGACATTTTTTAAAATCATTTAAAGAGCAATCATTCTTTCGTACACGTTTTTTTCGGTGTCTTGAACCGTATTCGCATCGAACGCATCGAGAACCCACAGAGTAATTTTCCCAATCACGTTTTAAACCGTTAAAGTGTTTTATTTAAATGTGTACTACTCGCGTAAACTATCGACAGTATTTACTTTATAATATAAAATTAAAGATACAACTTGAAGTAAAATAATTAATGTTCCTTAGCTTACTAAAAATATTGACGGGTTTAGGGTAGAGAAATAATCAATTTAATTTATTAAACACATTTAAAAGTATGTTACTCGATTTATAAGGGCCTATACACACTAGATATATATACTACTTATTTAAATTATTAGTCAGTTTTAATTTGTGCGATACGATATTTTTAGGGATATATATGAATAGCCATTTTTTTTATTAATTAAAAATAATAAATTATGTTTTTACTAGATTATATGATTAATTATTTATTATGTGTGCACCATATTGTTTGAATAGTAACAAATCCTATGTCATTTTCATTAAATTAAATTATACCTTGACGTGTGTACATGACTTTAGTGTGAAAAAATGTTAAGCGAAGCAGAATTGGCGCCCTATACGTTTCTTATGAATAACTTTGAGCACGTTCCGGTGTTTTACTTTTATGTTTAAAGGTTTCATACGATCGATTCTTAAATATAAATACCCGGTCGCAACTGATAGGGACATCAATCAACTCGACGCCACACCATGAAGACAATCATAGCCTTGTCTGCGTTGGCAACCATAGCCATCGCAGTACCAACCAATTGGGGACAAAATGGCGTCGAACACGACTCGAGACTAAACGGGCTCCTCAAAACCGTGAAACGCGAAAGAAAATCTGCCGTTCCAGAATCCCCGGCTGAATTATCGTTAAACCACGATGCCCCACTCAGCGGAGCCGAAAAGGATATAGAAAAAACTCACCAGGGTTTCAAAAAACCAATTATAGTAAAGAAGAAATTCGGTTACCACATATATCGTGACTCTGACGAAGAACTTGCTCAAGCCGAACCCCGAACAAACTGCAGGAGACAGTTCAGATTCAAATTGTGTGATGAAAGCGATGAAACTGCACCATCAAATATGAGAACTTTCAACACTGAGGATATTGAAGAAAGCGACGTCCACCACAGTTTAAAAATGGCTAAAGAAGCGGTAGAGATATTGCAGAGAGATTTACAAAAAATTGAAGAAAGTACAAAAACTATTCACAAGAGCCGTAAAGAAGATTTAGATGTTCAGTTACATAAAAACCTTGAACAGGCCAGACAAACGTCAGAACAGTTAAATCAAAATATTGATAATCTCGAGTCCTTAGCAATGAAGGCTGCCGCGGCTTCAAAAGAGAGCGCTGCCGATGTGACTAATGCGAAGTTAGAAGAAGATAAAATGGCTCAATGGAAGGAAGCTATGGAAAATATTCAAAAGAATGTAGAGATTGTTAAAAACATAGAAGACGCTTTTAGTTCCGAACATACTCATGCCCTAACTGATGAAGAATGGAACGCAAAAAGTAAGACAGTTGAGTCATCACTCAGCAATGATGAAAGCAGCAGGAAACTAAAAGACACGATAACATCTCAGGATAAGGAAGTTGAGATATTGTCGGATGACAATAAAGGAAAACATTCAGTGAGTGATATGGAAACATTTGCAACGGAAAACAAGCAAGTTAAAGTTGGTCTTCAGAGTGATAGTCTAAAACTCGAAAACGCTGAAAACTGGGATATAACCGAAAATGTACGTCATGCTGAGAATGATATTAAAATTCTAAATAAAGACGACAAACTTCAAGACGTTCACGTAGATTTCGTAAGACCTCAGGAAAAAAATGTTGAAATACATGAATCGAAAATATTAGACCCTTCAAACCTCAAAGGAGATGAGGTACATTTAAAGGAAGAAAAATCTGTGCAGCAGCTCGGTACTGATGATTTGTCTAAGAAGACTGAAGTGCTAGCAGAAAAGAGTGATACCATTCAACAACACAAAAGCGTAGTCGCAGAAAACGACGGAGAAAAGTTGTTTGTAAAGTCTAATGAAATCGAAAAAATTGACGATACCGAAAAACACATGCACCAAGGAGAAATTTTAATGAGACACGGTGAATTACACACAGGAAGCTTAGTGAACAAACCTGAAGAAAAGAAGGCTGAAACAGAGAATACTGAAGACATTGCAAAGGAGGCTATTGTAAACAATGAAAACTCAAGTGTGGTCGATGCAAGCTCACATTTACTTGATGCTTCACCGATGCTAAAATCTGTAGACAGTGCAGAGACTATAGAGAGTTTAGAAAATTCCAGGAGAAATACCGACTCAATCCACGTAAATGATTTAAAAATGCGAGAAGCCCTTGAAGAAGATTCCAACGACAAACTTACGCTAGGAAAAAGCACAATCGAGGAGAAAATAGAAGACTTAAATAATATGCGTGCAGCAGAGGAAATCAATGAAGTGACACATGTAAATAACCACAAAGAACTTACTGACGATAAAACAACCATGAATATGTTCAAGTCATCTGATTCTTCTGAGACACACACAAAAATACACGAGCACATAGACGCAAAAAAAGAAGCGGCGAAAAAATCAAGTCACGAAAGTACAGTGATTCAAAAGTCTGTCGATGTAAAGAATATGGACCAGGACTCCAGCCATCATTTGTCAAACAAAAAAAGCGAAGACAGAAAAATGATAGCTGAAGCAAGCAACATGCGATTCGTTGGAGAATCTGGTGATCAACGCGGCAACATGTTAGCCCATAAATCCGATACGGACAGAGATATCCAGCAAAGAATGTCTGAAATGGACTTCTTCAACAATTTAGACTCGCAGCACACTGCACAGTTAGTACAAGACAAGAACTTAGACTTCCACACATCGTCTCATGTGAATGAGGGGATATCTGACTGGGAAAGACAGCAGCAGCAAATGCATTCTATGCATATGATGCGTCCCCCTTTCATGCCTTGGATGAATGGCAGGATGAGAAACAACATAGATTCACAAATCGGCAACCTTCACGACCATCATTTGGGCAACATACATGTAGACGATCACCATTTGGGAGACTTACACCAACACGACCATCGTTTCAACAACCTGCATTTAGATCACCATCACCACGCAATACCTATGGGAAGATTCGTCAACGACATCCAAACTATTAACCCGGATCTATTAAATTCTCCCATGATGAGGGAAAATATTCTAGAAGGTGGCTCAATGGACTTAGATACTTCCATGCAACCCAGCATGAAAATGAACATGCGAGACGCTCTTGATCAAAACGGTATGCCTTGGAACTATCACCAAACGTCTGGAAAATCTGGATTCGCCGGTAGTTTGGTGGGATCGGGATTAACTGGTTCCGGTGCCGTTGGAGTGTTTCCCACTGGCAACAGTGGATGTGGAATTCCACTTCTTTTGAGTTGTTCTCCTTCCGTTGTATCAGGGAGCTTGGCGAAGCAAGCACTTGGATTCCCAGGACATGGTTTACGATCTGGCGATGATCAAAGATTCTATATGAAGCGAGACGCTCTAGGGTCCATTGAGAGTACAAAATTGAAACCTTCCTCGGGTTGAACTGGACATCAAAAGAAAAAGGAAATTTTTCGTCAACGGTACCGCGTAGTGAGCAATGAAAACTGGGATTCTTTGCTTTGTTGTATAAACTAGGATTAGTTAGTTTAGGTACATTTACTTAAATGCATCACAAAGAATTAATAAAGCATTTTAAAAAACTTTATTTTGTTTTAGATCAAACCTTTTTATGTGTATATGCAACTTAAGCACATTATCTCCTAAATAATACTTCTATAGTTAAAATTAATAATAATAAATCGCAACTAGATCTAGTTTATATAATATTAATGGTTTTTAAATAATTTTAAATATATATCTTAGTTCGATGTCTGATAAATTAGACATTCATAAAACTTAGTATAGAAAAAACATAAAACTTTTAAATAAAACACTTTAACGGTTTAAAACGCGATATATTAGTTAAACTTATTTTAAAAATCATTTTCAAATAAGTTTAACTAATATCTCTCGTTTTAAACTGTTAAAGTATTTTATTTAAATGTGTACTAGTCGTGTTAACTGCAGACAGTATTTAAACATAAAACTATTTATTACTCGTATGACGATTAACGTCACTGAATAAATATTATTTATTAATATTTTATCGATCCAACGGAAGCAATATATGGATTCAATATGTTTTAGGCATTTGAAAACTTTAATATTTTTTACATTTGCACATGAAGGCACTATATAATTTGAAATCGAAAAAAAGTTAAAAAATAAATTGACTCGATAGCTCCATTGGTAGAGCAACGCAGACGATGCCGGTTCAAGTCCTGCCCGAGTCAAAGTTTTTTTTTTTTCAATTTATTTTCGATTTTTAAATTATGTTTTAGGCAATTTATATTTTTTCCTGGTCAGGGTCACGAACAACCACACACACGAACCACGACCACGGAACTCGAACGATACACGAAAAGCCGCGAAGCCAAAATAGCTCGACAACACATCTTGTGTTATATTTTCGATATGTTTTGATGTTATATGAAATCCATGCTTGTCTGTTCCTCCTCCATCAAATAAAATGTGTGTATTCTCGTTTTTTATTTAAACATGCTTGTTTTTAATCTCTCTCTACATACTTAGACTCACGAAACCATTGAGTATAACCGTAGGAATAAGCTAGTTAAGGTGACCTAGTAACAAACAATATTTCCTTACGTTTGTGAAATCAAAAAATATGATCATAGCAAAATGCTTCATAGAAAATACATCGCTTATTACAAATAACGCGGTAGAAAATGACGCACATAGCTCGCTATTTCGTAGCTATAATTTTGCTTTTTATTTGTAAAACTTACTCATTAACTTTGGAATACAATCCTGGAACAACTAATGGCATAGAAGATGTTCAGAAGAAAGGATGGCCGGTCAAGCATATTTTAGGAAGATTGAAGAATAGTGAATTAAAAGCGCCACATCAAGAAGAGTTAGGAAATATGAAGAGAGATGAAGCTGATGCAAAACGACAAACATGGTACAATCAAGCAAATAAAAGAGGTAATATTACTCCTTATAGAAATATAGTGGATATTGATGATATCACAGGACTTGATCCTGTCTACAAATATTTATTAAAACCATATGCCACCAACTATTTGTATGATCAAGATTTTCTATACAAGGATATGGAGTCAAATTTACTTTCTAACCCAAGAACGAGAAGAACACTTTTAGAAGACATCACCGAATTTAATCAAGAACTATTGGATAATCTTCGTCACGACAGTATCCTGGAAAATATTTTACCAACGATGCCTGTTCCATATGATCGGAGTTCAAACGTTGAAGATTTCCTTGTAAGACCCTCAAGTTTAGGCTTTGATAATTGCGCTGTCCCCGCTTACTTCAGCTGTGTACCAAGAATTATAAATTTGCTGGACAATAGTGTTATTAATCCATATGGGTTTCTCAGCCCTTATAAGGAACTGATACATTCAAAGCCAGAAAAAGAGCATATATCTCATAATAATAAGAACTAAATTCAAGTGTGTTACCATTAAAATATTTATAGATACTAAACAATGAATGTTTAAATAATAAAGTATTCATGAATATAATGCAGTTTTATTTATCTGTAATTATATCAATTATATTTTGGACAAAAATATACACACATAGATAATAAAATGTTAGTAAATAGGAAACTTAAAATTAAAATGATGTTTACTCTATGGGCACGTCGCGAAACACAGTTTTGTGCCCGTTTTACTGACCCATTCTTAAAGGCATGCTTCATCAGCTTTCGTGCCGTACCCGATCAAAACTTAACGCGACATACAGTCTCCAAAAAAATTATAAATGGCCGTTGCTCCAATTCATGGTTAAAATAATCAACAGGTCGAGGTTCGATTCCCTCCGTGTTAAAAGTGTTTCTAAATATTAATTCACGACACTTGTTAAAGTTTATCTGCAAAATCTGAACATGAAATAGGAATAGGTACTAGGAGTTTAAATAAAACCCGACGGCCCGACGTTGACCCGACGTGACCACGGCTGCTGCAAAGCATACGAAACGTCGGGCCGAAGCTAAAAATCATTTTCAAATCAGTTTAACGAATATATCGCGTTTTAAACCGTTAAAGTGTTTCATTTAAATGTCTACTCGCGTAAACTATAGCGAGTATTTAGGTACTAGGAATATTGAAATTACGAGTCATGAACCATCTTCCATGGATGACAAATATATCTGTGATTCGGTTTGAGTCTCTAATCGGTTTCTAGATTTTTTTATGTCCAAAGCCTAATCAGTTCCAAAAGCGTATCCGTTCAGAATGTTTATTGCTTAGGTTCTATTTCTTTCTGAGCTGTTTGAATACATATTTTTTAGATCACACCAAATGTCCACTTGGAGAGATTATGGGTAGCAACCTCCAGTGCATCGTTCGACGAAAGGTGTCAAGCACAAAATCACAGTGGAACTACTATGATAGACCGGATGATTGAATAAAATGGCTTTAGAGCAATACCTTATAAAATTATTACCTCTTGAAATTCAATATAATGTGTTTACTTTATTTGTAAGCCGTTTAAACTTATGCAAATATAGTTAATGTCAACTTTGATAACATATCTATAACAAGACTCATATAGAAAAATCAAGCGCATAAAGGCCTCTTACTAGGTAAACATGTACCAATAACAAGGGTTAGTTAATCTTTAAGTACCAACGTGCGGTCTGAGGGGCCCCAGCAGGTACTTGACTTGTTAGTTTACCCCTTTCCCAGCACAATACCGATCCCCATTTTTAAGTAGCTGTAAGTTTTGTGCCCACGTTGATGTTGGAACAGGCAGTGTTCTTGTCGCGGATGTATTTGGTGGGGAACCACCTTTTTTTATTTTTGGGTAAAAGTTCCCCCCCCCCCAGGGGGGGGGGCCCAAAAAAGAAAATTTGGGGGGGGGGGGGGGGGGGGGCCCAAAGGGGGGGGGTTTTTTCCCCGGGGGGGGGGGGGGGGCGGTAAAGGGGGGGGGGGGGGGGGGGGGGGGGGGGGGGGGGGGGGGGGGGGGGGGGGGGGGGGGGGGAAAAAGAGGGAGAGGGGCCCCCCCCCCCCCCCCCCCCAAAAAAAAAAAAAAACCCCCCCCCCCCCCCCCCCCCCCCCCAACCGGGGGGGGGGGGGGGGGGGGGGGGGGGGCCCCCCCCCCCCCCCGGGGGGGGGGGGGGGGGGGGGGGGGGGGGGTTTTTTTCCTTCTTTTTTTTTTTTTTTTTTTTTTTTTTTTTTTTTTTATGAAAAATTTTTTGTTGTTACTCGTTAGTACTATTTTCCACGTGTTTTTTATAACGAAAGTCGGATTTCACCAAAGTTCACGCCAAATATTATTGTAGTCTTATATTATAAAAAAATAAAAAAGTTGATTTCTTTTCTACATAGATTTTTCCCTCGATACCCTTATTTTTTTATGCAAAACAAATATTTAACGTAAAACCTAAAAAATTTCCGGGCCCCCCCGGCCCTCCCCCCGCCCCAACCTTTATAAAAAACGCACGTCGGTACTTTAAAGGTTAAATATAAAATACGTCACGGGCGGGACTTGACTTGACCAACATCCACAGCTTTCCGCGCTGTTGCTCTAACCAATTGAGTTACCGTGTCCTACAGTTACAACAATTGGTTAGAGCAGCAGCGTCAAAGCAGCATCGGTTTAAGTCCTGCCCCAGTCAACTTATTTCTTTTTCAAGTTTTAATCAGATTTCAAATCCTTTTACCCATAACATTTAAAATATTTAATTTTTTTAAAGTTTCCTACTTATTTCAATTTACTATTTATTGATATTGATAAATATTAACACAGAGCCTTTTATATGGGCTCCGATATATATTGTTATTTACTTATCAAATAAAAACTAAGTAAGATAAAATAATTTATCAATCTTATAAAAAAAAATATTGACTCAAATTATATAAATTCAGTCGGTAAAGTTGAAAGTACGATATACTGTTTAAATAATGTTATGTATTCTGCGGTTAAAAGTTGGACCTGGTACGCAAATATAACAAGCGGTTTCCAACTTAAAAATTCTCTTTTCCCTGGAATCCTTGTATAAGTACCATTAAACAAAGTTTACATACAAACATCAGCTGTCTAAAATTCCAAGAAAACATAATTACGTCAAAGTGAGGAGGCTATTGGTACCCTTGAGGTGGAAGTTCCAAGAATGGGTTCTATGACGTCACAAGTGGGACGCGGGGTAAACATGTAGACTGCCAGGCATCTGTTCGGGATTTCTGTGACGTCATAGTTAAAGATAAACAGATAACAGCCCAGTATATTTAAAAGGGCAGCAAAACAAATTTCATTCAGTAGTCCACTAAGATTTAGATCAATACTGCATTTTTGCTTATTTAAAATAAATATTTTCATACATTCACTATGAAAGCCGTCGTTATTTTAGTCGTGATAACCATTGTAGTGATAGAAGGGCGCACCATTCGTTCTGGAGAAGGCGTTGAAAGGAAAAATAACGATTTTGCAAATATACCAATGGTAAGTAATCCAAAATCTATGCTCATATATAAAGCTGTGTTTGTATGTTTGAAAGCGCTAATCTTAAGAACTACTGGTTCTCTTTGTGTTAGTAAGAGTATTTATCGAGGAAGGTTATGGGCTATAAAACATCGCGCTGTGACTAATAGGAGCGAAGAAATAGCAGGAAATGTGGAAAATGGGGAAAATTATTCATATTTGTAGCTTTCCCATACGCTGCATAAAAATAATCTAAAACAATGTCCGAGACACATATAAATGCTTTTAAGAGGAGGTTAGCAAAAACAAATTTGGATGCCCAAAATAACATTCTACGCGGACACAGTCGCCGACACAGCTTATAGTTATTAAGATGACGAGAGTAGTAAATCAAAAGTACAACACTTTGACGCCGAAATAGCGTTAGCTCGGCCTATGTACTCACATAATATCAGTGCTGGGACACGTACCCAGCTACGCTGAGCGTTGGTTTCCTTTTCAGAAGCAACGATATAATTATTGTATTTAATCAAAATATACACTATATATTACATTTGTATTTATTTCTTGATATCGTTGGTTAGATTAACTATAAATTGTATTTCGTTTTTGTTTGTGAATAAATATGTATTTGTTTAACTTATGCAGTTCATAAAATTTACATAAACTGACTAATATATTTCGCATTTTAAACCGTTCAAGTGTTGTATTTAAATCCAGAATGCTATTTTAAACAGTTATTGAAATGGTAGTAGGTAGTATTTTATATACTTTGCTTAATATCTACTATCCTTCTAAGGACGTAAGACGTTTTAGATTTTAATATTTACTTTTTTTTAGGAGATACTACTGAAGATGAAGCCGAATCGCTTCGTCCCGATCAACAATGTATTATTCTTCAAGATATCAGAACCATGCGAAGATGGACTGAAGAGAGATGCTATAGGTATCTGTCGTGAAGTGTGGGAATAGAAGAGAAAGAGATAGGGACAAAATGTATGTAAAATACCATCATCAATGGCTGTACAGCGCCTTGGGAGCCGAAGCCTTCTAGTTTCCAGTTATGTACTACCAAGATTTCCAGGTCCTTAGCAATTCCATCCCACCAGCGGAACCTCGGTCTCTCGGGTTGTGGTTGAGAGTTCAGCAAAGACCTTGGTGCTCTTTCATAATGTAAAATATAGCTCTATATAAATTAAAAATGGAATATACATTGAAAAAAAAATCGACTCGGGCAGGACTTGAACCGGCATCAACAGCGTTCCGTGCTGTGGATGTTCAATTCCTGCCCAAGTCGTAATTTTTTTAAATTTATAATTAATTTTGAATTTATTTAACCCCTTACTTTATTTCGAAATAATCATTTTGTGTATGAAAATTATCTTATTCGTACATTCCTTGTACATACAAGAAAAAATGTGTACTACTAAAGTTGTAAAGAATTTCTTCCAAATAATTGTTCATACCAGTTGTATTTTATTTTACATTGCCAAAATTATGTAGATCTTTTGAAACAATGACTTTAACATTAATAATTTTTGAAGAATGCTGTAGCCTATAAATGTAGGCGTTTCTCAAATGCATTCTATAGTTTGTAATATAAAAGGTACCTTTTGCATTTATTTCTAGACTTAAGTAGACATACAAGTAATTCTATTGTGTAGAACAAAACCTAGGTCATTAAGTTGTAAATATAGATTCAGAAATTGAAATAAATCTCATTAAAAGTTCCTTAAAAGTAATTAATATTAAGAAGACGATTTATTATTGATAATAAACAAATATTTTATAAAAAAATGTTTTTTACTAAAATATACAGAAACAATTTAACGTTATGATATTAAACAGACAATTTTGAACGCACGAACCGGTGACTAAAATTTGACATTTCAAAGCACATATTTAGTATAGGACTTTACATCAGAGATGCTGGTGGAAGAGTGACAGCACCATGCCCCGACAAGGGGGACGGCAGGGTCGCCACTCCTCGGATCCAAGCATCTCTCTCGCAACAAAACGATTCCACGTTGCTTAACGCCCGCATGTATATTGTTGTTACCCCACCTGAAAAAAGCCTTACATTAATATTTTTTATTGTGTGGATTCAATTCTAAAACCGCCGCTGTTAAGCGTTGAACGATAAGACGGTGTGCTTTTTGTTATTGTTTAAGTGTTAAAGAATTATTATATCTCATATTCTTCAATAAAGCAATTTAACAGACCTAGCTATAAATAAAAAAAAAATAGACTCGGGCAGCACTTGAACCGGCGTCAGCGTTCCGCGCTGTTGCTGTAACCAATTGAACTACAGTGTCCCGCACTTTATCATCGAATTCTTTCAACTTAGTGACAAATGAGCCTCTCGCAAAAGAATATTAAAATTTTCAGATCTAGTATAATTAACACTAATTTTGTCAAAATTTAAGACAATAATTATAACTACGGGCATTTGTATTAATTGTGTGTGACTTGTTGAAATGAATAGGTACATTTCTTCATCATCTATTCTTATCTTCTATAGCCTGATACATCTTCTGTTCTAATATCGTCAAAAAGAAGATCAAGTTTCTGACCTCAATCAACCCACTTTTTTTCAGTACCGAATTAAAGTTTTCATCAAACCCTAAGCCATATATTACAAAATCATAAACAAGATCTTTTCACAGCTATAAATGTTTGGACAAAGTGTTTAATAACGATCTACGTCGAATGAGAGACGTAACGTTGTGTTTCCGTGGTAAAAACCACGTATGCGGGGCCAATATGCGCACCTCGATAAAGCTGTGTCTACCATTTTATCGTTTGCTCTATACAATCAACAAGAAATTCATTATATTGTTTGTCGATATTTGACGTCTATGTGATCTTGAGGAAGTAGAAATCCATATCGAATGTGCACACCCACGAGGTATGTTTTAGTCTCTATGCCGTGCAGTAATTCAACTCTTTCCCGGGATTCTAAACCAAGACCCATATGCTTGAAATTTTACTTTACTTAATATATCTTGGATTACCACCAAATTACGAATATTTATGCGATACATTTTGTCACGGTAGCTCTGTATATTGCCACCATGCGCAATAACTGTGTAAAATATTAACATTTTCAAACGATAAATTTGTCGTAAATTTTTTATCCTAAGGCTTGCGTTTGGCTAGTTTCGAGATAAATGTCGTAGCATGTATGTTAACCCTGTTGGGATTTTGTGTGAGTCAAACAATGTATTGTTGACATACGGTTAAACACACACTTAAAATCTATAATTGGTAAATTTGCGTTTTCTAACGCTCGACTGAAGTGATAACTATAAGTATAAAATATAAGTTAAAATATTAAAAATGATAAAAGAGAAGCCTGGTTGGTTTATATTATAGATTACAGGGTGGCTTCCACCTCTGAGAAGATTTTTAATAACGTTCCACTTAATACAACTAAGGCTTTAAAATCTTTATCGACCTGCCGCAAGGAGGCCGCTAGAGGCAGAGTAGCCTAACTGCAATTTTTTGACTTGACTTATTTATATTTTTAAAATCTAAAAATGTAAATCTACTTGAGCAGAGTGACCGAAAATTTTTAACATAATTGTTACACAAATAATAGTACAAATTCATTTTCGTCAAGTTAATTGCGCGTTTATATTTTCCTTCATATTTTTATTTTTTATTAGGCCATTCTGTCTCTGGCAGCCTCATAAAGAAATGTTAATTTTTAACCGTATAGACGTTAAAAACTTTCCGTAGTTTACGCGATTAGTACACATCTAAATAAAACACTTTAACGGTTTGAAACGCGATATATATTAGTCTCACCGTTAACACGGCTGCTGCAAAGCATGCGAAACGTCGGGCCGAAGTTAAAAATAATTTTCAAATAAGTTGTACTAATGTATATCGCGTTTTAAACCGGTAAAGTGTTTTATTGAAATGTATAGACGCGTTCATATGTGTATGTACTTTAGTTACCCGACTACAATGAATAAATGATTTTTTATTAAATGTTTATCATTGTAACTGGAAACCACACTGGGGACATAACGCGTCACGTAACACTGCGGTTTATTTTAGTTACTTTGAAATTTGATTTCAAAATCATGTGACTTGCGCGTTATTAAACTGTACGTGTCTGCGAGAGCTACATGACTGGACCGACTTAGATCAAATGTTTTTTTTTATGATGAAATATCTCAGCTAATTAACATCTAAAAAAGATGCACCGTCGATCTATTTCACAGACTGAATCGCGATTAAACTTTACTTTACATCAGTGGATTCGTGCTCCGGACGGAATTTCGGAATTTAGGATCACGAACCAACGGCCATAGATGAAGAGCCATGTTTAATCAGGTCGACAAAACACCCCACGTCTGTCTGGCATTCTGTGCAATTAAAAATATGACATTTTGAGCCATTACCAATTATAATAAGCTGTGTGCCGAGATAAGCCAGAGCGTGTCCATGTCTCGGTATTGACATCTCCGTATCAAGTTTCCACTGTCTTTCCTTCCAGTCCCACACGTCTATAGCGCTCACACTGCTTGGAGTTTTATCCTGGAATATATTTATTCTTAATAATTTCTAGAGTTGAGTGAAGAAGTATCAAACAACAAGCTGTTTGATAAAAAGATAAATACGAAAACATGGGCGGGACTTTGCTTATAATAGGAGACGGTTTTTCGTTGCGACAAAATGGTGGATAAAGTAAATTTAAGTGCGATTTTTGCCTTAATTACCTAAAACAACTAACAATTTGCGTGACAGCAAATTTAAAATAACTTAACCAATATTGAATTACGTTTTAATCAGTTAAACTTCTTTTAAGTGAGCTAATACTACCTAAACTCGAGTGGACGTTAAAGTTCAAGACGTAACCTTATCGGACATTTTTCCAGCCCCACCTATAATGTACAACTTGTCATTCATTGCAAACATGCTCGCAAAACATCTTGGGAAACGTAAGCTGTGAATTTCCGTCCATCTATACAAAATAAATAAGTTATTAAATGTGAATAACTAATTTGTTTCTAGATAGGTATAGGACCTTAATACAGAACGATACGTTTTTCGTAAAGTGCTATTTCGTCCTGACGTGAGTACAGCGTTAATTACATAAAAGAAAATCGACAATGGAAAAATATATAAGTGTAAAAAATGCGAAAAGGTTTATAAGGTTTGGGCTTTAATTATTTTTTAAAAGAAAGAAAACCATACACGCAAAGGTATGCTTTTCGTATAGTAGTACACCTTTCCTATTTGATATTGTCAGACTAAGAATCGCATGTTAGACAATATATATACATAGTTAATTGAACGACATCATATTTTCGAAAATCGACATGGAGGAAATATCGATATTTTGCCCATTAAAAAATTAATACATTATAAAACCGTTAAATGTGTTTTATTTAAAAACTACTCGCAAAAGTTCAAATTCAAAAAGTACTCTACAGATAACAATCAATACATCTCACTCATTAGTCTTCGAGTTGTAGCACTCGACAATTTTGCAAACGGGTCGCTTCTTCTCCCCAGTCATACCACCAGCGACCCAAATGTAGTCTCTGTACTTGACCGCCGCTACTGCCATGCGCGCCACGCCCATGGACCGCACTTCGCTCCAGGACCCAGTCTTCGGGTCGAATCTCTCCACAGATCTTAGCACTCTGGTGTTTTGAAGATACTAAATTATTAAACCATTTAGGCCGAACAAAATTGACCAAGTTACACTATTTTGATAGTTTACGACCAGGGTTTCATAAGAAACGTTTATATATCTCACCTGCCCTTTTTATCCTGCCCCCCAATAGCATACAATGCCATCTTATGAACCACGAGCCCAAAATTCTTCCTGGGTACAGCCAGGCCCGATTCACTGTACCAAGACCGAGTTACTGGCTCATAACTCCATACTGTGGACACGACGACGGATTTGCCACGTAAATCATCTTCCCGGGGATCAGCCCCGCCTGATATGATGAAGAGCTTATTTACAGTGTATGTAAATTTGTATTACAGTGCGTTTGGGCTTTTTTATTAATACTAATACATTGCTATATAAAAGTGTGTTTGTTTGTTTGAAGGCGCCAATCTCGGGAATCACTGGTCCGTATTGAAAAACTATTTTTGTGTTTGTTGAAACATTTATCGAGGAAGGCAATAAAAAGTCAGGCTGCGATTAATGGGAGCGTAGAAACCGTTGCCTTCGCTGCAAAAACGGTTCAAGAAACCAAAATATTACGTTAGAAACTCCTCTATTAATGATCTAAAAAAGTGCACGAATAAGTAAGTCAGGCTCACCAACAAGAAACACTCTTCCGCGCAAAAATGCTACGGAGTGATGATGCCTCGGCTCTGGTAGTTCGCCCACGGACTCCCAAGTATTCGTTACTGGATCGAATCTGGAAGATTTATTAGTTCAAATATATATACTTTTAAATAAAACACTTTAACGGTTTAAAACGCGATATATTAGTAAAACTTATTTGGAAATTATTTTCCCCGTCTCGCCGTGATCACGGCTGCTGCAAAGCATCCGAAACGTCGGGCCGAAGTTAAAAATCATTTTCAAATAAGTTTAACTAATATATCGCGTTTTAAACCGTTAAAGTGTTTTATTTAAGTGTGCACTACTCGCGTAAACTATAGACAGTATATATACTTTTATTTTTAAATATTGTTTACATTTCGTCTTACGGTGTACTCGCCCCCACACTAAGATTCCCTGTGTTGTTGGCGGGCTATTCTCTATCGGTGCATTAACAATTAACATCGAATAAACTATATACTAAGTTCTTGCATGATAATTAAATTAATGCCTGCGAGGCAGTCAAGCATAGCACAAGGTCCAAATGGCACAAACTTAAAAGTATTTGAAGTCGGTCAGACAGAACACAGAAGTTTGACCATAAAAAGTTTCAAGAAGTTCATAAAATCTTACCATTACAATAACACGGGGTTATTCAAACAAAAGATTGAACGTCATAGAATCATTGAATACAATTTAAAGTTTCAATGGATATATTTTTCACCTGTATATATCTCTGCCAGTGTTGCCGGCTAGACCATAATGAGTGTGAGGATCAGTTCCTCCAAAGACCAGAACTGTCTCCCGATCCCAGTTGAAGAGGGACCCGTCGATTATGTAATTCTTATTAGACGGACCGAGGATAGATGTGGACAACTTGTTCCTGTGAAATTTAACTATATAGAAATAGGCTATAAACAACAAAGAGTTATAATCAATACATTAAATAAAATTAATTTTATAATCAAATAAAAAAGGAGCGAAATATATCAGTCTATAAATTTTAATGATTGCCCGACTTGAGTCAGTTCTGTAATGGCTTAGCCGTTTATTCAAATACGACGAAACAGATGGCGCTACCGTAGCAAAATTGACTTTGACATGAGGGACATCCTCCATCTTCAGTCCCACCGTGACGACGATTGCTACAAAGCATCTGAAACGTCGGGTCGTAGTTTTAATTAATTAGAAATAAGTTAACTGATTTCTTGTTTTGCGTTTTAAACCGTTGAAAGTGCTTTATTTAAGTGTGTATTAATTGCGTACACAGTACTAAAGAAAAACTGAGTGATAATTGAGATGGATTCTTTGGCTAACAATACTCTAACAGCATGTTCTTCGAGATTTTTGATAAACTTATTTTAAAAGTTCACAATAAAAAAATTATGACGCCTTACATATTTGCCCTAGCAAGGGATTCCTTCGACTGATTGAATAATGAAGCCTGAGGGCTGGTGATATTCTGGACTGAGTTAAGCTGATTTGATTGGTCAGGACGAACATTCGACGTTGTTTGCGGACGACGATCCATAGGTTGAGGATCTCTGGGAGCAAACAAGGAAGTCTTAAAAGCTTATAATATCTCAAATTTGAGATTTATTCATAGCGAAAAATTGCGCTTTGATGCCTTGGTCCTTTCGGGATCACGACTGCTGTAAAGCGTCGCAGACGTCGCAGTGGTGGTAGAGGAAATTTGAGACTTAGATATAAATTTATGTTTGACTGTGAGCACAAAATAAATTATGCCAAAAGAAATATTTCTCGTAGTAATCTGTTAAATTTGTTTTATTACTGCTGCTTGTTCCCTGCTAGTGCCGCTGTAGCCGCGGCTAGATAGCAAGCTGCAACGCTGTGCCGCTTTTGACCTGGTCTCCGAGTATCCTAGAAATAAATATAAAATACGCTATGTTTATTTGAGTTTTTTTATTGGTTCTTTTAAAGGTACGCAATTGATGGGACCTCTGTCCTGACCGGAACAAGCTGTTGTGTCCCCTGCATTCGGATCCAGGATCTCTTGCGCTTAACGAAATACTGCACAGCCTTTAACCGTTTGGCTTCAGAAGTGGTAAACCTTTATCATTGGTAATAAATAATTTATTTAAACACTTACTATAGCACTGTTTCCACCAGTTTCACTTGTCTCGCTGTTGGATGTAAGTGTCTCTTCTGTCGAGTCCTTTTCAGGTGGCTCGTGTCGCTGATCTGACTAATTACACAATGCCTTTTATAGTTCAATATCTTATGTTAAAATCTAAGAAGCATTTATACTTACGTTGAGCGTTGGATGAATTTGGTGTCTGTTTAACTCGATGCTGTTTCTCGTTTCTTGGTGAATTCTTGGTACAGAATCTTCAGATAGTGGCGACTTATCGAATGGACGCGCGGTGTCTTTCATCTGAAAATAAAAATATATTATAATATTAGAATAGAATGGATTCAAAATTTTAATTACAAGTTAAAAGTATTGAACTAATTAAAAAAAACGTATTTTACAGAATCGAAAACGTGCATTAATTATCATATAGTACATAATACATTTATATTGTTATGTAATAAAACTGCTGAAATTAAAAATGGATTATAGATAAAAAAATTACGACTCGGGCAGGACTTGAACGGGCATCCACAGCGTTCCGTGCTGTTGCTATACCAATATAATTTTTCAAATGCACGGAACGGTTTGGATAACTGAGTATGTCTGTCTTAATACGCGTATACAGACAATCGCCGTAGCTCAGTGGTTAAAAGACGTGTAGCCTTGTATTCCATTAAACATGAGAGGTATTCGGTTCGAATCCCGTGAAGCGATAAATAGCTTCAGTTGGGCAATGCAAGTCTACGAATTACCTGTAAATAATAATCAGATTCCGAACTATTCTCCACATGCATGCATTATCGTGATTTTTATTTTGATATTGATTTTGCTTATCGTTATTAAAATGCAGACGTATAAGGTGTAAAATAATATAATGAACCTTTGCTTTTTTATCAAAGAAATCACTCATCGTTGGAAATTTATCAGTATCAGTAAGCCCCATTAGCACAGCTGGTGTAGGGAAGTCTATTTTTGGTCTTCGCATATCCATTTTATCTTGGTCTTTGCCTCGAAAGCCGCCTGGAGACAAAACATTCTTCAATTCTTTATACTAGCGTTATATTTACAGAAACAACTGCATTTTAAATCTGAAGCCAGTTTACATTTCGGTAAGTATAAACAAGACCGACGTGATTTTTTTATGTAAACTTTTAGAAAACTCAAACGGTAGCAACATATGGCTACCAGTATGCCGTTAGTTTGATTTCAAACGGGTTTAGCGTAAATAAACATAATTTCCTAAAATGTTGTAAAGATGCTAGAGCATTGTCTTGAAAATGTGGAAATAATTTCATCGATAAGTTTCGTCTTGGGACAAATAAAAATAAACCGTGAACCGTGGTTTTTCAAATGCCAAATAATGTCGATAGCGCATCTAGTGTTCATCAAAAAATGGGAACTCTATGATTGTCTATTCCCCTGTCATTAAGAGTCCAGTAAGTTTTGTAAATATAGAACACAATTTTTCGTAAAACATTACGAAATATGCAATAACCTTTTCTTATAACAAGTTTATAACTGAGTTGTCAATTGCGTCACATATTTTCGCGTTTCCTGCGTTTTTGTAGGTTGACAAATATTTGCAAAGTCATCGTTATCGATAGGTCGCTGAATATTGTTTACTTTACGCGACACTAGCATTAGTACATCTACTATCTATAGCATACGAATAAATATTTTGAATCGTAACTCGTTGGTCTAATGATTAGCAATGCATGGCTAATAATAATCAATGGATCGTGGGTTTGGTCCCCACCAAGACCAGCATATTTCTAATGAGTTTCTACTTTCTCTGAAACATGGGTGGGTTTCCGATGCATAAAACGGTTCAAGATACCAAAAGAATGTGACATTATTTATCCATCTCCTAAGACTAGCTTGCAGGAATGACGTAACGCAACCGACGTCGGTAGCAGCTATAATTTCTAAAGAAGAAGATAAGAGATTTGCAAAAACTAATTTTGATGGGCAAATAACTATTCTACGCGGACGAAGTCGCTGACATAGCTAATTACATATCTGAAGTGTTTACCTGGTGCGTCATCGTTTCGTCGTGGTGGTTGCATCATAGCCATCTGCTGGTACATTTGATCCTTGGGCACCGTGAATTGTTCTAGATATTTTAAGAACTCCTTGTAAGTTACGTGATTCTGTGGGCGTGTTTATTTTGGTTTAGTTCCGAGAATAACCGTTTTCCCCATTGCTAAAGTTTATCAGTTTTGCGAATTGTTTGCATGTCTGGTCTTTACCGAATTTATTGAAGTTTATGAGTAATGTTTTAAATATATAGATTTGTCTAATTTAGCCTGGTAGTTTAGCTTGGCAGCCTGGAAGTCATAAAACAGCCAAACAACTTTGACTTTGTAAAATCACAGATACCAAACTAGAAATAAAAATGACTTGGCGTTACCCCAACCCCGGACTAATTACGGTAAAAATGGTATAAGATTTAAGGGTGCTGATCGATACAATAAGTTACCTGAAAGTATTAAAAACGCATATCAATATCTTTAAGAAATCATTAAAGTTCCGTATTTTAGAATAATTTAATCATTAGCATTTTTTTTATTATATATCACTATTTCGCTTAAATAAAGTACCGATGCATTTCACACAATGATACACATTTAAGTTTAAGTATTAATGTTTTCTCATTGAGTGAATATGTATATTCTTAGAGAAAATATTTTTTTTAAACCTTAAGTCCCGTGTCCCTTACATGGGGTATGGGACCGAAGTGCACTATTGATTACTGATTTTTAAGTGGTGTTTCCTCGCAAACTAAAATTATTGTGACCTCGGAATTCCAATCTAGCATTCTCGTGTTTATCATTGTTACAGAGGCAGTGTTTGAAACCTGGTAGGGTTCTAGGTTTTTAATACTACTAATATATACTATGAAAACTTTTGTGTTAAACAAGATGGTACCTTCTCTTCTCCTATCCAGTTTCTCTCGACGGGTTCAGATAGTCCAAGAACATCAATCCAGTGATAATAATTCTTCGAGTTGTTTCCGTACCAATACTTTATTATAACATAGCTGTAAAATAATTTAAACAAGAACTTTTTTCGAACAGAACAGTATACTTACTTTGTGTATCAATAACTAGGTACACAAATTACATACACAATGAAGTATTGTCTATAGTTTACGCAAGTCGTACAGACATATATTAGTTAACCTATTAGCAATTTATTTTAACTACGTCCCCATTAGGCCCAGACCCTTGGTCCGGTTCCCCAATCCCCTGTGATGGGACCGTAGTTAATAATTGGTATATAAAACTACGAATTTATATCACGTTTTAAACCGTTAAACGTGATTTATTTGAATGTGTATAATCAATTAGTATAGTTTTCTATTGAATTGTCGTCTATTCTCTTTATTTGCCTATATATGTATATTTCGTTTTATTTCTTTAGCAAAACAGTCACATTTTTATATTTATCATATAAACCCTAATTCAATTTGTGTTTATTCTTTAACTTAACTAAACAACAATTATACAAGACAACAAAAGAAGATTCGGTCTTCTCAAACACATCTAGTTAAACCTACTAGTAATTAGAATCAAGACACTGAAGAACTTACGCTAAGCCATCGTCTACCATCTGCTGGATCTGCGGCTCGTTCACAATTTCAAGAATCTCCGCGTTATCTGGATTCCTCTTGATATCAACAAGCTGCCAAGGTGAGATGAGACCGAATCGGACACACTTCATCACATCTATGGTGAACCGTTTCCGAGTGTTCCAGTCTCCATACAGCCATCTGACACCGGCCATCAATACTTCTATTTCGCTGTATAACATCAAAAATATATTTCAATAAAACACTTTAACGGTTTAAAACGCAATATATACTAGTTAAATTTTCAGCACCTGTGACCACGGCTTATATATCGCGTTTTGAATCGTTAAAGTGTTTTATTTCAATGTGTACTACTCGCCTAAACTACAGATTCAAATATATAGTTTTGAAAGAAAGAAAAAATTATCGATTTGCCATCATACATTCTCGTGTTTGGAGTTCCATTTCTTAAAGGTGATCAACTAACATGAACAAGACGCTGCTTTCCCTATTTATTTTGTTACGACTATTTTTTCCGAGATTCGAACACAAGACATCTCAAAATTATTCAAGCTATTTTGCAAGGAAGGTAATTTGTTTTTTATTATTATTTCGAAATCAATTAAACGGGCGGAAGTCGAGCCAACGACCATACAACTGTATATTAGAACCCTAATCGCATAGATTGCAATTAAAATATTTAAATAAAACACTTTAACGGTTTAAAACGCGATATATTAGTTAAACTTATTTGAAAATGATTTGTAACTTCGGCCCGACGTTTCGGATGCTTTGCAGCAGCCGTGGTATATCGCGTTTTAAACCGTTAAAGTGTTTTATTTAAATGTGTACTACTCGCGTAAACTATAGACAGTATTTAATTAAAATATTATTAAAATATTTTTTCTTATTGGGTTTGGTTCTTGGTCTTGATTTGTTTCCATTATGTTAGTTCTCGAATTTACCTAGCTACGCAAATATAGTTCGACCGCAGAAACATCATAACTTCATCAGGTTGCAGACCAAGGAAGTCTTTAGATGCGACGAGTGGGAGGAAGAATCGCTTGACTCGCGACACCTGTAGAAAATTATAATTGGTAATAATGTATTATTTACATAATTAAAATGCTAAAATTTAACACGTATAACGATTTAAAACGCGAAATATATTATTTAACCAGGTGACCCTGGTGCAAAGTATCCGAAACGTCTGGCCAAGTTAAGATAAATGTAATATTTTTAAACCGTTAAGTATTTTTAGTAAACATGTATTACTCACATATACTACAGACTACAGACAATACTTGATTATTATCTACTCTGAATACCTATTCTCTTCTTCATCTGACTTCCATAGACTACAAAGAGTGACGAGAAAAGATCTCTAAAGAAATTGTTTTACCATATCTATTTTTAGGTATATGTGAGGGATGAAAAAAAAATATAAATATATATATATATATAAAAGGTCTATTAAGAATAGGGTTTGATGATAAGAAGGGTGGAAATTTAGAAATATCTATATTAATATATAGAGCTGAACAGTTTGTTTGTTTGATCGCGTTTATCTGAGGAACTACGAGTTCAAATTTCTTTTGTGTTGGTTAGAGCATTTATCTAGGAAGGCTATAGGCTATAAAACATGGTCCTGTAACTAATAGGAGCGAAGATACAGCGGGAAATGTGACACTAATTGGAAAAATTATTCCTCATTACGGGTTTCCGAGGCGTACGCTGCAAAAACGGTTACCCAAAAAATAATACCTTTAAATGTTCTAAAAAAAGTACGCGGCGCTGTATATCTATCTGTTAGGATTAACGTGCAAGAACGACGGGAAGGGACGCGACAGACATCTTGGGTAACAGATTGAGTTTATAAAGATGAAGAGGTTTGTAAAAACAAAAAAAAAATGGATGCCCAAAATAACGATATTCGCGGACAAAGTGGCTTACATAGCTAGTAATACATAAAAGCCAATTTAAAACTACTTAGGTGTATAAATTATAGATAAACCCGATTCTTCCACATACTCAATATGCACAAAACTTCACGGTTGAGCCCTTTTATTGTGTCATGAAACTGTCCTATTTGGGATACTTCAGAGTGTCAGTAAATTTTCAGTTTACCATTAACTCCATAACAGAAGTCATATTGCTCAATCTCGCTTCCCTGTACAGAACGAAGGCTGAATCTTCATTGAATATCGCTTCGTTCGCAATAAATGACATGCACTGGTCCTCTAAATCTGCCTTGGAAAATATTATTTCAAAAATATTAAATTCATAAAAGTACCTTTATATTTGAAAACTTTAATATTTTTTTACATGTTATTGCACATGAAGGCACTATGTAATTTAAAAATCAGATCGGAACGCTGACGATGCCGGTTCAAGTTCTGCCCGAGTCGAAAATTTTTTCAATTTATATTCGATTTATAAATTATATAGTACCTTTATACATAAATTATGTAGTTATTAAAATTTCATGTATTTGAATGTATTTTTTCTAACGTATTAGGTTTGACTTGTTTAGTTAGAAGTTTTTGTTAAGGAATAAATAAAATCATTTATGTCTGTCTAAAATCAAAACGCAAACCCAAAACGCGATTAAACGTCACTGTTTTTTTTTCATTTGTAGCTTCCATTCGTGACCTGGACGAAATTATTAATATTCCTACCATCAATTTTTTATCCAAATTTCCAGACAATGTCCGACTTGTTTCAAAAATATCAAACCTGATTAAAAAAATGTTGGACCCGATGGGGATCAAACCCAAAGCCAAACCATTAATAACCAAACATTGCTACCAATATAACCCATTCATCGCAATAACGAGATCTTCGCAAGAATCAAACTGCCTACCTTTTATCCCTAAATATTGTGCGGCTGAAAACAAATCGAGAACGTTCTCCCGCTTCAGCAGCTTATTGCTTTCAGAGCCGCTCAGCATCATCCATTCATAGATGGTTCGGAAGGCAGCTGGTTTTACGTTGCTCTAAAAAAAAATCGCAGTGACTGTGTAACTAAATGGTTAAAAGTGTTGCCTAGCATTGTGCTAAGCGCGAGTGGTCCTGGATTCGAATCCTGGAAAAACAAGTATTAAGTTTTTAATTAATAAGTATTAAATTATGTATAACTAGAATATATGCATTTTTATTAATATTTTAAGTTTAGCGACATTAATTCGGCGTTATTATTTTAAGCTGATCCTCGGAGGAATATTCTGTTGAAGTTGACAACACTGGCATGTTCCAGCCGTTTCCAGCACAAAATGAAAAGATAAGCGTAATGCTAAGTTAATATTTCACATTGATAGGTATTATTTTAACATGCCACTTACAACAGGTAGCTCTATGTCCCTTTGAGTGTTCGCGCTAAAGAATGACGAATAGATTTGAAGTACCATGCGGTGACAGTGGAACTCCTCATTGCTGATATGCACGACACAATCGGTATTTCTGGAAATCAGTAAAAAATTTAACGTTTTAAAGCGCGACATATGGCCACGCCACAACAGATGGCGTTAGCGTAGCAGATTCGACTTTAATATTACACCCAAAGCACAACGTGCAAAACTTCCGTTAATTGAGAAAAGAGCACAATTACATGTGTTATTTAATCGTAAACATCGTATCAGCACTGTAGCCCAATTAGTAGACGTAATGGGGCTATGGGTTCAGGACCCGTTCGTGTCAATTCAGTAGCGTAGCTATCGTAAGGCATGTTGGTCAGGGCAACTTAGAAACAACTAACCTCATCTTTGATAAGAAATAAAAGAAAAGATTTTTGTTTTTCTTATCTATTGAAGGCTTATATATTTGAAGGCAAAAGAAGAGATAATGGGGCCCGACTATATGTCTATGTACCGGGCCCTAGTGCACCTACCCTATTGCGTGTTATTGAAGTTTTTCAACCTAAATAGATTTTTAGTCTACGCTATAGTACGTATATAAATGACTAACATAAAATTCAGCACGCGCCGATAGAACTCTTGGAACAATTCCAGCTTTTTAGGCAACTGTACGCAAGTCCAGTCGACAGGTTCTGACTGCCCATAGCCAAGGCTGGACAAATCGGTGTTGTATTTTCCCATCGCATGTTTGTCTACCACAGTTTCGACGTGAAAAACAGTAGGATTCGTTCTATGGCCGTATTGCAATGCCGGTTCGGGTTTATCTTGAAACTGAAAAAAAATATTTAAAATGTATTATAACCTGTAACTATAACAATACCATTTTTAACATATCGTATTTTTCAAAACAATAAAAATAAATCTAGTAATGTAGTAGTGAAGTATTTTAGACACTCCAAGGGAATATACAAACATGAAGACTGACATAATCGTTACTCTTACCAGTTACATACTTGGCTGAATATTAAACGGTTAAAAATGGAAAGATATGTATATGAGAAGAGGAAAGGAGTACTATTGTATTAAGACTATAGCTAAAACCACATTATTTATTTTTATTTTTAAGCAATTTGAAAGTAACTAAACCATACTGTCTGTAGTTTACGCGAGTAGTACACATTTAAATTTAAATACAACACTTTAACTTTGTTTAAAACGCGATAAGTTTTAGTTAATCTTTTTTGAGAATTATTTTTAATTACAGCCCGACGTTTTAGATGCCTTGGTCACGTGGTCACCTGGGATTCCATAATAAAACCTCTGGATCCCAATAAACAGCATACCGGCAAAAGCCAAGACACCGGAGTCAATTCTGGAAGGACCCGGCCAGTTTTGCCAAATACCAACTTAGTCGGAGCAGATGGCGCTAGCGTAGCAATATTTGTTTTGACGTCAGAGACATCCTCCATATTTAGTCTACCCGTGACCACGGCTGCTGAAAAGCATCCGAAACGTCGGTCCGTAGTTAAAAAATAATTCTCAAAAAAGTTTAACAAAAATATATCGCGTTTTAAACAGTTAAAGTGTTTTATTTTAATAAATAAACCATATTTTGTGTTTTATACCGTTAAATGTATTTTATTCATTTTTTGATATACGAGGTCAGACAAGCAATCAGCTCCCTCTATCATATAAAAATATACTTACGTTATTCTTCATAATATTGTTCATTGCTGAATCCAGTTCATCGTCATTGTTCCCTTCAAATTTAACCTTGACCTTCGCTTGCGTCGGATCAGCCAGCAGCACACCAACAGTCGAGGACTGAAACACTACCTGCATTTCGTGAACATCGAGGAGTTGGAACTTCGAAAGTGTGAGACGAAAATGCAAGAATAATACCTGATTTGATTGCACTTTCAGATTTCCACTCGGGGTCGGTTTGAAAGGGAACGGCGCTATTTTCTGGTGAATCGTTGCATCTGAACTGCAGGTGCTGATAAAACATGTATTAGCTTTCAACGTAAACAGTAATATATGAGGCTTTTAAATAAAACACTTTAAACGATTTAAAACGCGATATATTAGTTATATTTTTGAAAATGTTTTTTACCCCCGGCCCGACGTATATGTTTGCTGTACGGGGACGCTAGGGGCTCTGCAAAGCATACGAAACGTCGGGCCGAAGTTAAAAATCATTTTCAAATAAGTTCAACTAACATATATCGCGTTTTAAACCGTTAAAGTGTTTTATTTAAACGTGTATTACTCGCGTAAACTATAGACAGTATATATGAGGCTGCTAGAGGCAGAGTGGCCTACTAAAAAACATGATTGGCAATAAAAAGGACAATAATAACTGCGCAATTAACTTAAGAATGACGAAAATGAATTTGTACTATTATTTGTGTAAGAATTATGTTAACAATTTTCAGCCACTGTACTCTACAGTACACTGCGGTTCTAAAACACGTTAGACCCAACGTCCCGAAAATAACTGTTTTAGATTGAAAATACTTCAGGTCACGGGCTGGAATAGAAACGGCATGCCGTGCGTGTGATCTAAGCAATTGAGCTACCGTGTCCTACACGTCATTGTCGATCTAAATAGATTTTTAATTTATATAATGTCATTACGTGTACAACATGTGAACTATAAGGCTTTATTGCTCTTTTAAATTGACAATTTACTAATAATAACACATCAGTTTTATAAAAGCCGTACTATAATCGCGTTTCGGGTTCCGTAATCTTGCTAAAAGTCAAAATTGATCGCATCTTGTTTACTGTTATATATGTATATGGCTGGGTATTATCGTGTAATCCCTATATGTGTCTGTCCTCTTTTGTCTTAAAGATACCTTGAGTTGTCAATGGACGAAGAGACGGTGTTGTCGCCATTGTAAGAATAGTCGGAGGCATATCTCGACGGGTAGGTATCAGCAGGAATCTCTGTCTTCTTCTTCATCTTCCTATTACAATGGTAAATTTAATAAAACTAACGGTTGAAAATACGAAATATATCCATGTCATCCATAATGTCAATGGATGGGAAATGTAGAGCACCACAGCTTCAGTAAGCATCTACATCGTAGTAAAAAAAAAAATTTTGTTTACCACGTGAGTATCAAACACAACGTTACAGTACAGTACAACTAAGCTTCGGCAACCGTAGTAAAAAAACTATCTAAGTTGCAAGTTTCAAACCGTTAAAAAGTAATAATAATGATAAGAATGTTTGGCGATTAAAAAAGGAAATTTTGTTACATTTAGATACAAGAATTTCGGAAAAAAGTCAATTTTAAATGTTCTGTAGGATTTCTTCTTTGCTTTATCAAAATAGATCGACAGCACATCTTGTACAAATGTTAAATGCCTGGGGTATTTACCCTTCCATCATGCGTACCCACGTTTGTCGGTCCATCTCTGTCCTCAAAATACATACTTAAATAGTAATTTCAACTTACTTTCCCCTGTTCCAAGACATGAATGGAGCTTCAATCGAACATCGAGAATATTTCTCCAGGGCGTCACCTGCGCTTAGGCAAACGTCTTCAGTCGGCTGGCACGCACAGCCCTTCTTATTATCGAAATAATCGAATGCTACAGAAAAGAAGAGAAGACAAAAGACTAATTACGAAATACTCCCTAACGTAACTTTACTCCCACAGCTGGGACAGGATAAAGATCAGTGACACTGGCGAAATGTAATTTTGTGTTTAAGTGCTCTGTGTGTACTACTAGCGTAAACTACAGACAGGGCCTTAGCATTGTTTTAAAGTGACTGTTTAAAACGCGGACTTTATAATAAATACGCCATCTACATAATCGTTAATTATTAAAACGTTGCTCAATTTCAACAAGCAAGCACTTAAAAATTAACAACATATAAAAAGTTTAATAAAACACTTTAACGGTTTAAAACGCGATATCTTAGTTAAACTTATTTGAAAATGATTTTTAACTTCGGCCCGACGTTTCGGACGCTTTGCAGCAGCCGTGGTCACGGGGAGAATAAGTTTGACTAATATATCGCGTTTTAAACCGTTAAAGTGTTTTATTTAAATGTGTACTACTCGCGTAAACTATAGACAGTATTTAACATTAAAAAAAAATATTTTAAGCTGGTATAGAGGTATAGACTTACTTCCAACCGGATTTTATTATTGACAACTTTGTTTGTAATGCAGTGCAAACTAACGACAGTATTGACTCACAAAATGCACTCGACTCGGGCGATAGATCTGATAGTGAAGTGCTCTTCTGAATTTTGGGTTTTATAATTATTTGAAAATGCTCGTGGACACGTCCAAAAGGTTTACGCACTCTCCTGCTTTGTGTAACGGTTCTGAAACATTCCTTAACATGCAGTGTAAATCTAAGATTGAAAACGAGCGACGACTTGGGCGGTACTCAGACCCTTGACCACACCATCGTTGCTGGTCTAACAATTGAGTTGACGTGTCTTATAATAATTAATGTAAATATAATGTTTAAATAACAATGTTAACGGTTTAAAAGGGAAATAAATAAAAAATACGTTAACTAAGATATTTCTGAAATGTATATAAACGAGTTTAAAAATATAAATATATTCAAACAAACTGTATCCATCTGAAATCTTTAATATTTTCCACAATATGTTGTTGTACGTGATAGCACGATAATTTTTGAACGATTCGGCGATGAGGCGTAGGACTCGGTAGCTCAATTGTTAGAGCAACAGCACGGAACGCTGGCGATACCGGTTCTAGTCTTGTCCGAGCGAAAATTTTTCAAATTAAACTAAATTCATAGCTTTTTGTAGTATTTATTTAGGTTTGATATACTGAATTAATACTTACCTTTGCGTGTTACATAAGTGTTTTCTCTTCACATCTGAATTAACGTTCGTGCCATTTATCTGTAAAAATAATTTCTCCCTATACTAAATATATATTTAGCTTTACAACTCGCCCCATTAACAACTACACAAGTCAGGGTTCGGACCACTATGCCGCCCCAATGCGCGTTGGTGGGCTTTAACCACTAAATTAGATAAAAAACTGAAATTTTCTAACGCGCTCTTTTAATTGCGCGCGCGGTTTTGTCTCTTCCTACTTCTAAACTCAAGGCGAACAAACAATACGTTCAACCTTGGATTCGAACCCGGGAACTCAGCTGTAGTCAAGCACTTTATAACTATACATTTCTTATGATGGAGGAAGACAGACAAGCATGGGGTTCACTTGATACGATGTCGGCCTATATTGGCTTTGGATATTCGGAAATCAACAGACAGAAACCGAAACGCGATTAAGCTTCACGACTTTTTTACACATGTTTCAGAAAAATTAGAAATATGTCGGACCGTTTACGTTACAATGTTTTAAACATTACAATTAATTTGAAGAATACAATAATAACAAATACCTTTTCCAAAGAGACACTCTTTTGCATTTCAAATTCATCGAAAGAGTAATATAGGTAAGTAAGACATAATGCGACAAATGTGTTTTTTATTGAGATCAAAAGAGCCCGGATCTCGTGAAAAATTTTTGACAGCTTGACAGTTGACTTTTTCGTCGCGTTCTGTCAAAATTGTATTCTAAAATATTAAAAGATTTGCCACTGGGCTTTAGAACTCTTTGGAGGAACTTGGAATTGTAGATCTATTTACGGGGTTCGAGTCTTAATAAAGATTTTACAGGAAGCGGTGTCCGTAGTTTACGCAAGGAGCATTTACGGTTTAAAACGCGATATTAGATAACGTATATGAAACATCCGAAACGTCCGAATAAATCACAACTAATATATTTCGCGTTTGAAACCGTTAAATTTGTTTTATTTAAAAGATTTAACAGAAATTTACTCACAAACAAGTTAAAAAGAATAGCTGGTATGGAATGTAGTTTTTTCAGAAGAATTGATTAGAAAAATTATTATTAATAGTCATACATCGTCGACCTGTTGATTATTAATCATACATTGTTACTATTAACAAGTCTGTACAACAATATACTTGCACATCATTGTTTTTCGAAGAATTAGTGGAGCGATCGATTAGCTAACATCTTCTGATGCTGTCCGCTCGTGATGGCGAAACGTCGAGGACCTCTTCTCGCTCACGTCGGCCGAACAGTCCGAAAAATAATGATATGCTGAACGATGGTGGTTGAAGTCTTACACGATTTAATTTTCTTGTTCATGAGAATGATTTGATAATACAGACTACAGATAACCTACTCGGAAATTTTGCGTCACGCTATACTTTTGCAACTATATTTTAACTCATTTTTGATAACGTTTTTCGTATGAAACTCACGACTATTATATGGAACCTTGGCAGGAAGTCTGTGACGTAAATATATTCGGCGTACGCAGATATAAACCATTGGTTTGGATGTCTGAAGTCAGTGTACAATTGCGATAGCTTTGTGAAGACGTGTTGACCTTTGAAAAACTTTGGCAATTACGAAAGTGAGTTTGCAAATTCATTTTTTACCAATATAGAAAAATAAAAGAAATAATAAAAATAGAAACTGTGTGAAGTTTACGCTAATAAAATATATTTCAATAAAAAACTTACTTTAAAAATCGTTTTAACTACGGCCCGATGTTTCGGATGCTTTGCGGGAGCCGTGACCACATAGTTTAAATAATTTAAAAAAAAATTAGGCAACATAATTCGCGTTTTGAACCGTTAAAGTGTTTTTTAATCAATACTATGTTTTGAACTGATAAAATTATATTAAATTATCAATATCGTTTTAGTGAACAATTTAAAGACTAAATGAATAATCACGCTTAAACCAAGTGTTATTTGATGAGTTACAGTCTATAATATTTTATTGTCTGTAAATTCATTTCGATGTTAGTTTTTATTGAATACTGGTCTTAGATTTGCGATTTTGAAAAATTATACTTCCGATCAATCAATAATTTCTAATTAAACTGTATTAAATGAGGAATATTGCGGTGTTACATAGATGTATTGTAGTGCTCTGACATAATTTTTCAAGTTCAGAACGTTAAAAAGCCAATCTCTTCCAATCAATAAATATTTACAGAATTCTTGTAATCAAGCTGCTATAAATGTTCACAGAAATGTCGGAAGAACAACAGATACAGACAATTGAAAAGCCGGTAGAAATACAAGAAGAAGAAAAGAAAGAAGAACCTACCTGTCCAGAAAATCCAACTGACCAGAACGATGCAATGGTTACGAACGTTATAATTGCACCTCCTAATTGTCCACCAGGTTACCAGAGAGGCGCAGATGGTATTTGCAGACAAGTGTTTTAACTTTAAGCTAGCCAGGCAGACAGAATATTCATGTTCCTGAAGTTTCTAGAACGAGATAATCGTTATATCTTTTTTTTTTAATTCCCTTTTATTATAGCTCACTACAACCTAGTATACAATTAGGTCATTTATATATTTTGTCTTTGCCATTGAGAGTTGATATGATGAAGACAAAACATCAAACAGGTTTTCCTTAGTCAATATTCCCTTTGTCAATGTTTGTTTTAGACTGATTTAAAGATGCAATAAGCCCAGGATGAACCTTCTAATCGAAATCATTGTTCCAATATTCGTTTAAGAAAGTACTAATTTTGGACTATAAAGTTTTCGAAATGTCAAAAATAAATTAATCTTTATTGTTATTCAAATTAAATTTGTTTTGGCCTATGTTGGCCAAGCAGAATTAACGACTAGTGTTTAAGTTTTATATCTCTAAGGATTTTCTGTGATTTTCTCATTCTAATAGGATAAGATATTTAGCACGTATTTGAATTACTATGTCACACTCCTCTTCGAATTTTCGTTATGTGTTAAACAGTATTGTATATTTAAGTATTTATATCTTGTGTACTTTTGTAATAAATAAATAAATTAAATTTATAGATGTTTTATTATTAAACGTGACTTGACCTTTAAAATTCATACGCATGCATTTTGATTTGTCATACCAAATTTAAAATATTTCGTCAATACTAAGTATATGTAAGTTCTTTAATTGAAACTTAAAATATTTACGCTTTACACGTTTAAACTCGTAATAACTTTACTTATTTTTACCCATGACCCGACGCTTCGGGTGTTTTGCGACGTGACACAAACATACCTTTCATTATTTACTTTGAAGGATGTTTTTATAGAGAAATAGAATGTAATGGTGCGTGGTGGGTGACACCGATGGAAGGGTGAAATGATTACGATTATCTGTTGTTAAACCTATTTTTCCATTTCCTCCCTGCGAAGGAAATATAGGTAAAAATACTTTTATTTAGGAAACAATAAAAATGTCACACTCTGTATAGTCAGTCCGGGTCATTACCACATATAAGAAGAGGTGTGAAGTTTAGTGACGTTTCGATTTCAGTCTGTTGATTTTTGAATATTCAAAAGATAGATCGGCAGCACATCCTAGTGAAATGTTAAATGGCTGTGGTATTCCGCCTCCTCTATCGTAAAAACTAAATATGTAATAGAAAACATGGGCTCTGTAAAACTCAGTTAGGGTTTGGAGAGATGGCCTGGGTTGAAAGCGCATCCTCCATGGTTGTTATATCAACTTGTCTGTGAATACCTATTGACAGGTATAGCATACAATATTAAATAACGGAAGTTGCTGGACAAAATCTGTAAGAATTATTTTTATGATACAGCTTTGGATCCTCCAAATGTATTAGTTTACTTATATAAAATGTGTTTGGTATTTGAAGAAACTAGCTGGGTCCAACTACAAGGCGGTACCAAGTACGATAAACAGATGGCGTGAGCGTAGCAGATTTGATAGTGACATTAGGAATATTCTCCATATCCCTCTCTCTTCAGTCCTCCTGTGGCAACGTCTGCTTCAAGCCCGGATGATTTGCAGCAGCTATTGCAAAACGTGGGGCCATAATTTAAATAAAAAATAAGGTCACAAATACACTTCGCAGTTTTTAAAATTATTTTTCAACTAGCTGTATTAGTGACTTCGTTCGCGTAGAATAGTTATTTTGGGCATCCAAATTCGTTTTTGCAAATCTTTATAAACAAACTGTCCCTTCCCATCGTTCTTGCAGTTCAATCTTAAAGGATAGATATACAGCATCGCAGGCTTTTTTTAGATAATTTAAAGAAGAATCATTCTTTCATACACATTTTTTGGGTATCTTGAACCGTTTTTGCAGCGTACGACGCGGAAACACATAATGATGAATCATTTTCCCGTTTTTTTCTCACATTTCTCGCTGTATCTTCGCTTTTATTAGTCACAGGGCGATGTTTTATAGCCTATATATTCTTTAGCTTTATATATTATGTATGTATAGATGTGTACTACTCGCGTAAACTACAGACAATACTAAATTGTTTTGTGTATTTTTATCCCATTAGACGCTTACACATCTAGTACGAGGTTGGTGGGTCAATAAATATGAATGACTAATTTATATCGAAGGGCGCAACGGATGTAAACAATTACAACGTATTAAATAGACTATCGACAATATCAGTCATTCTATCTGAAGATAGTATACTTGGAATTGGTCTTCCAAACAGGAGTGCTGACAATGACGAGTCAGATAATTCCAAAAAGATAACGATAACTGTACACTTGTTATAAATACGGTTACTTTAAAGAACTTATAAGGAGTGACCATCCACAGACGATTTTGTCGTGTTCTATTCCAATTGAGGTAAAATAACTATATATATATCAATTATATCGTAATATAAATACAATGATAAACTTTGATATTTCTAGTAAGGGTTAGGGTTCCCACCCTGGGAAAACGTGCAAATCACTGATCTCCAATTAGAGGAAACAAGATGCACACATTAATTGTTTACTTATACAGGATTTTGGACACTTTATACCAGAACTCTGCAAAGCATCCGGAAAGATAGGTCATAAAAAAAATTGATAAAGTTTGTATTAGTTTAAAACCGTGAAAAGCACTTATTTACATTGTTTTATGTTTATAAGAATTGGCAAAACATATAACTAATATTTTTCGCGATTTAAACTGTTAAAATGTTTCATTTAAACGTGTACTACTCGCGTAAACTACAAACAGTATAATAGCTTTCTTACTGTTAAATCTTGTACTTACATGTTGTCCTTGTTTATTTATGGAAACCAATACTGTATCTAATCTTCTTGATAGACAGTGATTTGTTTTCTTTTTGTAATATTATCTTTGTTATTGTCTTTTTGACAATAACTAAGTTGATGTATATTAAGTTTTATTAACATTTATTAGTACATTACTTTAGTTTTTAAAACTTTTATTTTATTTTTTTAAGCTTTTTGAAATTTGTAATACAGTCTATAATTTTTCCATGCAATAAACCCTATGCTCATTCAGAAATGGCAGACAAAGAAGCAGTCGAACAACCAATTGAAGTGCCAGACCAGTTTAAAGATAAACCGACACCTGAAGATGACTCAAAATCTAAAGACACGCCTACACCTTTGTCTTCGACTGGCGCCAGTAGAAATTTGATCAAAGTTCCTCCTAATTGTCCATCAGGATATGTAAGAGGTGCTGACGGGAAATGTAGAGAGATCTTTTAAGCAGTATCTAATGTCATTCTGTAATTTTTGGCGCATAGTAGTCTTTGATTTAGTCATGTCGCAAAAGGCATGTTGCCGCTTTTAATTGGCTTTCTGATTCACATCCATTTTAAGGACAAACAAAATATTATGTTTGACTTAACTCGAAAATTAATTATATTATTTTCACTGTTTAAAAGTGTTCTTCATCTTAACGTTATCTAACTAAACCTTAGTTTTAATAATAAGTGACCTTAAATTTAAGCTTGAATGCGAGAAATGGAAGAAATCTTAATTAAGTATATTATTTAAGACAGTTTAGGAATGTAAATTAAATAATTATTTTATACTATGGATTATTATTTATTATTAAAAACCTTTGGAGTAGTTCTTCTTCTTGGAGGAATTATTGATGACGTAACTTGTTTTGTGGCCGCTTGAATGAAGAGGAATTTTTGTACTTCTCTTCGACGGTCTCGTTGGTGTGATAGTAGCAGTGTGAGTGTAATCAACGGTTCGTGAGTTCGACCAAAATCCAAAATTTTGCAATTTATAATTTATCTGACACAAGTTAGAGTTCAATAGAAATCAGATTATTAAATGGGTAATAGTAGGAATATCAAAATTCCACCCGTCTCACGAACCACTGCCCAAAGATGAAAAAGCCGTGAAGATTAATCATATTTTGGTGTTTCTGGATTTTCGAACATCCAAAACCAAAATAAGTTACCGCATCTTGCTTAGATGTCATATGCATAAGCTTGTCTGTCCTCTATTATAAAACCATTCAAAGATATTGCTGTATATCAATTACAGGAAAAAAGTAATCACATTCCAAATTGTCTGAGCCATATCTAAATGTCATCATAGCAGATATTACCATAATAGACCTGAAGATGGAACAGATTTAAAATGAGAAGAAAAATAATGAAAATAACAAAAACTTACTACGATCTTAACGTCTTGTTTGTAATTCTTTTATGCATAGTGTGCAATAAAATAGATAATGTTATTAAGAAAGTCTTGATAAGATAGATAAGATCTAAGAACTTCACCTTAAGTGGACCCTGAACTGCCCTCGATCATGAGTAGGTCAAACATGATGACGGAGATAGAAGAATCACTCTAAACACAGTGAAATCAGCGTTGGAGTTATGAAATAGTAAAATTCCGGGGAAATTTTAGTTGCGTATGCTAAGTGATTCACAGTGACGTCACGCAATCGATTGTGCAAATAATTATCAAGGTGTAAACACTCTACTGATATAAACACAAGATACAACAACGCTTACGACTCAGCAGTATCACCGCCTAGTCTACACTAGTGATCTTTCGCATTTCGTATAGAAGTAAGTACGCAGTGTCACTCTATATTTTTATTCAACTCAAAGCATAAAACGTTCAAAAACAATGTACAAACTAAACTCCTTAATGAACAACAAGTTTGTGCGCCTCATTATTTCTTTCGAAGGTTCTCTGCAATAAAAGTGCTTATATTTTATCTTTATTATGTAATAATACTTTCAAATTGCTTTCATATAACATATAGCATCTATATTCGAATTCTATATATCGTAAATATTTGATATTAAAGGATACATACCAAATTCTATTTCGCTTCTCTCTTTATTACGACTAAACTCTATCATAGTTCCACTATAGAAACAGGTTAGGTATTATTTACAAATGACTAGATAACCATTAGATTTACACTATTTAATCTGCAAAATAATTGTTCGTAAAATATTCACAACACCTATTAATCCCTATTGTATCCGTAGTTTAGCCTAGTTAACTCGGTAACATTCAAAATTTAACCCTCTAAAACCTTTACCGCATAAAGCCAAAACAATATACATACCTATTTCAATATTACAACAATATTAACATTCGAATTTATTTCTTGAGAGCTTTCAGATTTAATAATACTCGCACTGTAAAAATCCATACTTAAAATCTACGCAACACTTAGATATAATTCATGACACCTGATACGACGGTACGTGATTACAACTTCGCAGGGAACATGGCGGATGACAAGGACACCCAGCCCGATGAACAGCCCAAAGAGGTTGAAGTGAACGAAACGGTGTCCAAAGTAGAACTTCCTGAATCTAATGCAGTTCCTAACTCAACAACAGAGAGGGCGCCACCTGAGATTACACTAAGAAACATGATAGACGTACCCCCAAATTGTCCTCCCGGTTTCAAACGAGGAGCAGACGGCGTTTGTAGAGAAATATTTTAAGCCTTTGTTTGATTTAGGTTATTTCTATATCATCTACATTGATGTATATAAGATAATATTTGTTACGGCTATAGCAAAAATTAGGAGTATGTTTTAGCGATATATTAAATATAGTTTAGTTATAATGCTTGTAATTACTTTAAGCTTTTCAAATCTTATTAAAGTTTCTCGACGCATTACTGGTCGTTAGATTTTTGAGTTTTATATTGTAGAAATTACGGCAACCAATTACCTATAATTTAGCTTTGATTTGTAAATAATAAAATATTACTGACAAAAAGATTCCCGAATCTTGAAGGAAAGCGGGAATTATTTTGTTGACCTATTCATTAGGTATTGTCGTTCCATATCAAATGGTAAACTCACGTTTAATCTAACAATGTCATTTCCTAGGAAAGAAGATAATATTATTCTTGTATGAACTTCTATAACAAACAATATCATTAATTAATTCTGAAGAGCCTGAGATCGGCTACAAGTAAATATTGAAATGTCGGGACATCATAAACTATTTCTTAACACAAATTATAAGTAACCAAGAGTTGCATAAGTTTTAACAAATGGCGCGTCACTCTCGCAGGAATTCCTGCAAAGAAAATATAATATTACTTTACGACTGCTCCAGTCATTTGAGTTTATCATGATTATCAAATAAATGAAATTCAAAAATTATATGATTTCTCCTTACTTCTTCTTGTTTACTTGTGAAATTTACGACAGAAAATGATCTAGGATAACACAAAAAACGTAATCTAATGCAAACAAAGAGAATGTGAACAAAATATGTTTAACTGGCACACAAATAAAAAAAAACATAACTCAAAATGTGTATTTACAAAAAAGTAATACAAAACAAACTTAAACTAAAACCATAAATGTATCAAGCTATAATCACATTCTACCAGTCGTACCCACACACAATAGCCACATTTACTTACTCATCTTCCCAAGGACAAATGTCATTTCTCTGCTTATGATCACTGATTTTGCTATCTGAGCTTTTATCACGCTTATCTGCCATAGAAGATAGTTCGTCACCATGAGCAACCGTTTTGACATCTCCAGAAATTGTTCTGGTGTCCTTTGATTCCCTCTGTGCTACTGAAGGCACTTTGTCTAAGCTATCGTCTTCCACTATGTCCTCGCAGGTAGCTAGAGGTGCTATTGGAATCCGAACTCTCTCCAATGTCGAACGTTGAGAATCTTCTTTATCTGAACTCATACTGAGTGGCGGGGTCACATCTAAACTCTTTTGACTCACTACTACGCGGGTTATATGAACCAGAGCGACATTTGTTTCATTATTATTTTTTGGAAGTTCCTTCACACTATGCGAAACTGTTTCACTATCACACACGTCGTTTTCTTGTTTATCTTCTGTGTTTATAACATTCAGATCTTTATCCATACCTACTTCCTCAGAAGCGTCATCAGGAACCTCAGTATGAGAACTGACGACATCTAATTTCGAAGTATCGGCGTCAATATCACTCGAATCCGAAACCGCTTCGATTAGAGCTCGTTCACCAAACACAATAGCAGGGTCAGTCGGGGTCACATCTGTGGAGGCAAATACTGAGGACGGCTCTTCTGATTGTATTAGGGAGCGTCTTTCGTCTGGTGAATAAGTCCTGGGAGGTGAGTCACCCGATTCTTCGTCAGGTGCGGAACTGACACTTATCGTCGGCGTTGGGTGGTGAGGAGTTGTAGTTTGAGTGTGAGGTACTGGTTGTACGCCTACTCTTTTTTGTCGCGGCGAATGTGGTGGGGACGCCAGTGGTGCTAAATGTCTTGGCTCGACTGCAGACAGTCGTCGTAACGGCGGTGCGGCGCCTCGAAGACCACCATCTAACGTACTCTGCTGAGGTAATCTGCGCATGCGTTCACCCGTCGCTACTGCCGCGCTCACATCTGATGAAGAACTTCCTGAATCTGCGGCGGAATCTTGTCGTCTTCTTGCGCCACCGTAGGGGATTTCTCGTGTGGATGTCTCCCATGGTAAGACTTCTGATGTGTCATCATCCAAAGGATCGCTGAAATAGAAAACGACATTTAAACTTCAACTACATAAATGCTTGTTTAAACGTTGCTTAAGTAAGTGACATCACAACAACATTGCGACAGACTCAACTAGGATGTGTTATTAGAATCGTTATCGTTACTTGTACTACGTAGATTGAAACGGATAATAAATAAATAAACACACCTGTAAATTAAATAAAGTTCACATCTTATAAGCTTTGTGTGTATAAATAGTGTCGTACCGGAATGGAATATCGCAGAGATTTGACTGCGAATGGCTATGAGGTGGTGGTTCGGGCGGGCGAGGTGGTTGAACAGCACAGACGGCTAGCTCATGAGCAGAACCAGATAATGACCGATCAGAACCACGCCGTCGGGACAAGCCGCTACCACTGCCTGAACCACCGCTACCGCTAGTTGAGCCGGGCTTTTTCTTCACTTGTCCACCGAAGTTAAAGAACCTGAAATTTTTAAAATACAATTGAAAAATTATTTTCCTACCTAATATAATTAGTAGCAATAATTGTTTTTCATTTCCATATCCTTACCACCCATTTCTTATCCACATTGCCATGAAGTCCAACATTTTTCAGAAAAATCATAAGTATAAATAAAACACTGTAACGGTTTAAAACGCGATATATTCACGCACACACATTGGCACAGTCTGTCTCCCCGTGACCACGGCTGCTGCAAAGCATCCGAAACGTCGGTCCGAAGTTAAAAATCATTTTCAAATAAGTTTAACTAATATATCGCGTTTTAAAATCATAAAAAGATTACAAATATGTTGGACCCGGTGGGGATCGAACCCTCGACCTGTTTCCGTACATTGCTATCATTACACCAACGTTCCCGTCATTTATTAGTAACATTTTCATTAGTAGTAGTATATATTTGTATTACTTGGCCTTCTTTTGATGTACGTTCCTTCCTTCCGTGAGAAGACGCTGGAAGTGGTCTGAGCGGATGAACCGCGGGTAGCAGTCCTTCTTGAGCAATAGACCGTAGACGTGGTCAGCGGCATGGTCTAAAGCGTATCGGGAACCAGTTCTCCGACCTTCCGCCACGCGCTCTGCAGTAGCACCGTCTATGTTGATCTCACAGGGTGCTCCTGGCTTTAGGAACTCTCTGGAAATAAATTTATTGACATGATCTCATACTAGTATTTTTCCTATGCTTTGACAAATTTTACAGTAAAAATATAGTTGTTCAATTCGTGCGTCCGATCGCACAATTAAATTTTAACCCTAATGCTTACGTATTAAGATTCCTTTGCAAAGTAAGGTATCGTTTATTATTTTACATGTTATTGAATGTGCTAGTATTATATAAATTACAAATTTATTAATTAAAAAAAGATGTATGAATGATGAAGTATTTAACCAATAATCTTCTTCAACCTCATCGAATTTTTACAACAGACATGCACCTCTTGCGCAATATAATTTTAACTTTAACACCTACAGGTTAAGCTATAATGTCCGATGCTTGGCAGCTGAAGAAAATAATTGTAAATACTGTCTATAGTTTACGCGAGTAGTACACATTTAAATAAAACACTTTAACGTTTTATTTCACGTTTAAAACCGTTAAAGTGTTTTATTTAAAAATCATTGTAGTTAAAATTACCGTTACCCGTTTACTTTTACCCGTTACTTTATGAATTTGTCCGTGTCGTGGAATTCTTTTAAAATTTGTGATAAATACATAGATAACATATTTTTTTATTCAGTTTGTAGACTTTGGTATCTTTTCAGTACAGTACATACAAACAATCAACTTTATAATGGTGTTTGTCAAATGATGATTCAAGTAACCCAATAATTTCTACCTCCAGTATATTCGTATAAACATTTTTGTTCCGACACTAATTTACGTGTGAAAATAAAAATGTTACACGAGAAAAGTTTGCAACGCACCAGTAACTGGTTATTTTCCGTGATACTTAATCATGAGCTGTCTTATGTGCCACGCTAGGCTGATCTTACCAGTTTATTACGTTACATCGTGTAAGATGTATACAAATGATTGTTAATTAATTCAACAAATAATGATTTAAAAGCGAAAGGAACAAGAATTTTTGCTCATCACTAAGACTGAAGGATCATTAGGAAAAGGGTTATATTTTCGTAAATAGTAAAATAAAATAAAAACCTAATGGCGTTTCTATAGTTTACACGTACCTAGACAATAAATAAAACACTGTTTAATGGTTTAAAAAGGATAGCTACACCAGCACGGATTTTTTTAGATGCCGATTCAAGACCCCCCCCCCCTTCGTACAGCAAGTACTTACTCAAAAATATCGTCAAGTTTCTTCGGTATTTGTTTAGTACTGCTCCTTCTCAAGTCCATCACGGCCAGCCAAAACCGGATGTTCTCGTGAGAGTACTCTTTTCTTAGAAAGCTTGTGAACTCCTGCAGACCCGTCGGATCCGACACGAGCTCTTCGATCGATAGAGCCCAGCGCTGGACTCGCTTCTCGCTGGGAATCTCCACACTGCAAGATTTAATTAAACATGAGAATTGTGTGCAATGCTTCAAGATTTATAGAGCCTACTCCTAAACATGACATTTTATAATTAAAAATTCTAAGTACATTGAAAAAAATTACGTCATGGGCTGGACTGGACATCACTTATCGTTTGTATTTAAAACTTGAAATTGATTTTCGAAAGCTTCAAGACCATAGTTTAAACATGTCTACAGTTTAAGCTGGTGGTAACACATAATCGTGTGGACTTTGTACTATGGACGCTGGATCACAAGTAATCGTATTAAAGAATTCACTAAGAACAGATTTACATATGATATCTTACATTGGACTATTAATTTGCCAGAAGAGTGTGTCATCGCTGACCCAAGGGTTTGAAGGTTGTGGTGGTGTAAGCCAAGGGTCGTACGGGTTATAGGTATCCGAATAGGCCATAAGACCTTCCAGAGCTACTGAGGTCTTCACTCTAGTCCGGTCTAGACTAGCTTTTAAGTGTTCAATCTGGAAATTATATGAATATTGAGCCTAGTTAATGAGAGTGTCTCTTTCGCAAAATCATCAACAAAAAACAAGGATACAATACAGTGGACGTCAACTTGGTCATTTTGCTGTCTCTAAAAGGTCCTAAAATAGTATAGCAAGATACAAAATGGCGACTGTCTGTGTCTTAACGCTAGTAGTACACAGTTAAATAAAATACTTCAACGGTTTAAAACGCGATATATATTAGATAAACTTATTGAAAACTATTTTAACTCCGACCTGACGTTTCGGATGCTTTGCAGCATCCGATAAAAAAAAATATATTTTATAATATTTCTTTATTTATTTTCTTATCTTTTTATTTTATTTTGTGACAATAAAGAATATTTGTGTTGTGTTGTATATACAAGTCAAAGGTCTCCCCGTGACCACGGCTTTAAATCACGAAAAATAAATAATTTAAAACGGTTTTAAATCGTGAAAGTGTTTTATTTACTCGTTGCTGTTAAATCGTCAAGATACTTCTGTAATTAAGTTTAATTTCACCACTATTTGGTTAAATCACTATGTCTTAAATTGAAGAGATGTATATACTTCTCGTTGTATCTGTGGTATTGTCCGTTTCTTTGCCTTGGGGTGTCTCGAGCGCACTGGCACTGGGCAGGGTTCCAGAGCGCTTGGCACACCAGGGGGTGGTCTTGCAACACGCCAATATGCGCGTTCCTGACTGTCGCTTACTATTTTATCACCTTTCTTGCGTTCTTTCGCCAGTCGTACCTGTAGAATAATTATGATAGTTTAAGCCTTAGGAGTCTATATTTGGACCATTCCTATTCTTATGTATATTAATAATTTGTCAACTTATGTGTTAACGTACTTTATGAAATAGTACTGTCTTCTGATGACACTCTATTTTAATTTTAATGTAACACGACAAGACATAGCAATGTACGATGTACAGGATATCCAGAAACGTTTATTAGTTTAAGATAAATAAGCTTTTGTTAAATTAATAGAAGACTAGGAAAGGAAACAATCTTCCAAATAAACTAAGCTCTGCAGCATTTGCCGTGAAGAACAATACGAAGATATACGATGACAAAATACCAGAGTTTACTGATAAAAATACAGCTAAGCTTGTCCTTTTCTTTTTTTCCCTACTAAAGTACTAACTATTTACAATACGGATAGAGAACCGACCTGTTCTTCAGCCTGCATCGTGATGAAGTCCCATTTAGCAGCCAAGTTCTTCTTGAGGTTCGCCAAGGCCTCTTGCTCGTAGTCTTCGAGACCGTGGCGCTGTTTATTCCGTAGCGTGCGTTTGACGAGATAGATAGCATACTCGATGTTGTCGGGGCCAAGTGTGGGCGCACTTGACCCGCTGCCGGCCACTCGGGGCGCTTGCCAGGGCCAGTAGTAAGGACTCTGAAAAGTTAAAGGTTGATTAATGTTAGAAATTAAAACTTAGTTTTGGAAATCTTAGAATGGTTAGGAATATTAGACACGAATTTTAAATGAAAAATTTACTGAGATTGAATTGAGGTACCTTATATACGTACCTAGAGTGTATTGAGTCGCAATTATTTTTTTAAATCTATACAAATATTATAAAGCTGAATAGTTTGTTTGTTGAAGTACTGGTTCGAATTGAAAAATTATTTTTCGTTTTCGTTGAAACATTTATCTAGTTAGGCTTTAGGCTACATCAAACTGCGACCAATAGAAAGACAAGATGAACTCACGAGAAACGTTTTTTATGGCATGAGACAAAAATCGTTTACCAGTCAGCATCAACATAAAATGGCTATCATTTTGTAGTATAATACAATTTTCATTAATTTACACCGTCATAGTTTTTTACAGTATGAAAAAGCGCACAAGAGAAAATCTCAGTCTAACACCACTCTTGCAAGAAAAGTACTTACTTGAAATCGGTAAAGTGAAGAGTCATCTTTAAATATTAAATTCTTGAGATCGTTGACAGGAAAGAAGTAACCGTACTGACATAGAAGATTTCCCAAATTTACAGCCTCAACTGAAAGTAAAAGGAAATCATTTATAATAAATAAAATAATACTCCCTATTATTATCTTTAAGTAAATTGTTTTCGTGTTAATTTTTTCCGGTTTCATTTAAGTTATTCGAACCTAAACTTCTAGCCTGAAAGTGTGAAATCCCGTTTCCCACTCGTGGGGCATGGGGCGAACACATAGGAGGTAAAGTAACCATACCTAAACAAGATACGCTGTCTAGCTAACTTGGCTTTGGAAATCCACAGACTGAAATCGAAAAACGATTAAACCGCCACCCTTTTCATCTGTGGAATGTGGTTCTATTCTGGACAGAATTTTTGAATTTCCTATTGCCCATATTTTATTCACAATTGGACCTGGTGGGGATTGAGTCCACGGTCCGATGATATAAGCCATACATTGCTACTATTAGACCAACATACCCATTTAATTCTAAATAAGTACTTGAATAATAAAACTCTTACCATTTGTACCATCCTCATAATGAAATCTCTCCATAAGCCATTCAACAAGATCACAACCTGAAACAACAGGTATTCTTAAATACTGTCTGTAGTTTAGTGTACTAGTATACCAGACAGTATGTCTGTAGTATATTAGTATACTGTATGTAGTGAGTCATGACTAGTACACATTTAAATAAAACACTATAACGTTTTAAAACTCGATATCCATTAGCTAAATTTAATTGACAATTGTTTTAACTACGGCCCCATGTTTCAGATGTTTTCCATGGTCACAGGGAGACTAGTGATCTGTTCCAAATACCAACTTCCACCGAACAGATGGCGGTAGCGTAGCAGTTTTTACTTTGACGTCAGAGACACCCTCTATCTTTAGCCTCCCCGTGACCATGGTTGCAGCAGTGCATCTGAAACATCGGACCGTAGTTAATTTTTTTTAAGTTTATTTAAAAAAAGTATTCTTAATTTAAAATATTGCTTTAATCAAATATTGTCAAAAGCAAACATAGTTATAGCATACATTAAGTAGCAATTGAGTTATGTACTTCAAATACATATTACTCGTACATTGTTTAAATAAAATGTGTTTAATTTAGTTTATGTCAGACTACAGACAAGCAGAGCGTTCACTTCATGGAAGATGAAATATTCCATCCATATTTAACTAAACAACGCTGTCGACCTATACTGGTTCTGGACATTTGAAAATCCACAGATTAAAGCTCAAACGCAGATTTACGCCTTCACTTTCTGTCATGCGCTCGGCAGCGCATGCGCGGCTCATGTCCCGGTCGGAATTGCGTTATATGACCATCCAAGAATTGTTAATACAACTACATAAGGTTCTGCTTAGTCTTATGTATTTGTTTTTTTATACATACATCACTCAAACACGAACTGGCGAATGACCCATCCACCCAGTTCGTATAAATAACTCTTTAGTATTGATTTTGCAATTAGATGTTTCTACAATTGCAGTCTAGCGTGAATACAGATAGGTATGTAAACATTTAATTTAGTTAAGAACATTTTAACGGTTTAAAACGCGTCACTTATTTTTTTTATTCTAAATATTTTCTTTGATGGAAAACTTAATTTACTTTTACATGTTATATGCACATGATGGTTGTATTAAAAAATATTTAAATTGTAAAAATTACGATACGGGCAGGACTTGAATCTACATCCACAGCGTTCCACGACATCGTCTACCTTCTTTAATTTAAATATATTAAATCTAAGTAGTTTTTTTCTTCATTTCACAAATATTAATTATTTTTGAAAACACGGCTGTTGCAAAGAAGCCGAAACCTTAGCAACAATAAGTTACATTTCTGATTTTAAACCGTTCAAAGTGTTTCATTTAATGTATTATAGATGTAACTATATTCTTGTGAGCTCAGTATTTTTTTGATGTTTTATTTATAGAGGAGGACAAACAAGCTTTGGGTACACGTGATGGAAAGCGAAGTACCCCAGCTATATAACATGCAAACAATATGTCGACCTATTTTGACTTTGGATATTTGGAAAAAAATTACATAACTGATACATTAAAATTATGTCTATGTTGTCTATCATTCAGTCCTTATTGCTAAGATAAGTGATTTCTTTCCCTATACCAAGTCAAAGTTAACATATTTAGATGTCTTGAAAGAAAAAGACTTTCTTACCCATAAAAGCAGATGGAATGAAGGTAAGGAACAGTTTTTGACTGCGAATAGGTACACCCGTTACTGGATCTTGCATTTCCTTAACCAAACTTTCCATCTGAAACACAAAACATTCACTATAATAAACAATTAATTAAATCAAATTGAAAGTGTTTTTCAAAAGTCAAGCAGGAAACGAACCCACGACCAACATATATATTGTCGCTCTACCGAGGGTCCAGGCTCCAAATTTTCGAATTTCTATTTAAGCTACTGTAGACGTCTAGAAAAACGGTAACAACACAAGCAGTCAAGCTGCGTTCGATATAAACCAATGTTTGTGTGTGTGAGTGTGTGTGTAGCAGGGGTTTGTGTTTAGGGTGGGTGGATAATTGAGTTAAACTGTAACTTTAGGAGTCGGTGCCCTGATATATCTTCTCATGAGAAACATCGACATCTATTTATATATGACACCAACTAAAAAAATCAAGTACAAAATGGCGGTATTGAAGTAAATCCCTCTTTAAATGTGCTCTTAAAATTTAGTCAAACAAAGAGTGGGTTGCCAGTGACCACCAGGGGTCGAGGACTCTTCGTTGAATTTAGCTTAAAAGCCTTTTACAATGTACTCTTAACGCATCCTTAAATATTTTTAGATTCTTAATGACCTTGTTTTAGACAGAATTAAAAGAAACTCATTACAGAATCCAACCCACGATAAACAGATACCGTGCTCTACCAATTCTTGACTAGTCGGTGACGATCGGTCTCTCGCAATGTCTTTTATTTTACAAGAGGATAGACAAGGAATCATTTGAAGGAAGGTAATAATAAACCCAATAAACCATCAGACAGAGAATATCCCATACGTAAAACGCTGTCCAACTACTTTGGTTTTGGATATATGGAAATCCACTGATTGAAACACAATTAAAGTTCATAGCTTCTTTATATGTGGATAGTTCGTGACTTTGTCAGATTTTCGATATTTAAATAAAACACTTTAACGGTTTAAAACGCGAAGACACCGTTAGTCAATTCTGCAAGGACCCGGCCAGTTTCGCCAAATACCAACTTCGACAGAACAGATGGCGCTAGCCTAGCAATTTTTTACTTTGACGTCAGAGACATCCTCCATCTTCAGTCTCCCCGTGACCACGGCTGCTGCAAAGGATTCGAAACGTCGGACCGAAGTTAAAAATCATTTTCATATAAGTTTAACTAATATATCGCGTTTTAAACCGTTAAAGTGTTTTATTTAAATGTGTACTACTCGCGTAAACTATAGACAGTATTTAGATTTTCGATATTCAATCCATTTCATATCTATATTTCCAACGTGTTTCAGAAAAATTATAATTTGATGGAAACATCTGGGACCCATGACCCATTCAATATCAGCTATGTACTGCTATTCGATAAATAGTCCGTCAATTTGGTTGTTGATTAAATTTGATATACATTTTGAGACATTAAATAAAATTTGAAAACATTAATATTTTTCACATGTTATTGCACATGAAGGCACTATATAATTTAAAAGTCGATAATAATTTAAAAAATTTCTGTCCTGCCCGAGTCGAAATTTTTTTCAATTTATTTTCGATTGTTTATATATAAGATTCGTTACTATATGTTGATAGATCTAAGAAGGAAAACATGTCGTAGGTAGTGCAAGCCGTCGATTTATCGTCAGCTGTAACGGACGTAAGATAATTTCATAATTTCCGCTTTCCAACGGAGGCGAAACAATTTGAAACGGTTGATTCTTACATATGTAAAATGTATGGAAACGACTATATTTCACAAGCATTTAATAGGAGGAAGACAAGACAAGAGTTTGTTTGTTTGAACGCTATAAGGCACTACTTACTGGTTCGAATTGAATGTTTTTGTTTTTCTGGTGGTTGGACTATTAATGGCGAAAGGTTTAAGGCTATATAATATCACGTTGCGACTAATAAGACCGAAAAAAACAGTTGGAAATGTGGAAAAAAACGAGGTAAAATATTGCGTTGTGAAAACGGTTCAAGAAACCAATAAATATTTAAAATTTTTTTTTGAGTTTTCAAAAAAAAGGGGGTTCTGAACTAAAGCATTAGAATTTAAAACGTTAAAAAAATCATAAAAATAAAAAATCCCATTGGTTTTTACGAAAAATGTTTTCAATTAGGAGAAATAAAAATGCGCAATAACTTAGGTGAATATTTGGACTTTTGTGTAAGAATTTGTAACAATAGGTTTGTGCTCTGTAGATTACCATTTGGCTATGAAAACTGAAAATATAAAAAACTCTTGTATATCTTACAATTGCAATTAGGCTACTCTGTCTCTAGCAGCCTCATATATTATAAGTAACATATATTCCTATACTCTTTACAAGGAATAATTATTCCCAGTGATATCTGAAGCTTGCAAACGTCGTATACATAAGGTGGTGATCTAGAGGCACGAAGGCCAAGATAGTGACGTCACGGGACGATCAATACTCGCCCGGCATCCAGGCCTTCATTGGAAATATTTTGCCCCTCGAATTATTCGTACTTCGTACTTGCAAATATTAGGAACTTTATATGATTTTATTAAACGTAACGCAAGATATATTTGAAGATCCAATGACTATGGCTACTGTGATGCATGCGAAACATCGGGTCGTAGTTAGAAAACTAAACAATACATTTTGCAGTTTAAAATGTTGATATTAACAGACAGTATTTACCGTTATATGTATACTTTATTTTAAATCTATAATATTGGCTATGTGGAGTATATCTCGCAAGAAATTATTTTAAGTACTGTCTGTAGTTTACGCGATGCACATTCAAATAATACACTTTGTGGTGCACTATGTTGTTATTTAATAATGTTTTTAAAAGTCCTTGACAATTTATTAAGGATAAACGGACACTAATTCATTTGTAAGCATAATTTTTGATCCAGACGAAACTTTCTATTAGAAATAATTATGTACAGATGATATATAATTTTTATATAATATATTTTATAATGAGTCGTACAGAAAAGCATAGAGATCATTTATTCACACGTAACATCTCAACAAGATGTGAAGTCGACCTCGATTTACGATCTTGAAAGTGGTCCGAACAAAATTTAAATAAGAGGTAGCAATTTTAAAATTTCAGACATTGGTCTCTTTAATTTAACAACAAAGAATGACACGCAAAATGGCCACCGGTATACTTACGTCACATTTTTATTTTTTCATTCTTTATCCCTATTGTTTTTAATGTCAATTAAGAAGTAAATATTAGTAAATAAATAAATATGTCGATGAATGTGAATCCGACGACGGACATCAACAATTGTTTTTAATAAAATTAACAGTAAGTATTGTCAGCGTCCTAGACATAATCCATGTTTCCTCAGTTTAATATGTGTTATTGTTCAGCCCCCATTTTGTTCGCAATCTCGAAGCCTTACAAATTACTATGAAAGGGTACAATGAAACAATAGACCGTCATCGCTGGAGTAAAAATCACCAAACACAATAGTTATGAATGTTTTTCCTACGACTCTTTTCATTTTGCTGTTCCAAGTATCAACTACTACGGAACAGATGGCGCTAGCGTAGCAGTTTTGACTTTGACATTAGGGACAACATCAATCTTTAGTTCCCCACCACCTCAAAGCATCCAAACGTCGGGCCGAAGTTAAAAATCATTTTCAAATAAGTTTAACTAATATATCGTTTTAAACCGTTAAAGTGTTTTATTTAAATGTGTACTACTCGCCCAAAGACATATAAGATACCTATTTCAAGCTTAATAGTCAAAAGTGTTTATTTAGATAAACTGTTAAGATCGCTACGGTTTAAAATGCAAAATATATTGCTTTCTTTTTTTACCCCGGGCCGCCTTTTTTTGTTCTTTTCCAGGTTCAAAACTCGCGTTACGTTTAAAGTGTTTTGTGTACTTATGTAATCTAGAGACAATAATAATTGAAAAAAGAAATATCCTAATAGGATATTAAATAAATGGAGGCAATATTGAAATTCCGTCCGGATTACGATCCACCGTCCCCAAAAAAAAGCCGTGATGTGTAATCGCGTTTCGATTTTAGTCTGTGGATTTCCGATTATCCAAAGCCAAAATAGGCCGATCTTATATGGCTGGGGTATTTTACCACCATTGCCACGCTTGTCTGTCATATAAGATTATGGTCTCGTCTTTTATTGGAAGTATCCGACATCTTAATAACCAGATTAAAGTGGATTTCGTCATTTCACCAAATTTTTAAACAAGGTGAAGTACGCTTCCGAGATAATGATCAAATGAGGACAAGCGCGGCTTAAAAATCATCGCTTTGTTTCGTCGTTGTGTTGTCTTAGTCATGAGAAAAAATCGCTGATTTTGTTAAAATTGAAGCTTGCTGAAGAATGCTGAATATCAGCATTTTAACGACCGTTTTAAGGCTTTCAAAGTCATGCTAACTAAGTACTTTTTTAGGACAGATGAGCTGGGGTTCGCTTGATGGAAGGTGGAATAGCCCAGTCATATAACATTTCAATAATTATTTTTTTTTTTTTGCCAATTTTTTCAATAATACACAATATATAAAAACATTGAAAATTTTTAATAACTTTTTCATTAGTTCTATAGTAATTTCGTTAAGAACAATATTTGCTATTTCACTCCAATACCCCTAAAATGTCAACCTTTTGTTACAATTTAACTACTTTTGTTTGCGTGATGCGCTGTCCATCTATTTTGTCTCTGGATAATCGGAAATCCAGACTGAAAGCTAAACGCAATTAAACTTCACGTCTTTTCGTCTGTGGACAGCGGTAAGCGCACGGATTTGAATTCCTTATAAAAAAATTAATACCCAATTTTCCAGACGAAGTCCGACCTGTTTCTGAAAAATTGAGTTAACACTTACTGGAACCGGTAGGGATCGAACCCGCGGCCTGTGCATTGCTACGAGCCCGCGATGTTTTTTCCTCCAAAAGGGGTCGATCGATAAACCCAAAAAATTCAAACGTGGGTCTCATCCTAAAATCAGCTATAATCTATTTCGTTATTGAAAATAAATTGATATCATTTTCATGACGTACATTTAAATATAACACTTTCAACGGTTTTAAATGCGTTTTAACTATTTACTAATCGCGTAAACTATAGCCCCCGGTTTAAACATTATATAATAAACATAATATTATCAATGATTCATACATGTTCATGTCTGAGGAAATGAATGCATTCAAATAGTTAAGATTATACGATCCATTCTGATTGAGTAGTACAGAACTAGGGCTGTCAATAAGTGCCACGAATAGATTTTCAAGCTACAAAAAACAGCTTATTCTATCGAAGATAATTTAATTTAATTTTATATTTATATATATATATTCTTAGCCACGAAGTCGCTGAAACAGGTAAGTTATATATATGCATATTCAATTCGTAAGTACACGAAGTTCAATTCAACTTTTTTTAAGCAAACGTGCTTCCTAAGTCTTTGACTTGTTAAAAAATAAAGTGGCCAGGTCATTGACCTTCCACTTTTTGCTGCAAGTGTTTCGTAGATAAAAAATCACGATTCGTTTTTACTTGAGTAGTTTTACGTTAATTTATGATTTAACTCTACACTTTTCTATTCGGTAAAGTTGCTGTTTTATGCTTATGTTTAACACTAAATAAAATATTTAAATTGGTTTAAAACGCGAAATATATTCTTTAACACTAAGAACTTTAAGATGATTTAACTAAGCACTAAATTAGTGTGCCTTCTATAAACTCATTACGCCGCGTCACGCGTTACGTCAAAGACGCCTAATTTTTATTTGACATCGCCACTTTACAAGAAAATTATTCGAGATAACGAGAGACGCTAGAGATGTATGTTATATGCTTTAGGACAGACAAAAAAATATAAATGTAGTAAATTAGTACGTAAGTATTGCCTGTGGTATGTTTTAGGAATAATAAAGCTGTAATAAATAAATAATAGCATTAGCTCGCGAGCTATAGCGTTTATAGGAGACCGCAGCCTCAGGAATAGATGACGTGATACAATTCGTCACCCGAGAACTTGTTCGTTGATTTAATTAGCGTCGTAATGCAACTTAATTGGACTCAATATGAATAAAAGCAGGGCAACTAGCAACTGAGATACTAAAACTCGTAGGAGAAAATTGGCTCTCAAATTGGCCGCGACGACGGAACTTAAGTATAGATATTTTCTTTGTTTTGATAACATATAGGTTTAATATTAAATACTGTCTGTAGTTTATGCGAGTGGTACACATTTAAATAAAACACTTTAACGGTTTAAAACGCGATGTATATTTGTTAAACTTATTTGAAAGTTATTGTAACTACGGCCCAACGTTTCGGTTAAAATAATTCAACTTTCGAATAAAGTTCAACTAATATATTTCGCTTTTTAAACCGTTAAAGTGTTTTATTTAAAGGTATAATATTGGTACAGTAGATGTAGTGAATAAATGTGTGTGTTCATTTTATGTAGAGTTTAGTATTTTATAAAAAATCGAGGGCTGGATACGAAAGTAGAAAATAATGATCATAAATTAATTTTGTATACTTATAGAAAGTATGTAATTAATTACTCCATGTGGGTATTTGGTATAAACATACTAAACACAACAAAAGTGCGAGATTTAAAAGCTCAGAACATAACCAAGTGTCGCAAGTTCGAATCCTGATCATGTTACAATAATAAAAATGCGTACTGACCTTATCGAAGGCGAGGGGTCTGTGCCTCGGCACGTCCGCTAGTTCCATGGCTGTGTCGTGGCGGGGCGGGCGCGGGGGATGCGCGCGCGCCGCTAGCCGGCCTCCATGGCTGTCTGGCGCGCGCGCCGCATGCCGCTCGCGCCCGCGCTGCGCCCCCGACACCTGTCACCGCCACCACACCTCACTATGACACTCGAACACTTTCTTGTGGCTTGTGCATCACATGCTATACGCCGTGATGTGATGCGCAAGCGCTTCAAATTTGAAAGTTCAATTGAGACTCAAAATGATGTCTTTGACATGTAGACAAAAAAATCTATTAATTTAGTAGTATAAGGGCGATTCACTAGTGTTACGAAGATGTTAATGAAGAACAATAAATTAACTTTTAAATTAAGAATTAGAACTTTAACAATAAATTATTGGCGTAATAATATAACCATTAGGCAAAAAATACCTTCATTATTGTAGCACGATTAGCACAACGCTAAAAATAAAATTTATTGAATACTGTCTGTAGTTTACGCGAGCAGTACACATTTAAATAAAACACTCAACAGTTTAAAACGCGATACATATTAGTTAATTTAGACAATTAGCGAGGATCCTCCCCGTGACCACAGCTGCTGCAAAGCATCCGAAACATCGGGTCGTAGTTAAAATAAATTTCAAATAAGTTTGACTAATAGATATCGCGTTTTACACAGTTAAAGTTTTTAATTAAATAAAATTTATATTGCATCAAAAATAAGTGCATTACGTTTTTATTTATGACAACAATCTCTTCGTAACGTAGAAAAGACCATGATTCAAACAATAAATATACTATAGGTAGTATTTACAAAATAGTGAGAATTGTTAATACATACTTACACATCAAAATAAATGTATGAAAATAATATAAAGTTGTAAAGCATTGTTTATTGTATACTCGAGTAGCTCAATTAAATAAAACACATTTAACCGTTTAAAACGCGAAATATATGTATTAGATAATCTACTTATAATTTATTTTTACTACCGCTCAATATTTTGGATACTTTGCATCAGCCTTAACCCGTGAACACGTCTCTCACAATATATTTGGCGTTTTAAACCGTTAAGTATTAATTATTTAGAATTTATACATTTGTATGTAAAATTTATATAACATACCAGGTTCAAAATTAATAAACTAAATATCTCGTTGCAAGTGTTATGAGTCTAAAGAATTTAATTTCACGAACTACCCACGTGCATGCTTCGCTCCATGATAAAGAAAGTAATGTTTCATCAGGCTGCATATTAAATACCGCTGACACAAAGGTATATGCTACTTGAGTACCTTCCATAGACTGTTTATGAAATTTAGTCTGTGAAACGTAAATGAATCCACAGACTATATTTTTATTTTAGGTATTGTTGAAGTCTGTGGTACAGACAAGGCTTGACATAGCGAAGTTAGTACACTAAATTTTAATGAGTTTACAAATATAGTATTTTCAGTATTTCGCGGCTAAATAAGGTTGCCGTCAGATGAAATGTGGTGGTAGTCCGCAACAACAGTGCAAACCCAAAAACGTTAACATTATTATGTTTGAGGGTAAGTTTTTTGATTAAAAGCTAGATCGAGGTCAAAATCAATGATTTGTATCGCTATCTTGTCACTCCGACTAGCAAGCAAAGTTTACTTCAGCCAAATCGACCTTCGGACACACACGAGTGGACTGGGACAAATCGAGATAATACTAAAGTACGCATAATTTTAAATAATACATTTCGCGTTTTAAATAGGTAAAAAGAATTTATTTGAATATGTACTACGTGTAAACTACAGACAGTATCCCCACTACAAGGACAAGGTCTTCTCTCATAGGAGAAAAGGCACAGACCCATCACTCTGCTCCAGTGGGGGTTGATGGTCTTGACTGACTATCAGCAATATATTACTGAATCGCAACTGATGGATTTCAAATATCGAAGTATAGGATTCGAAGCCCTTTGATATACAGTTGACTGCAACTATTAGATCATACATGATTTTTTTATGGGATGAAATACCTCAATCAAATAAAATTTTTAGGAAGATACACGGTCGACCTATTTAGGCTTTGGATTTCGTGACCTGTGCAGAATCTGGATATTAAACAGTAGTAAGTTCGGATATTCTTACTACTTGTTTAATATCCAGATTTCAAGAATTCAAATATGTTTCGGAAAAATGTTGGAAGCGGTGGGGATGTAGCCCATGACCCGTTGAATATTAGCCATACATGGCTACCATTACACCAATGTGACCCGTTAAAACATGTTAAATTCGATGCGCATACGTATACACCTCATAAAATAAAAAAAACTCGATTGAGCATTAATTTTTCACGCAAAGTACTCTCTTGCAATAAAATTCCCGATTTTATTAGGCACCAGTCTATTTATGTTGTAAACCAATGTTTACGGCTAACTCTAAGCATGTTTTCAAACAAATTCACTCACTTCATTGCACAAATTCCGACGTGGAAAACAGTTCCACGTTTCCGCGTTCAGCTTTCCATTTTAATCATTAACTAAATACTTAAAACATTTTAGACGGTTCGATATATTAATTAAAATACATTTCAAGTATATCACGAATTGTCTGTTTACGCGAGTATTTTACCTTTAAATAAAATATTTGTAAGGGTTTTAAACGACAAATATATTAGCTAACTTACGGACGGATGTTGCAAAGCATCTGAAACGTCGGCAAAGTGCTTCAATAATTATTATTAATGAAAAAAATTGAAAATCTTTTGAAATTTTTTTTTTGTTAATTTTATCTCAACAATTTAGAAGCTTTTTTAAGAACAAGTTCTCAGTTTCGTATTTTAATATTATTTTACTAAACTAGCATTATAAAGCTAAACACTAAACGGTTTAAGAAACCAAAAAATATAATTTCCGCAACAGATCATATATATTTTAAGATTAACTTGCAAGTACCATTATGGTGATCAAATTTGGGCAGAATTAATGCATTACATAAATTAAAAATCGATTTTAGATTGAGAAAATTTGCGATACGGCAGGGCTAGAGCTGGTATCCACAGCGTTCTGTTCTGCTCAAACCATTTCAGATAACGTGTACACGTCATCGACGATTTTTTTAACCAATCACTTTAATTCATTACTACTATTAGAGTTGTAACACAAATAATATGAATGTTGCAAACGACAAAACAATGTTCGAATCAGATAGTGTGTTATATTACGAGTTGTTCCTAAGCAACACAGCATAACGTCGGCAAAAAAAATAATCTGGTACTACCTTGATAAGCCACATTGACGAATTGACAAATTCATCTACAGATGACATTTTGTATCAGTGTATCTGGAATTGAAAACAATAGCGGATAGATACTAGAATGGACTGAACGAATTATTGAATTAATACAAATTGACTCACCAAATGGAGCAATATAGAAGTAACACCGTTTTAAACGCGAGTCTTAGACAAATTACTATTTAGGCTAACGAGCGACAGCACACTACGAAGCGTAAAAGATAAAACAGATAATGCGTCTAAAATTTCATCTTGAATCGTAAATTTTAGACTGAAACAACTTTGGAGCTTACACACCTTAGATAATTGAGATAAGTGGACTCTAGTGCACTGTAACCGTTCTCAACGGATAATAATGATGTTTAAATCTACTTAACTCACTTTATAATTCGTTTTACAACTCAGACATTAATATAACATATTCATCTTACCTTTGTGGCGGAGCAAGGCGAGTTATTATGCATTCATCTATACTAATATATAAAGATAAAGAGTTTGTTTGTTTGAACGCGCTAATTCCAGGAACTATTAGTTCGAATTGATAAATTATATTTGGTTTGAATAGAGCATTTATCGAGGAAGGCAATAGGCTATAAAGCATCGCGCTGTGACTAATAGGAGCGAAGAAACATCGGGAAATGTGAAAAAAATTGGTGAAAAAAAGTCATTGTGGGTTTCCGATGTGTATACGCGATACTCAACAAAATGTATGATAGAAAAATTCCTCTTTTAATAAGCTATAAAATAGTCCGCGATGCTATAGGTCTATCCTTTAAGACTAACTTGGAAGAACGACGGGACGCGACAGACGTTGTGGGTAAGCTTAAGTCTATAAAGATGAAGAGGTTTGTAAAAACAAATTTGGATGCCAAAAACAACGATTCTTCGCGGACGAAGACGCTGACACAGCTAGTGTTATATTAATCTTACAAGAGAATGTTTGAAGCGAAACGTATACTTATAATAATTTTAAGTAAAATTTTTTGATGGTTTGTGAACAAGCTTTATAAAAAGAAAATAACTTCAGTCCTCTATCTCTCGCTAGCTCTGTAGCTGTGCTCGCGACTTCGTCCACATGGAACAGTTATTCGGGCATCATATTTTTTATTTTTTCAAACGACCTCCTCAGCTGTTTACATTGTAGCTGTTACACACGATGTCGCCCGCGTCCTGTCGTACTTGCAAGTTGATCTTAAAAAAAGACGCGTACATTTAGATCATTCAAAGAGGAATTATTCTATACATATTACTGCTTTGTTTAACAGTTTTTGTAGCGCACGCAACAGCCCATAAAGGTGAATATTTTTTCCAGTTATAGACCGCAGCCTGATTTTTTAAGCCTTCCTCGATAAATGGTCTCACCCAATAATACTTTTTTCAGTTAATGAGATTAGCGCGCACTAACAAATAAAAAAAAACATATAAATACATTCAAATACATACGTATATGTATAGATTGTAGATAAAATTTAAACGTTACACCGCGTTTATTCAACTAATCTTAATCTTAGATCCGTTTCTCAGCTTCGTTCAGATAGCAACAAAGGCTTTGCGAGTTATTGCATAGCATATTTAGATTAGAAATGATTTAGTTTATTCAAACACAATGATATCATGTCCATATATAAAGAAAATAATAATGTATAAATAGAAGTGCCCTTAATATACTTAACATATAAAGCTGAAGAGTTTGTTTGTTCGAACGCGCTAATCTCAGAAACTACTAATTTAAACAGAGAAAATATTTTTGTCTTAATCAGAGCATTTATTGAGGGGAGCTATGGGCTATAAAATATTGCGATGCGACCAATAGGGGCGAAGGTACAGTGGGAGAAGTAGAAGAGACGAGGAAAATAATTCTTCTTTGTGGGTTTCTGATGCCTACGCTGCTAAACGGTTCATGATGCCCAAAAAAAATGTTCAAAGAATGATTCCCCTTTAAATGCTCTAAAAAATGTTCGAGATAATATATGTCTATCTATTAAGATTAACTTGCAAGAACGACGGCACGCGTCCAACGTCGTTGGTAACGTCGTAAGCTATAATTTATTTAGTCGGTTTGCAAGAACTAATTTTGAAGACCAAAATAAAAATTCTACGCAGACGAAGTCGCTGACACAGCTAGTCATTGAATAAATGCGTACCTCGTTTCTCATAAAGTCGAGGCAGAAACAGAAATTTCTGGCAACTAAGACATCTGTGCCCATATAATTTGTACATACACGATTGTCATTCTGAATTTAAACCAGACATTTGTAACGGTTACAATGGCGAAAATTATTAGTTAGCTTATTTACAAGTTATTTTACCTATGGCCCGACGTTTCGGATACTTTGCAGCAGCCATGGTCACGGGATTGCTGATAACTTGTAAATATTTTAACGCATTTTAAACCGTCAAAAGTGTTTTATTTAAACCTATTGTCCAGTTTTGATTTACAATTTTCACATTCGTAAAAATACCTACTATGCAGAGTGAATTAGTAAAATTTATATTAGATAGACAATTGATATAAAAATGATTAATCTAGATAAAAGATTACTTATTCTGTATAGACAAAATGAAGGTTTATCTTTGTTTCTTTATTAAACCATATACATGAGAACGTCTGTAATTTACTCAAATATTAGAAATTGAAATAAACCACTTATGATTGATTAAAACGCGAAAAGTATGATATATTATTAAAGAATGCGATTGAGAGAAGATACTGCAAAGCATCCGAAACCTCGGACCGTAACTAGAAAAATGTAAATAAGTCTATCTTATACATTTCGCGTTTTATACCTATAAAAGTGTTTAAAGTGAAAATCTCATTAAAACTATAAACGAGCGGCGCTGAAAAACACTTAGAGGTCAAACAGCATACACGCAACCCTCGATCTTGTGTCTTTTGTTCAGCAATTAACTTTATCTCTTTATTGTCTAGATTATTCTCATTGTTACCCAATGTTATCATAATTCTAGTTTGCTAATATGCTGTTATTGACACAATAAATGCTCCGATAGTGAATTTCACTCTTCCCACTAATTACTGAAGGTTTTCCAAACGAGAGACCCACACGTTTGGCAAAACGCCCATTATGTAACCAATAACACTCAAGAAATCATACCCTCAACGAAAGCAGACCGAGTGTTTCCTATAGACTCGAATCGATAGATTACACACCTAAGTAGATATAAAGTGACTAACCAACAAGGCATGAGAGCAGTCGAGGGTGGAACACAGGGTGATGATCACAAATGCCGTTTACCACCAGTATTTCAGTCGGTTAGTGTCTGGTAGATAAATGTTTACATAGGGGGGAGGTTCAAGTAGGGCTCTCGCGAACGGGCGCGGTCGCTCGCTGCGGTCAGCGGTCGTGGACCGGCGCGGCCATGACGGCAGCACGGTACAGGGGACGTCGCGCGCACTGCCGCGCCCGCCCGCCGCCGCGCGCCGCGTTCCCGCCCGCGCAGGCGCCCAGCACGCCGCCCGCCCAGCGCCTCGCGAATTGATCAGCCGGATCCGCGATTGCGATGAAATTTATGATAGGTCGCGGACCCATTATCGACGGTATCGGTGTTTACGTTCTTCAAACTCTAATTATTATATCAATATTAGCATTGATACGTTTGGTGTTGATTGAAAAGTGACACGGGCGGGATTCGAATTCGCGACCAACACGTTATAAAGTTTGCAGTTTTATATATGGCTTTGTTTTGCTACAAAGGACATTTACGTTTTAAGCTGTAACTTAGATTACGCGATTAATACGAGGACTAACGGATCGATTCTTTTAAACAACAATTTAAGATTCTTGTTAGTTTCGGAAAAGGGAAACGTTTTCTATAAAAACTTTAAAATAATAATTATATCTATAAAAACTTTAAAATATTAATTTCCCCATATCAAGCTTTATTATTAAACCTCTTACCTTTAACCACGTTCACTTAATTTATTTTTTCCCCGAGAAAGCGGGAAAACAAACAACAAAGCTATTTCTGTTCGTTTCAGTGATCATTTAAAAAAACAATTTTAAACTAATTAATTGTGCCCTGCCCGACCTAAAAACTTTAAAATAATAATAATGTCTGCGTTCGTATGTCTATCGTTTAAAATTAACTCGCAAGAAATGTTTGGTAATAAAAAAATTTAATGAACGCTTGCCAGGCCAGTATATATGTGTTATACAGAAGTTTAAGTCGACGAAAATAGGTCTATAAAACTGTACTTAAGTCTAGATAATTTGTAGCTTAAACTAGATCACGCGATTGAGCAGTTTTGCACTGCACAACCACCTATTTAGCTCCCTTCCTTGGCGAAATTTTGCTAAATTAACAGTTTGATGTGTAGTAAGTAGAGCTTAGTTTATACCTTCGTGCAGTGGTCCTTTCAGAACTGAAATTTGACGATCAACCCTTTCGCGTTCAAGGGAAATATTGTTCCCTTCTACCAAATATTCAATTACTAGCTGTGTCAGCGACTTCGTCCGCGAGAATCGTTATTGGGCACCCAATTTTGTTTTTGTAATCGTTATAAACTTAAGCTGTTTCCCATGACGTCGGCCGCGTCCTTTCCCGTCGTTCTTGCAAGTTAATCTTAAAAGATAGATATATAGCGTCAGGGATTTTTTTAGATTTTGAAGCAGTAGTTCCTGAGATTAGTGCGTTAAAAAACAAAAAACCTTTCAGCTTTAAATATTAGTATAGATTTTAAATCTCGTACCTAACCGTAACTGAACTATTTTAATCTAAACTATATTAATTTATAAGTAATTTATTTGTTTGTGTAAAAAGTATTATTATTATTTAAAATTGGAGTTCAAACTTAGGTAGCTTAATTGGTTAGAGTAGCAAGGAAAAAAAATACGACATGAGCGGTTCATATCATTTTTTTTTGTTCAATCTAAATAGATTTTTATATTTCAGTTTGAAATAGTTTATATATGCACTTATATAAATACCGTGGGTTTAACAAAGCACATTTTAAAGGTTGTCACGCGATCTTTTAAATATGCCGTGCAAAGCAGCTTTGAATTATATTCTAGATTAATATTAGCATTTTTGAGAACCTAGATTTTAAGGTTCATTGACACTATCAAGACAATTAAATAAAACACTTTTAAACGGTTTTAAACGTCTAAACGTAGTCACGTGGATATTCTTCGCGCTGGCTCAAAGCAGTAGAAATAAATTGCTAATAAGTAACGCGAAATATTAGTCATAATATTACCCGTTTTTGGCCGTTAAGTGTTTTATTTAAATATGTACTAGTTTTAAAACTGCAGACAATATAAAGAAATATTTCATTACCGTTATTAGTTTTGACGTCTCAGCTCCAAGTTGTGACTTACGTAATTCTTGGTTTTGGCAATGCTTTCATTTTTTAGTTTTTCCACATTTTGTTACGATATTAAATGTTACCTTACTTACATTTGGAACGTCCTGTGCGTCTCACCTAGGTGCAAATCTTCCGAGGGACATTGAGTCCTTAGTTGTCTTACATTGGGCAGACGCCCTAGCTCTAAAACGACGTTGCTGTTTGTCTCAGCAGACACCAAGGCATTACCTAAATACACCAAGACGTTGGCTTCATCATTCCCCCATTGATTGTTTGGCAAGAGTTTCCGAACCGAAACAGGTGCTAAACACCGCAAGTCTGTAACTTTTATTCATTATTCAATTGTGTAAGGCTTTCACGGCCATCGTTCAGCATATGTGAGCCGATGTGAGCGAGAAGAGGTTCTCGACGTTTCGCCATCACGTGTGGACGGCATTATCAGATGTTAAGAATTATTTATTGATTGCTCGAAGAATTATTATTAATTCTCCGAGCAATCGAGGAGTAGGCGGTTAGTGGCTGAAGACGTTTTGAAAGGGTTGCGCACGCACTGACTCTAGCTGACTAGAGACTAGCGGGGGACACGCGCGCGCGGTAGTGGTTAGTTCAAAGCGACGAGCGGCGGCCGCGGCTTCCTCGAATTTTTATACCTATTGAGTTATACTTATGTAGGAATTTATTTATCGAACGGTGTCCAGGATTTCAAAAATTGCATATAATTTTGAAAAAAATATAACGTGGTATAAAAACTATTGGAATGGATTCTGCTACTGATTCTGAACAAATCACTTTCAGGTTTCGCATGAAGTAGGAATAACCTGGTATATTTAAAAAAGGATATTTTGAAAGGTTCCTTTATTTGGGTATAAATGAGACGCAAAAATGATAATATTTTGCTATCTATGAAGACCAATATTAAAAATGGTATTTGTAAATTTAAACAACACCTGCGATAATAATAATTTATTCGTGTTATTATCATAAAACGCTTGCTTAAACATAAAACACATGCAGTCGAATAAAGAAAACGTAAAATTTCTTACTGTATTTGTAAATGGTCGTTCCAACCTATTCATGCCCCACTGCTCTTATATCGGTTAAATGAACGTTGACACATCATGCTGTTCCAGTGTGGATTAATGGGCTTTTACGACTACAGCCACTAAATTAGCAGTGATAACGGGGAACAAAGGCTTAAGCTGTTCTCTATAGGGCATTGCTACCTACTTTCAAGCTCCGTACTATAAGTAGAAAATTTCTCATAAAAACTGAAGTAACATTCTACCCGATCCAGGATTCAATCCCACTGGCCAATAAGGCAGACTGTAAATAATAATTCATATCATTGACAATAAATTACAGGAAAGTAAGTTTCATTTAATTAGCTTTCTTTCAAAAATACGAGAATATTTGATTGGCTTTTCTGTATTCGACTTTTAGAAATTTTGAAAGTAATAACAATAATAAAAAAAATCTTACGGTGCTAATTAGATATAAATTACTTTGTTAGTAGTATAAAATCGAAAAAGTGTTTTTTAATAAATCCTAAGTTTTATTCGTTAACGTGTTTGCTTCAAAGTTTTATACGCTAATACCATAACCAAGATTTAAAATCAAGAGCTAAGCTAAGTTATCACATAGGGTCCAAATAAAATTAAGATGATGCAAATATAATATATTCTCTAAGAAAATACATTATATCACATGTGTGTGCAATAGGAAAAGAGAAAAAAATGTGTGTTGTTAAATACTGTCTATAGTTTACGCGAGCAGTACACATTTAAATAAAACACTTTAACGGTTTAAAACGCGATATATTAGTTAAACTTATTTGGAAATGATTTTTAACTTCGACCCGACGTTTCGGATGCTTTGCAGCAGCCGTCCGGGGAGACTCCCCGTGACCAATATATCGCGTTTTAAACCGTTAAAGTGTTTTATTTAAAAGTGTGTTGTTGTTGAAATTGCAAATAATTAATCATTGCATAATAGTTCAAATATTTACTCCAATTCGTAACCATTTTAGTAGTTTGACATAAGAATACATTTTAAAATATTAAAATTAAACTTCAATAACCTATTATGACCTTCCTCGCTTGCCGAAGAAAAATAATACTTTAAAAAAAGTTTAAGTGTTACAAGTAGTAAGTTACGTAGGACGAACACATTTCTGTGTCCGTTCCACTGATCGGTTTTTTGCAGACAAATAGCTGATAAGCTTCTGTGCCCAGGACGACCTAAGCGATCTAGTGTTTCCCCAGGATTCGAATCGGTCCTGGATTCCTTTCGTGCTTAACACGTTTAACGTTTGGCTGCAGAGGCAGTTTAAAGTTTTACAAGGAAAAATTAATTTATTCTGATTTCTTATTGCAAAAGTATTTTTAACTTAAAAAACAACAATCTTTACTAAATGTTTCACGCCACAAACTGCAATAATTAAAATTATAATGATTTTGTTAGTACTAAATTGCGAACAAACAAGGTGGAATGTTTCTGGCATGAAGTCCGACACCGAAATTGGGCACTTAGTTCAGCTAGTATGGATATAAGATTACGCCCTGGATTTGTCCGCCTTAATATATTTATCTAGATCCGCGTCACTGTTAGGATCGACTTGGGACAACTGACGGAAACTCTCGTCGTCCACAAAGCATATCTCATGATCATCCGGGTCTGCTAGAATGATTACCCGAACGGTGGCCTTTCCAGGCGTGTCGAGGGATATAAGGGGGGTGAGGATCTTGCCCTTGGCTTCCTGGATTTTCTGGTCTATTATTGGCTGCTCGTCGAAGGGACAAGAGAATGCAATGCGGCCGTACGCTTTCGCGTGATCCACTGGGCCACCTGTAAAGAAGTTTTATATGTAGAAAATCATCTTAATTAAATATGTATTGGTAATTGGTATTGAGTATTGCCTGTAATTTACATAAATACATATTAAAAGAAACATTTTAACTTTATTTTCAATTTTGTTTCAAATGTTTTACAATAGCCTGCTGCAGTTAATAATAAGTATAATAATATATTACACGTTTTAGAACGTTAAAAGTGTTTTATTTAAATAATCATATATTTGTCAACAGGCAACAAACGGTATTACGTAAATTGTTACAGTAACTGTTACTAACTGTTTTTGAAGTCTAGAAGCACTAGTACAGTAAAAAAGCGTTCGAAGTTAGCAACGTATGGCTAATAGTCGTAACGGGTCCCCGCGGGGCCCAACGTGCTAATCATTTACTATATATATATATATTATATATATATATAGCGCATCTTATTAAGATGTCTTATGCCTGGTGTATGTCATCGATCAAGTGAGCCCCGTGCTTCTCTGTCCTCAGCGACCGTAAAAAATGAATCATATATTTGTCCGTCGAAGTGTAGATAAATAACCAAATCCCTGTTATTACTGGAAGTTTTCAGTGACACCTGACAACCATTCAAAACACGTTATCTCGGCGTAATACCAAGTGCAACGCCTGATAGCGGCCTATCACAATTGTCTCGATGTGCGAAATGCATCTCTATGCATATTGTTTAAAAATAATATGTTTTCGATATCAAACAAATTCCACATGAAGAGATATGTTAGGGGCAATCGAATTACTATAATATAATAAATATAATAATAATAGACTTAGGGAGTATCTACCATAGTGATCCAACTTAGAGGAAGACTTTAGAGTTTAGTATATTTAGTGTTAATTACAATTACTTGTTTCGTAATAATGTACAGCCATCTACATCAAGATGATGTGATAGAAGTAGGCAGCGCAGAAGTAAAGAAAAAAAGACATTTGTGTCGAAAGATATTTGCTCGTCCTTGCTAGCTTAGAACAAAAATATGAAATTGGTGTAATTTATATAAAGAATACTACTTTCTGTTTTTCTTTAATAAAGTTCTCTACTTTACTGACTTGACGGTTTAAAACGCGAAACATATGAGTTAAAATTATTTACAAATTATTTTCAACTACGGCCTGACGTTTCGGATGGTTTGCAGCAGATGTGGTATGCCCGTGCTGTAATTTGTTGTGAAGTCTTTTATATCAAAGTTCTCATTTTGTTGCTATTTGCGCTATTGCCAGCAGTGTGTCTTGTACTAAATATTTATGTAATTACTTTTTCGTATACCAGTATAATACTCTGTATTTTACTAGTAGAAAGAAATAAAAAAAAACAATAAAGTATATTCTAAAATGGAGCATAACAATGGCGATTTCTTTACGCGCATAAAATTTACTCACGTAATTTGTTAATCGGCTCTTTCCTTTGATTGATAACATATGCACTAATATTTTAATAGCATTGTATTTATCATTTATGATATTACACATTTAAGGAGACAGACAATACAAACACAAATATATATGTGCATATCGACACATTCACAAACACGTGAACATTATCATAGGAATCATAATACAATCTCGTGATATTTATATCTAATCGCCATCTTTCAAGATCACGTATCATTAGATTATATTGTTATTAATTTACGACATATAAACATATATTAAATGAACCATATATAATTTGCAGTGAAATAAAGTTAGAAAAATGTAAATCAAATAAAAAAACAAAGTCTAAAAATATTTGTGAAATCCCACTTCTGATTAAATTAACTAACTTTTTTAAAGGACGTACCTACAGGCTTTATACATTTAACTATGTTATTTACTTTTCTCTGAGTATAATTTAGAATTTTAATATTGACTTTAATTAAATAGTGTTTATATAAGAAATATTTTATCAAGTTATTTACTTACACCGTACTCTACCTAAGATAGAAATTCAAAGAATATGGAACACAAAAATGCTTACCAATATCAACTAATTCTAATTTAGCTTGGTCATCACTGAATCCTAGAATTGCAGACTTGTCTTTCTTCTCATACATCTTGAGTGATAGCAGGCCATTCCAATACGCTATTGATTTCGCCAAATTTGAACAAGCCAAGGAAACTTTAACAACAGGATCTGTAAATAATGAAGACCCTTAAATAATTATGTTTAGCTCAGGGTTAAAAACAGGTAAGTACCAAAGATATGGAATATTACAGTTCCTACTCACTAAAAACTATTTTGTAGATACATATTGTGAGTAAATGTCACTAGTTACTGTCATAATTTTTATTTATTTTACTACATTTATCGAGATTATATGGCCTGTTTATTTACTTTAATACATATTTCAATATTGCTAACTTTAAGATTACACAACGTTTTACATATTATTTGAGACCTGCTAGATAACATTTAATCCGCATGTCTCAGCAAAATTTTGGCAACACATAGGTGTATCTACATGTACATAGATAAATGTTTAAATCTACACCTATGTATTAACACAATATTTATGACTTCACTCAATTATACAGTAAAATGCAAATTTTAATAATAGTACCTTCATGAATATAAAGACTGAAGATAAAGTGTGACTGTGGAAAATTTTTTACAAAAGGTGACCTTATGAAAACTTTAGCTCTTATGTCTAGATAGAGATATTGTTATGCCACATTTGATATTATATACCAAGATACACATTATTTCGTAAAATAATATACACTAGTAAGATAAAAGACCTATATACAATATAATATCTCTGCCTTAGCTGAAGCTAAAGAATTTATATGAAACACTAATGGTTTAAAACATGATATATATTAATTAAACTTATTTGACTAATATATATAAAGTTTTAAACCTGTAAACCACTCGCTAGATAATTGTTGAAAAAATTATTATACCTTTGTCAACTGGTTGTGGTTTATCAATAATGAAGAATTTATAACCACCAGGTGCTTCTACATACTTCAAGCCGTCTTTCTCTTTTACTGGCCAATTTGTAGCAGCTGCCCTCTTTAAGCTTTCACTGGATTGAATTGTGATGCCGAGGAAGTCATTGCCATGCTCGTAATGGGTAATACCATAATTGTATGTTAATTCCACTACAAAGTGATTGTCTTCTGGGCCATACCCCACCATGGTTTTGCTCCATCGGTTCGCGTATGGCCTGAAAAATAAGGATGATTTTTACTTTTTTTTATTTATTTGACAAGTCATACTTGATCATAAAAATCTATAGATAAGAAGGTTTATAAGACTAAATAAACTTTAATCTCCTAAGATTTTTCTGCTTATTTCACCTAAATTATACAAATATATATAAAAAATCTTACCCGTTACATGCAGCTTCGCAACCTTCCGAAAATTCTTCATGACGTAATACCTAAAAGACGTTATAATTTATATACGTTAGTAAATATATGAGTACCAATACTCATATAGCTACTTGAAATAGTAGAATTGAACGCTTGACGTGTCGGCTACATAAGACTGGTTGTAAGTCCTTGAGAATGACAAGACACAACAATTATTGCTAATAATTATGCTGCAATTATACATTAATATAAACTAAAAAATTGTTTTAAATTACTGTAGCGGTATTTACCTGCATTCCTAAAACTTCCCGGTAAAACTTTGCGGTCAAAGTTCTGTCGGCGACTTTGAAAACGAAATGTAGAGCACGACCAACAACCATTTTAACTGCTTTAATCACTATTTATTCCCCACGAAAACTCACTACTTAAATAATAAATTATTAATTCCTGAAAATACGCGCGTACAATCACACAGTTTCAGAAATTAAAACTTGTAAAAAACGAGATACGAAGAAAGATAACAAGAACGAGATAATTACCACAAAATTGCAGTGTTATGACTTAAGACAAGATGCTGTCAGACTTGACAGTGATAGATTTTGACAATTGACTCTTTACTTGTGCCACACCACAGATTTCGTATTTGTTAATATATTGACTACCCCATTTAAAACATGGTGATCAATAATAATATTTTAAAAATAAGTTTCATCTAAAATAATTGTTAATGGTCATTGTACAACCCCAACCCCTATGCTACTATGAGTCTATTACATACTTTTTTTATAAAACTATTAAGATGTGTTTTGTACGTACATATTGTAGTCTTTAATTTTTCTTTCTTCTATTTATGAGTACTTTACTCAACTTCAAAAGAGCTAATGGGAATATTACTATGGATATAGTATAAGGAATATAATTATATGCAATAATTAGTGCGATGAAGGTAAGTTATTAAATAAAATAATAGTTATTTTCGAAAACTCTTAAACTATACGATAACCATAGGAGTAATTAAGTAATTATAGGGGTGTTCTCAGGTGGGAGGGTAGTTGAAGCAATATTACCCCTGAAAAAAAATTTAATAATCAAAACAATGAAATCGATTGATTCACATAAAACTACATATAATTTCATACAGAAATACGATTAAATATATTTTCTCTTATATCTAAACTACAATCATAATTTCATGGGTATGTTATATTTTTTTTACATTTTCTTAAAATATGCAATCAATATAATTGTATAAACCTCGTAGACACAGACAGATGCGTTAGACGTATCCTCTTGTTCTTGCTAAGTGTGTAAATATTATCTTTAAATTTATCTGATTATTTTATACCAGGTAATCCGTTGAGAGGATATGATTGTGGAAATATTGATGTCTAAGAAGTACATTTATTTTCTTTCCTATATAATAAATAACGGGAATAACGTAAACAAGTACACCTATATTAACACCAAGTATAGATACTTACATTAATATAATATGTAAATGCAAGAAGTACCATAAAATGCAAAACACATAACACTCTGGCACTTAAATGGTTAATATAAAAAATATATCGAAAAGCAATGTCGGCACTTGTATAATAATTGGCGTAAAGTTATAAATATTTGTATATAAATAAATGGAAAATATGTTTACGAAAACATCGAAAAATATTTATTTTAATGAAAACTAGTATGGATGTATTTGCAACTAAAACATAGTTATATTCTTATAGACATACATTATTTTAAAACTGATGACTAGACCGTTTAATAAGAATCGATTAATATAACATCATAATTAAAAGTATAGTTTTAAATAGATATCACAATTAACTTAGATATTTTTAAAAATGCTTTGTAAATTAAACTGTTTTTTTTTTCACGCAGCTAAATAAACATTAGGGTACTAAAATGCCTAATAATTTCAAGGCATTTATCCGTTCTATTTTAAATATAATATATTCATTAAATCAGCCTAGATTGGTCGATATAATAAAAATAAACAAGATATGGAATCAATGATAGCAAATTTGTACACACCCCAACAATTGACTCTGTAAAAATAGACTTTTTAAAATAAACTTTAGCATTAATAACTTTTCAAAATAATATAGAATCAATTTTATATAATAAAGTGAATGAAAGCTGATATCCTAGCATTTATGAAATATTAACTACTTTTACGTATATCCTGATTAGAAAAGTATCAATATTAAAAAAAAAACAGGATGACAAATTAAGCGCTTACAAAGTATGAAAAATGCCTGAGAACCTCGCAAGTTTCAAAACGTAGAACGGAAAAGTCTCACTCGAATACGGTGATTTAAAACTACCCTCAGTCTTGCCACATGCAGTTAAAAAATTAGTGCCATGATTATAACGTAAATGTAGCGAAATTCTCAACATTTTCATAGATAACACAGAGGTTGCTTAACACAAGTTTTTTACAGTAATCGGTGCGTTATTTTCAATTGTGTTTTTCCTTTTCAGAGCCGTCTTTGTCTTTTTCTTTCTCCTTTTCTTTTTTCTCTTGTAGTTGTTGCAAATGCGCTGGTAGAGCTTTTAGGATCGCATGTACCTTAACAATCATTACACAGAAAATGAATCATTCTTCTAATATTAAAAAGAGCTCATTATAAATTAATCATTAAAAAAATTTTCGCACTAGAGCGTAAAATCTCAATTCCATCTATGGGAAATTCATTGACTTTACCACACGTAACTTGATTACAGTCCTGAGCCTTAACCGACTGAATTATCTTTTTGCTTCCCCAGAATTGAAACCTAGTATTTCTTTTGGTATTTAAGTCGGACTTCGTATTAATTATTGGTATTAACTAATTTAATTTGTTTGGTATTTAAGGCTGTAAGGCACCAAATCACTACGCACTACTTATTACATATCAAGTCATACCGCTTTGTCATTGGCAGGTAATTTCAACATTACCTCTTCAGCGACGGCCATCAACACAAACTCGAATTGAGGTTTGGTAGCGACCGTGTGAGGGCGCTGGTCGCGGATGTGTTCCAGAGTTGCGGCTATATCTATTTCTTTAGCGCCTTTCGCCATTCGGTTTAAGACCATGTCGATAAGGCAGTAGGTGCCTGTTCGACCAGCACCATCGCTGAAACAAGACTAAGTTCAGTTTGATGGTCTAAGAAGTCTAAAATTTTTCGTGGCGTCATTCTGAAGCTTTTGTGGTGAGAAATATGCCGTTGAGTATTTTAGTTCACTGGAAAACCTTCCTACCTGCAGTGCACGACAATTGGGCAGGACCTTCCTCTGTAGGACTTGTTCACTTTCCTAGAAGAAGAGAATAAATTATCATTTATTTATTATAGCTTTATTATTTATAATACACCGAAAAAAAATATATAAGAAAAACAATCTTACGTACTAACTTATAAATAAAAGGCTAAGCAGTGATCTCTTCCAAGCAGGAATCATAGGAAAAAAGGAATAGAAAAGACTAGATTAAGTGAGTAGGTGTAAAAAGTAAACAAAAAGCAAAGGTACATTGTCAAAGTATACACAGCAAGTAGGAGAGACACTAACTTAAGAGATAGAAAAGTAAAACTATTGAGCAAACTCTTTAAAAACGGAGAGATTGAGAAGAAGAAACACACGTCTTACTTCCTTCCTTACTTTTTAAATGAACAATATAAAAAGAACAGTGAAAGAACCTTACCTCCTGAATTCCAGCAAAGCCTTCGTAGATGATGGTACACCATTCTCAGGCCACGATAGGAAGTGGAATTGGGTTACGGTACGAGTTTCGCTGGTACGCTGGTTTTTCAGGTAGAAACTACGCACCAGGTAGTCATCACACCAGATATGCTCGCTGACTAGGTGAACCTGAGAGGAAAGAAGAATATGAAGTTGCAACTAAAAGTTTTTGCGTTATCAAACTGGTTCTCAAACACGAGTGGAGTGAAGATGATACAAAATAAACTAGAAAGTCTCCTCCTTCTAATGTTATAAATAACATCAAAAACTACAGTGTCAACTTCAAAAGTGCCTGCGACATCGTCCACGCGAAATAATTATTTTGGGCGTCAAAATTTATTCTCGCTATAAATTTTTACAGTGAACATATATTCTGCTGCGATTTTTTTTTTAGATAATTCATAGAAGAATCATTCATTTTCATACAAGTTTTTGGGTTTCTTGATTCGATTAAACAGCGCACGCAACGATAACACTCAAAGAAGAATAACTTTACCGGTTTTTTTCGCAACTTGATGTTTTATAGCCTAAAGCATTCCTCGATAAATAGTCTAATCAACACAAGAAAAATTCAATTCACAGTTCCTGAGATTAGCGCGTTCCACCAGACAAACTCTTCAGCTGTATAATATTAGTATAGAATAGAAGTTTACATTAATTCTGAGTAACATAGGTAAGTAAACAAAAGCATCTTACCTCGTAGATATGGTACAGCTCGGAACCTTCTTCAGGCCAGTATCGGTGGCATAGTTGTTGCCCGTTCTCAGTCAGCCGGGTCAGCATCACCATGACTACGCTCCCCTGTTCCCAAACCATTTGCCAGAAGTCGGAGGACGTGTGGGGCATGGGACCCGATGCTGCTATGTATGCTGGGTTGCGAGGGTCGTGGTCAGTCTGAGAGGAACAGTACACAATCAAAAATAACCAAACGTTAGTTACGTTCATTTTATACTAGGATGTCTTAGAAACGATAGAATTTAGGTGGAAAAAGAATACCGCGTTTTCGTTCGTCTTAATGGTAAAAAAAATGTATAATATGATACGTTCATATGAAAACATGTTTCCCCTTTCTGCTTTGGTATTTATAATGCCGGATTTTAAATATAATTAACTCGCTGTGCCCGCAACTTTGTCCGTGTGGAATAGTTATTTTGGGCAGCATATTATTTATATATACTGTATCGGACATTTTTTTAGATTATTTCGATAAATGGTCTAAACAACACAAATGCTTTATTATACTTACTATGGTCGATGCGTTGATATAGTCCGAACCAAGGTGGTTAGACAGAGGATTCAGAGTGACCCTGGAGTGGTCATAAGGAAGGCAGTGCATGTAACGATTCTTCCCAGTGTTGTCTGGTTTAACAGCTGCAGTGGTCGTGTTCGGTTCAGCTTCATAGGCCACCAACGCTTTCCATTCTTGCTCGAGCCGGTCCTTGTTGCGTAAGTGATCTTCCATGTAGGCCTGGGCGAAGAAATATAAGTAAAAATGAGCCATTTTCTTTTAATGATTTGTACATCAGATACATGTTTGATGTTGTCTTATTTTAAGCGAGTGGAACACTTTTACATGAAACATTTTTAACGGTTTGAAACGCTGGGTTGGGCTCGATGTTTATTTATTTATTTATTTATTTATTTAATTCTTCATTGCAACAAATACAAAGTATATATACATGATTCCTTAAAAATATTCTTAATAATACAATTTTTAAGATACATTATTCTCACCAGTTATATAGTGCAATGGGCGGCCTTATCGCTATGGAGCGATCTCTTCCAGGCAACCCTTGAGTAAAATGAAATAAGTTATGTCATGGGAACGTGCAGGTCATGCGAAGCTTAACAATACACAAAAAATGAATATTATACACAACGAATTAAAATACAAAAAAAAAAAAAACACAAACTAGTTTTGTGGATGGGCTATAGACAAAAAATGCTTATAGAGGAGATGCTTAAAAGATGGCAGTGACGAGGCTAAGCGGATGGAGACAGGGAGCAAATTCCATAATCTTATCGCAGAGATCCTAAATGATTTTCCAAAAAGGGAAGTATTATGGGCAGGAACTTCTAGGATGAGTCTCTCGGAAGAACGTAGACTATAGTTGGAGGGGCACAGAAATTTGAAATCATTTTTTAGGTAGGAAGGAGTATTAGGATTGAAGAGAGCAGTGTATAAGAGGTGTAAGATATGAGCATCGCGCCGCAGTCGAATTGGAAGCCAACCGAGCTGCTGACGATAAACACTTACATGGTCATACTTTCTCAAGCCAAAAATAAATCTTATGCAAAAGTTTTGAAGGCGTTCTAGCTTATCTAACAGTTCTTCATTTAAATCTGAGGTACAGGCATCGGCGTAATCGAGTAAAGGCAGTAATAGGGATTGTGCTAGCATGGTTTTAGTACTGATTGGAAGGAAGTGGCTGAGACGTCTGAGGACGCTTGATGCGGCATACAATTTTTGACTAATGTTTTTAATATGTGGAACCCACGACAAGGTTCGGTCAAATGTTATACCTAAATTCCTTACAGTATGGCAAAATGGCATTGGTACACCTTCTATGGATACTAACGGTAACCGTGCCCAGTCGAGCCTTTTGATGTAATAAGAACTACCAAGGATAATAACTTGGCTCTTATCCGGATTTAATTTTAGACCACATTCTTTGCTCCATTGGACTATACTTGCAAGATTATCATTAGTAGCCTGTATGGCTAACTGAAGCTCTTCTGGGCTAGATTGTACATAAATTTGAAGGTCATCAGCGTAAAGGTGAAAGTTAGAAGTGAGACGAGACGTAAGGGAGTTGATGTAGACAGCAAATAGGAGAGGAGATAGGACGCCACCCTGCGGAACGCCTGCACCGATGGGATTCCATTGGGAGTACGTATCGTTGGCTTTTAGGCACTGGCGACGACCGACAAGATAATTGGAAAACCATTTGATAGTAGAAGAAGACATTTTAATTGACTGTAGAAGGTGTAGAAGAATTTCATGATTCACAGTATTAAAAGCGTTGCTGAAGTCAAGAAGAGTGAGTATTGTGAGCTGCGTTATAAAACGATCCGGACCTAACATAGTTAAAAATAAGCTTACTAATAATATATTATTTCGCGTTTTGAACCGTTAAAAAGCGTTTTACTTGAACATGCAGTTTGGTGAAGGTGGGATGCCTTCACTAAACCGCTTTGGGAAGCGGCATATCGTAGAACCATGAATTCGACGATATTGACACCAACACGCAACTGGCCAGCGAAGTAGAGAAAGCTAAGAATGATAAATGCCAGAAAGAAATAGACCAGATAGGTTAATACATTAGAATGCTGTGCCGTGCTATCCAGATGTTCAGAGGACGAGTTCTGACGTGTGCCTGATTGTTGACCGCTTCGGTCTATTGTAGTGCCGCCTTATTGAGATTATTATTTTTATTACATTAAGGATAGGAACAACATACCAAAACCATGTGACCAGTTGAAATGTCCATATTTGTCAGCGCTGGCTCTTCGCTCCTGCAAATGATTAATGAGAATTTAATCTTAACATGTATGATTTTGCTAGAGACAGAGTGGCCTAATATCAAAAAACATGATTTTCAATAAGGAGGATAATAAAGATGTATAGTTTGTGTAAAAGTTGTGTTAGATGTAGTATACAATTTTTAAGATAAAAAAAACATATAAAAATTGCAGTTAGGCTACTCTGCGTCCAGCGGCCTCTTATCATGTATAAGCTGTATTCAATGTCGATAACAAATACTTAAATAACGTTAAGGGCTTAACCAATGCTAGATAAGGGTCAAACTAACTGGGTCACAAAAGCAAAGCTTTTTATATAGGATAATACAAACTTAGTTTTGAATTAGTTTTGCCGTACATAATATAATATAAGCAATAATTATAGGATCTATTTTTTGATTAATAGGAGAATTAAATCTCAGTTATTTAGTACAAAAAAGCAACTTCCCTTTTTGTTTGCGTATTTATTGTTTAAACTTTTTTTTATTTTTCTTGGTCTTTATTCTATCGCATTAGAATTCTACAATAATATGCATTAACATGTAAAAAAACAATAAAAATAAATAAATTGATAACTATATAAATACTGAAGTTATTTGGGCATAGATTAAGCCAATTATTTTTTTAAGTGTATTTAGTAAAAATACTTTTATTAACATTTACTACCAATTCTCAAATCAAGGGCGCAGAACGAGAAGAACTGGCAAGAAACTCGCCGTCACTCCTTTTATCGCCAAGTTTTAGTATACTGGCATACAATTGCAAACTAAACCAAAGGGGTGATTAGATCAATGATTGAGAAGTATTTTACCATGATGAGGTGCTGGAGCGTGTGGAAGGCGAGTTTCCATCTGGCTCCCGCGAAAGTGATGTGATGCGTTGTGGTGCGTCTGTCGGGTGCGGCGCGGGCGCAGTTTGCTGTCCAGACATTTTTCCGGACATACGTGCGCGGCACAACTCCTAATAAAATATGATAAATATTTAAAAAGTTTAATATTTTTCACATAGTGGCATTATATAAATGAAACATGGTGTTAGATTGAACATATTTAACGATACGGGCAGGACTTTAACGGGTACTGTTAAAGATTTTTCACGCATTTTTTTTTTAAATCTGCAATTTTTTTTTAATTTTTAATAACTATTTATAATCAATCTTTAGGATTGCACTGATTTAAGAAAAACTGTTCAAGATTATTAGATTTTTAAGGTTTTAACCCCCAATCAAAATGAATTTCTTAAACCTTTAGAAAGCCTATAAATTATGTTTTTAAAATGACGTCAATAACCCGTACCCTAATGACGTCACGGCTTCTAAGTTCGACTAAGCTGTAAGTCAAGTTAACGAAAAAAAAATATCATGACCACTAAGTTGTGGAGTTCTTCACATGAAAAAATAATTTTATTATCGTCCTCGGTGGAATAAATTATTTTATTTTTAAAGTACCAATTTGCATTCAAGCTATTAAAAAAAAATTACATGTTATTGCACATTATGGCCTGACATCAATTTAATATAAATTTAGATTGCCTTTTATTTAAAACTAAAACCGATTTTCAATTCACTTTACCTATGTACATAATTGGTGATGACAACTGCTACCTGATAATCTCTCGTAGCTTCAGCGTCTATCTCGGCGGCTGAAGACAGCCCTTGCATCTTCCTCTTCGAACTCATGTCCCGTTTTAGCAGAATAGCAAACACCACGATCCCAACGATAAGAACAGCTAAGCTTCCAACTAACGCCAGAAGCACTGGCATCTCCAGACCGAAGTACTGCGGTTCGCGGGCAACATCATGCCGCATAACATGGTATTGAGTCTGAAAAGTCGATTTGTTGAAGAAGTCCAGGATTCTAGGGTCCAATTGAAGAACGGCAGAACTTAGACCACGTAGCGATGTATGGCTAACAATCAAAGGATCGTTGGTTTAATCCCCACGGATTTCAACATGTTTCTGATGAATTTATAATTTCTTAGTAAGATTCGAACCAAGAAATTCTCAAGCCAGAGTTTGACCTTTTAGCTATAGGGGTAGTTTGTTAAAAATAAAACTATATATAGTTCAAATACTGTCTATAGTTTACGCGAGTAGTACACATTTAAATAAAACACTTTAACGGTTTAAAACGCGATATATTAGTTAAACTTATTTGAAAATGATTTTTAACTTCGGCCCGACGTTTCGGATGCTTTGCAGCAGCGGTGTCTCCCCGTGACCACAGCTGCTGCAAATACCGCGTTTTAAACCGTTAAAGTGTTTTATTTAAATATATATAGTTCAATTTATAAGTTAAGTTGTACCCTGTCTCCGATTCCACTTGCAACGATTTGCGCTCCCGTTTCTTTGCCGATTTTGTCTTTGACAGCCCCTGCAAAGTAGTAGTCGTTAAGTATACAAAAATGAATTTGAATATCGAATAAGTAATATTGAATTTAGCTACGAATCGACGATAACAACTTGATCTCGGAACAGCTAGGAAAATTCAATATGGTTTGAGACATATTGAATTTTCTATTGAGGCACTGTATTTAAATTAACTTTAATATTACTTTTAATTATATAATTAATCCACGGTACATAAACAATATTTTGTTTAATTTCTCAGCCAGCCGAACGTAGCTTATGTAACCTGCAGGCATTTCCTTAGTTTTTGACATCTTCCATCCCACGCCTATTGTAAGAAAAACCGACCTCTTCCCTCCTGTTTTAATATCTTAAGTAAGAATCTAATGTAAAAAATCTCCAAAACAAAAATTGTTTACCTACAGAAGAATTTTTAGTCCAGCAGCTCAAATAGTTTTAACATTACGCCCCTCTTCCCCCCAAATCGACTCTCTTAATAAATGCAGCCCCATATCTTACCAATCTGTCTAGCGACTTCTTCTGCGTCCCAACCTCTATTATTAGTCTCTACTTTGAACGTTACTTCGGTTGGATCGACCCTGAATAAAAATCAAAATTTTAATTACAAGTTACCTACACAGTTAAAGAAATGAGAAAGACAAGCGGAAATTACCGTGGATTAGTAAAAGTGTCTTTATCTAAACCGAGTATTTCTTCTAGTCTCGCAATGAAAGAGATGCCTTTTTCCCAGTTTGTAAGGAATCTGAGGCAAAAAGCGTAAGTAGATTAGTATGCAGAAAGCAAAACCACAATAAGACGTTTACATATAAATACAAATATCTTTTATTATCACAAAACATGAAACAGAACATAACAAAAAATAAAACTGATTTAAATTAAGAAGGCGGCTTTATAAGCCTAAATAAAGCTATCTCTTCCAAGGAACGCTGGAAGTGAAAACAATAATGAAAAGTGCATACCTGGTCTTAAACTTTACGAAGGCGTAGGAAGGATCGTACTCATAATCACTGTGGTTGTGGTCAAGATTTTTTCCACTTGCCGTTTCGTGGTCTGAAATCAAGTTTACGTTGATCATAATACCAGATAGTAACGCACAAGAATCGTGCATCATTTCAAATCATAAAAAAGGTGTTATTGAAAAATTTGACTTATAATTTTCACAATAAAAAAGTTTTGATGGAAGAAATCGATGAGACAGACTCGGATCTACGACCACCGTGACTGCTTTGTAAAATTTCCGTAAGTCTCGCCTGTGTCATCGGTTTTCTAAACACTGCTTTAAACCCCGTTTTTACCAATCCATAGCTCACGTTAATTCTAAACACGGTTACAACACCACTGACCACAAAACAAATTAATAAGAAAATAAGCGAAATAAACAGAAGAAAAGAAAAACAAATAAAAAAATCGGGAATGTCTGAAGAACGGTAGAGCGTCATGCGTACTGTGTAAACTGGAAGCAGATTGTGCTAAGTTAATAAGGGTACATTTAGTGCGAATAAACTATACCTCGTCTATTTTAGGATGATAAGGTTGACAGTTCCAGCCTATGTACTATTGTCTCTAGTTTATGCAAGAAGTACACATTTAAATAAAACACTTTTAACGGTTTATTTGGAGTTAATACAAACTATGTTTTTATTATAAATAAAAATTTGGAATAAATACCACCTACAACACAAATAAACAGGTGGGGCTAAAGTATCAGATTTAACTTTGACTAAGGACATCCGCCATCCTCAATTTCCCCCAAGACCATGGCTGCTGCAAAGCATCCGAAACGGCGGGCGGTAGTTAAAAATATTGTAATTAAGTTAACTTATACATTCTGCATTTTAAACCTTTAAAAGTGTTTTATTTAAATATTATATTCTTCTTTACTTTGATTACTTCTTGTAAATAGCTCTCGTTTATCTTGTTAACGAAACAAAAATAACAATTTAACAATTACAATACCAAATAGATGATAAAAATCAATGATTCAATAAATCATATAAACGTAACATTGTAGAGAAGCCACAAGTAAATATTTTTTTATGTTTATATGAAATTTTGGTTGTTTACTTATAATATAAAATCGATTAGCTATCGATAGTTAAATAATCGCTACCCGATTAGTATACAATCGTATTGAGATAAACCCATTGCAAATTGTCAAACTTATCATCCTCTATTCATAGACAAGATATAGATCAGACTTGGCTGTGCGTTAGTTGTTAGATAAATAAAACTCTCATCGGACACAATATTTCGAAGCCCTTGAGCACACCGACACTACTGACTGACCACGTGACACTAACCTGTCACTGGTTTACCCGTATTGTTGTACAAAAACTTTAAAGCTTTCGCGTCCAGACGTGGCCCGGGCTTTTTAACATCATCTCTTTCCCTACGCTTAAATCCCAATTCTCTATCAAGTAAGTCTTGAAAGTCTTCTGATAGGTAAAATTTGGAATTATCACCTGAAACAGTGTCGGCATTTATGTAACTACCCTCCCTAGTAATTTATCATTTTCGAGAGACATTGAAATTGTTTAAAATAAATTAAAGAAAATAACTAAAAGGCGTGGGATAAACGAAAACAATAATTGACACAATGGAGAATTGTGTTTTTTTTTGAGCCGCAGGCGAAGATGCAACAGAAATTGGATTTCCGTCATCATTCTAAGCCTTTATATACAAACCTTGAAGTTCATCAGGTCCTAGGGGTCCTCCCTCAGCGGCAATGGCTCCTTGAGGCTTAAGCTTAGACCCTATTATCTCACGCCAGTAATTCATTAAATATGCCATGTTATTTTTATCATATTTGGATTTGGAATTTCCTCCTGTGAAAACAAAGCAGTATTAGTTGACTTGTCAATACAAATGTTGGTGCCAGAAAATTAGCTAAATACCTTTAGGATTAAATGGTCTCATTTCTCCACTACCAGTGTCAACGAATTCATCCTCAAAGCCATCATCATTAGAATGAAACCGCGAGTCAAGCATATCACCTGGATTTTCATACTCAAAGGGAAACTGCTTAGCTGCAAAACTCTGTCTATATTTTTCCAATGCATTAGAGTGGACTTCGGCGTCCAAAAATCGATTCCCGGTTAAATACTCAGCCGTGTACGGCGGGGGTTTTGTTTTATATTTCCTAAAATGAGCTCCTAAACGTTGTTCATCAGTAAATTCATTTGTTTCAGGGTTCGGCTCCAGTTTCTGTTGCAGTGATTTCTTCTCCTTTTCAGCAAAATCTGCAGCATCTAATTCTGGGTCTTCCATTCTGGCTTCAGCCCTGAGTCTTTCACGGAAGCCTTCGAAGGGGACAACTGGAGATTCTTCTTCTTTCATTAGTAAAACATCTCGCAGTTTATCGTTGGGTACGTTTTTGATGTCAAGTTCATTATCAGGAACTGTTAAAAGCATTAACCTGATATAATTAAGATGTAAATGAAATATGGGAAGATTTAAAGATAAAAGACGATAACACGTACCTTCTTGCAATATATATGGAATGGGCTCATCATCTGGCGTCAGAGGCGGACTAAATACTTCATTTGCATAGTCCGAATCCGCTAATGGAGAGTTTGGCGTGAATCGAATATAAGCTGTTTCATCTGGTTCATCCTGTACATAATTTAATATTAAATAATATGTTTGCCTGTCCGTTTGTCCCGATTCTGCAGAGTGTTCAAAAGAGCAACGTAACCGAGAAGAACACCCAAGAAACTTTATCTGGCGTTTTTCAAGATGTCTTACAAATTATTACATTTTTGTGAATTTAATGATCTAAGGAGCAATTAATATCAATGCCAGGCAGCCCTGTCATTAAAGAAGTCTTTTAAATAATAATACGCCTTTTGAGACAATCTAAATTTTATGACTTTTTGAACTTATTTATTGATAAATTTGAAACCTCAACTGGAAATGTATTATACATACGAATACAGTTCCCCGCAAATGAATTAGTTATTTTATGGAGCCCATATTTGGGCATAGCTAACTTATCCTTATAGACATGCAAAGTAGTTCAAATTCAACAGAACAATTTTGCACATGGGACATAATTAGCAATACGCACATATCCACAGGTTTTCTGTAAATTGACTAACTTGAACTTAGTAGAAACATAGTCACAAAAAGATCCGAACCCCTTTTATATAAGACTAGCTGTGCCCGCGACTTTGTCCACGTGGAATAGTTATTTTGGGCATCATATTATTTATTTTGCAAGCGATCTCCTCAGCTCTATAATTTATAGCTGTTACCCACGACGTCGCCAGCGCCCCGTCGTTCTTGCAGGTTAATCTTAAGAGATAGACATACACTGTCGCGGACAATTATTGAATGACATATGTATGAAAGAATAACATTCTCTCATACATATGTTTTGGATATCTTGAACCGTTTTTAAAGACGAATAATTTTCCACTTTTCCCTTTGTTTCAACGATGTTTTATAGTCTAAAGCTCGATAAACGATAAATGATCCAGCCGACACAAATATTCAATTCGACCCAGTTATTCCTGAGACTAGCGCGTTCAAACAGACAAACTCTTTATAACTTTAGTATAGATATAGAAAGCGTCAATCTAATCTAGACTTATTTACCTCTAGATCCTCATCGCCGTCGACGGGCCCTGAATTTAATTTCGGGTCAGCAAAGTGCTCGCATAACTTTGTATTTACGTTTGCTGGGTCACTGAAAATGTAACCAGGTTAGTAGAATTCTATATCGATATTTCTATTATTTCTTATTGATGTTCTACTGACAAGCACAAGTCTAGGAAACTCACAGTTGTTGACGCAGCGCAAACAGCATGCTCTGTAGCACGCACTGCGTGTACGCATGTTCCCAGCGGTAGCCCTGGGTTGCCAAGCGCTGCAGTTCACCTTCAAACCATTGCAGCTGCCCGGAACCCATATCATACCTAAATGAAAAGTACGAACGGTTTAAAACGAGAAGGTTATTAGTTAACATATTTTTATTAAAATTTGGCTCGACGTTTCGAACTTGGCTTGGTTAAAGGGGGAAATATGTTTCGCGTATGAAACCGTTAAAAGTGAATTTAAAGGCAATGAATTATAATGCTTATGAGGGAGATTATACTCACTGAAACAGCGACCCCTCCTCTACGTCACTTTCGTAGATCGGAATACACTTTCCAAAGGCGTAATCTAAAAATAAGGTTCAGATTAGTGGTTGAAAATTATTAGCATACACCACACATAGAAATTCCTTACCATCGTAACACCACTCCACGCCTTCAATGCACAACGTAGGGCTGAACAAACAACCTGTGAAACATACAATTTATTAATAATAACAATTCAAACGAATGACGAAATTACTTTCCAGATTTTTGATTTTATTTTGTTACTGTTACTTTATAGTTATATCATACTATTTTAAATAAAGCACTTTAACGGTTTAAACCGCGATACATTATTTAGTTAAACTTATTTAAAAAGAATGTTTAACTACGGCCCGACGTTTCGGATGCTTTGCAGTAGCCGTGGTCACTAGGAGACTAAAGATTGACGATGTTTGACGTCTAAGTAAAAAAGAACAAGTTTAACTAAAAAATATATCGCGTTTTAAACCGTTAAAGTGTTTTATTCAAATGTGTAATGCTTGCGAAAAGTACAGACAGTATTTCATAATATTTTTTTCTTTCCTGTAAATTACTAACGATGTTTTGTTTTCTCTTTCTTCATTGCTATAAAATGAGTAACATTCAAACTATTTGAAAGCTTCTTTTTTTCACATGTTGTTGCACTATATAGAGCAACGCTGTGGAGCCGATTCAAGTCTTGCCAGAATAATATTTTTTTCAATTTATAATTAATCGATTTTTAACTTTTAAACTATGTACCTTATATCTGTGCTATACTATTTTTGTAATATATCTGTATGTTTCCCTTTGTTAAAGTAATACATTTTAATTCTATGTACGAAAGTAAAAAAAAAAAATTCTTATTTTTTACATCAACGCGACTAGTAGTACTAGTATTTACACAAACAATTAAATTCAATAATTACCTTCTTTAAAATTACCCAACGTTTTCTTTAAATATAGAGATATCTAATTCACTATAGTTAGCGGGATAACTCGGGATTACAAAGAAGTGCTGATCTATTTAATTTCTGCTTTTATTATATACGTATAGTCGAACATACACATTTAAAGGCCTACACTTTACTAACGGCAGCTTTAATTACCCTTTCTTCGTTTACCGACAGATATTACGTTATGGATCAACGATTAATAATCTTATCTGAGAAATAAATATATTGACTACTAATAAAAGTTTAATAAAAAATTTTAACGGTTTAAAACGCGATATATTTTACTGAAACTTGTTTGAAAATAATTTTTAACTACGGCGCGACGTTTCGGACGCTCATTTGAAACTAATTTTCAGTAAGTCCTTAGAGTGTGGACAGCGGTGTCACACGTAAGTGTAAATAAATAAAAAAATAGTAAAAAATAAAAATATAGTAAATTTAACGGAAAAAGTCAAGTCAAGCATACAATGGTTTTAGAACAAGGAAAATAAATCTGTATGTGTACAGATAATAAAAATACAGATTTAGTTGCTTAAGCTCGCGACCATCTGATTGTGTGTTTTGACTTCATTACTGAATGGCTAAAGACAAAATAGGTCGTCGGCGAATTTTGTCCAGATATTATATTACTAGTTTATTTCATTTCCCATTGAGGGATCCCGACGCGAGGAGAGAAAATGAGTAACGAATTCAATGTAAATCATTAAAGTGGTTATTTGAAATGATTATGTTTTATTTAAAAATCGAAAATAAATTAAAAACATTTTAGACTCGGCCACGACTTGAACGGGCATTGTCAGCGTTCCGTGTTGTTGCTCTACCAATTGAGCTACCGAGTCCTAGTCAATTGGTAGAGCAACAGCACGAAATGCTGACGATGCCGGTTCATGTCCTGGCAGAGTCTAACATTTTTTCAATTAAATTTTGATTTTTAAATTATATAGTGCCTTCATGTGCAATAACATTTGAAAAACAATACTTTTTCAATAATTATGTTTTTTTGCTGCTATTACATCTATTTAAAGCCGAAATGTCAAGCGGAGATAGTCGCCACCCAATTATTGATACATAAAGGAGACGAAACAAAATAGACCCAAGACAGTAAACGACAAAGGCCAATAAGATATTCGTCTCTATTGGGCAAACGGATGTTGCAAATTGGATTCATATAACTGGGGATCAAAGGACGTGGTAGTGGAAATGTAAATTCTGCCCTACTTGGGGCATGAGACACTTCATCTTTTCTATTGAATAGAGAGCATGGTTCACTTGAAAATGTGAAATGAAAGCCATATAACATTTAAACATGATGTGCTTTCGGCCTTTTTAGGCTTTAGACGTTCGTCACTAACTGAACCACATATTTAACACTTCACATCTCTTTCATCCGTGGATGGAATTTCGATATTAAATTCGATGAATGGGTATTACATATCCAGAATTTTCCTAGTCCGTCAAAGGTAGATAAATTACTTAGCTCTGGTTAATAGGTACCGCTTAAGCTTTTGGGTTTAGTTCACGCTTTGAACGTATAGAATGCGAAGTATGTGAGGTAACTTATTTTTAATTTAACTACGGCCCGACGTTTCGGATGCTTTGCAACAGTCGTGGTCTCGCGGGAACTGTTACAGTAGATTGCAGGTGTCCCTAATGTAAACGTCAAATCAGCTACGATTAGACCTTTGTTATGTTGAACGTAGTTGTTATTTGAAACTGACTTAGTACTTAAATTGAATTTTATTTTAATTTGAACTTATCATGTGTGATAACATATGAATATAACGTATTATTAATAAGGATCTGTTTTTAATAAAATTTCAGAAATGGTTTATCAAATAAAATCCATGTGTAATGATAAAAAGTGTGATTATTCAAAACTAGCAGAGTCAGCGACTTCGTCCCCGTAGGATAGTTATTTTGGTTTTCTTGCAAACCTCCTGCCCAACTCTAAAAAAATTACCTACGTCGTAGTTCGCGTCCCGTCGCTCTTGCAAGTCATACTTAAAAGATAGACATATACAGATACTAGCTGTTTGAGCGACTTCGTCCGCGTATAATAGTTATTTTTCGCGCGTCCCGTCGCTCGCGACCCGTCTTTTGCGTCCCGTCGTTCTTGCAAGTTAATCTCCAAAGATTTTTGGATCGTTTAGAAAGGAATAATTCTTTCATACATATTATTTTGGTATCTTTTCGCAGCGTACGCATCGGAAACCCATAAAGATGAAAATAAATTTCCCCCCGGTTTTCACATTTCCCGCTGCTTCTTCGCTCCTGTTAGTCACAGCGCGATGCCTCGATAAATGTTCTAACTAACACAAAAATATTTTTTCTATTCGAATCAGTAGTTTCTGAGATTAGCGCGTTCAAACAAACAAACAAACTCTTCAGCTTTATATATTAGTTTAAATGACCCAACTTCTGTAATACATCTCATATGCCAATTAAAAATAGGTACGCTGTCGACCTATACCTTTTATGTTACATGGCTGGGCTAATTAGGCATCATGTGATCTGTATGCTTCTTTGTCTTCTTCTCTCATAAAAAAAATAATCTTGACTTACCAATGTTGCCATCAGCGTACGAGGGCGCCAGCAAGCTTAGAAGCGCCAGCGCCCGTACTGACAGCCGTAGATCCATCTGGATCATTACATCTTGAAACAAATAAAGTTACCGTTAGGTACCAATTAAAATATCTACAGGACTAGGTCCCAAATTGGAAAAGTATGTTTGGTTAATTGTATATTTAAATAGATAGAGCGCCACGGAACTATATCGTCAATTCGATCCCTCAGTCGGTATATCGATTTACATATCAATTATTATTAATTATAATTTGTAATAATGTGACAAATTGCGCAATTTTTAATATCTAGAACAATATGAAACAAAATAATTTTATATTGAAAAATCAATCAAATTGTAGACACGGTCAACAGACGACTGTTCGTGGATCTGAGACCTATATTTTTAAACCAACTTTCATATTGAATAAAGCACTTAGAAGGGTTTATAATAAACTACTAATTACATTGACTCCAAATATATTAGTTATCTTATATATATTGTTGTTTAACTTCGGCCCGACGTATACAACAGCATATAAAACTAAATAAAAATAATTTGACTAATACATCTCGCATTTAAAACCGATAAAACTGTTTTATGTAATTGTAAACTACAGACAGTACTTAACTTTCCATTCTTATGTACTGTTCTATAAAACTCTAAGGAAATATTATATATAGGTAGCTACACAATACATAAAGTATAAATACAGTGAAAGATTACTTAGCCAACTTGTACGCGATCTGAGTAGCTTTTGGCTTTACGATGCTTACTTACGACTCCGTTTAATCAACTAGATGGAATATGAACGAACAAAGTGATCCGTTCAGCAAATTCAATCGTTACATTAATACTATGAAAAAATATAACTAAACTAGTGTATAAGCGAATAATGTTTCGATGTTTGCAAGATCACTATTATATTGATACAATTCTATACTTGGAACTCTCTAAACACTTTAACGGTTTTAAAACGCGTTTTATATTAGTTAAACCTATTTGAAAATTTATTTTAACTAAGTTTCAGATGTTTTGCAGCAGCCGTGGTCACGGGAGAACTTAGTGGTTAAAATAATTTTCAAATAAGTTTAACTAATATAAAACGCGTTTTAAACCGTTAGTATTTTATTTAAATAATCGGCAATTATGCATTAATGTCGTCAAAGATTAATTCCCATTAAAACGGTTCTTGCGAGTTAATTTTAAAAGATAAACATAATATGTTGTCGCGCACATTTGTTTAGATTATTTTAATATACACATATAGTCTCACATTTTCCATTGCTTCTGCGATCCTATTGGTTGTAGCGTGATATTATATAATCTTAAGCCTTCCTTAATAAATGGTTTTCTAACACAACAATATTTTTTCAATTCCAACCAGTACATCCTGAGATTAGCACGTTCAAACAAATATACTCTTAAGCTTTATAATAGATGAGATCAGGTTTAAAACAGTCATAAACGAATGTGTTATTATCTACCAGCTTGTACTTCAGTACTCTCTGCAGTTTACGCATCTAAATTAAACACTTTTGACTATTTTAAATGCGAAACGTGGTTAAACGTCGGGCCCTAGCTAAATTATTTATAAATAAGTTTAACGAATACATTTCGCGTTTTAAACAGTTAAAGTATTTAGTTAAACTTGCATTCAACAAGCGAAATAAGAGATTCAAATTTACGTAGTGGAAAGTAATTTTAACAATAACAACGTAGATATTTGACTTGCTAACATAATCTAACAAGATGCACTGTCGACCGTGTTTGAATGTTTGGCTTTGGATATTCGGAAATGTAGACTGAAACAGCAATAAGATCAAACTTAACGGCTCTTTCGATAGTCAGCCGGGCGGAAATTTCGATATTTCCACCTCCCATTCAATATGCAAATTTACATATTAATTCCTACATGACTGCGAAAAAGTATACATTTATTAGAATAGAAGAATTAGAAATATCTTGATTAGTGGCATTACTACCATTAGATCAGCAAACCCGTTGTCCTTTATATCTATGTACAAAATATACTAGTGATGTTGCAGCTAGATAAATAACATAGATAATGACGTAGCTACCTCCCACGCGAAAATTCGCCCTGAAAACGACCACCGTTTCCGTCTCAAACACTTCGTTACGTAAAACGGAATAAATTTAGAACTGGCACTTTGAAATAATCCGACCGCAACGGGGTTCGAAGCGGTGCACCCACGTATTTCCAGACCGAAATGTCAAAGGGTTCCTAAAGCCTTCTAAAAATAGCTCTAATCGATATCTATGAAAATAAAAATACACCTCAAAATAGTTTTAAAAGAACGTAACAGGTTTATGGGATTTTAAACATGGCGGTGGCGAAATGTTATCGCGAAATCAACTCACCGTTTAATACCGCCAATAAAGGGCTGAACACTGAACGTGGTCACTGGTACGCGGCGTCGGGTCGTCCGCTGGATGCAAAGCCACCAGCTGTACCTGGCTGCGAGTCTGCGCAGTGTTGCTTATCGATCTTCGCACTCATTCACTACCGCCTACGTATAACTAAATGTTAACAATCAACATTAGATAACGCGTTATTAGCATTTGTATCCACTCGTAGTTCACACACAGTACTTCAGCTTAGCGTACTTCGATGTGGTGTACATCAAAAAACACTTGGAAAAATACGAACGGGCGGAGCAACTATCGCGTCGACGTGTCCCTTGCTAATGACGGGGCGATAACAATGTAGGATACAAGTCGATATCCTCCACCCACATACGTACATAAATTAACAGGACTAATGAGAGATAATTTGAGGATCGATCGGTAGCGAAGTTTCGCGGAGAAATAAGTTAAATACTGTCTGAAGTTTACGCGAGTAGTACAGATTTAAATAAAACACTTTAATGGTTTAAAACGTGATATATTTTAGTTAAAAGATTGAGAATTATTTTCCAGCCTCCCCGTGACCACGGATGCTGCAAAGCATCAGAAACGTTGGGCCGAAGTTAAAAATAAGTTTAACTAATATATGTCGCGTTTTACAAAAACACATACAACTATTATAAGATGAAACATAAACCTCTTTAAATTAACTTACATTTATTTCTTACTTAAAGGTATGCACAACTGTAACTAAATATATTATTTTCCCAAAATATATGAGGCTGCTAGAAGCAAAGTGGCCTAATAACAAAAAACATTATTTTCAATAAGGAGGAAAATAATAATGCGCAATTAACTTAGGCGAAAATGTATTTGCACTATTATTTGTGTAAGAATTATGTTAACAATTTTCGGTCACTGTGCTCTTGTAGATTAATACAGTTAGGCTACTCTGCCCCTAGGGGCCTCATATAACGTAAGGAATGAAGTTTGTAAACTTTAATATTTTTCATGTGTTATTGCACATTATGGCACTATATAAAATAAAAATCGATTATAGTTTAAAATATCTCAATTCTGACCTCGCCATGAACTAACTAACTAACTTAAAACTCCGTCAAGTGAATTCGGTCAGTCACGCAGGTTGGATCGGTCAGTGGATTTCCAAATACCTATTTTATCCAAAGTCGATATCGCATCTCTTTAAAATTTTATATGATAGGGGATATGGGTCAGACAAACATAGGGCTTACCTGATGGTTGGTTGCATACCTTAGCAGTAAAACAAACATCACCAGATGTGCTGTTCCCTTATTTTTGGCTGAATATTATTTATTCTGCCAATTATGATTGTCATTCATTTATGACGATAATATTTCACCTCCCAATAAGTAAAACCCCCCTTCTTGTCCTCTTTTATCATAAAAAATGTCCATTTGTATTTTCCACTTATGGGCATATAACTACATATTATTTAAATCATCGCTTTAAACAGGATTTATTCCGATGCCCGCACTACCTAATACTCGAGCAAATCTATATCTATACTAATATATAAAGCTGTAGAGTTTGTTTGTTTGAACGCGCTAATCTCAGGAAATACGGGTTCGAACTGAATAATTATTTTTGTGATAGTTAGAGCATTTATCAAGGAAGGCTATAAGCTATAAAACATAACGCTGCGAAAATATTTATGAAAAATGATTCGAAATGATTAGAAGGAAATGTCTACGGCACTGTATGTCTATTTTTCAAGATTTACTTGCGAGCGAACGAGACGCGACCCACGTGAGTAACTGCTTAAAATCATAAAGATAAGGAGGTTTGCAAAAAGAAATTTGGATGTCCAAAATAACTATTCTACGGGGTCGAAGTCGCTGACGCAGCTAGTTAGTTATAAAGAATCTTTTGTAAACACAATACACGTTGAGATAACCCGAAAATGTAAACGCAAAAATAAAATGTTTAATTTTAATTTATTTATGTTATTTTGGAATTAGTCGAGGTCACCTAGAAATATAAACAACAGAAACAGGTGAAAAAAGGTTTTTTTGTTGAATAACAAAATAAATAAAATAAATTATTTCAATATTGTTCATCGATCATATGATAATCGTTACAAAGTGTAAAACAACATACCTCATACATGAAATGAAGCCCATTAAACAGTTTAAAACGCGAAATATATTACATGAAATAAAAATAGACGTTTGTTCAGAAAATCTTTTATTATGCACATCTTAAACTATTTCTGTACATTTATACACGTACCTACTTAGTATATAGTTATCTTAATAAAACAGTTTTTATTCGAGTTGTCGTAAATTATATAAGATTCTGCGTTTAATAAAATGAAGTTTACTTAAGTGGCAAGGGACTATCTTAAGCGACACTTAAGTTAGACAGGTACATATCGGTGCACCAAGATATATTAAACAAAGAAAGTTTATGATCTTATTATTACAATAGTAAATGGTACGTAAAGTTGTACTGATCTTAGTGTAAGGTGGGTAAATAAGCACTGTGAGGGTAGATTCATATTTTAAATAAACTTGAGCCAAATTTTAACTCTTTTGTATGCATGATGCCTCTAATACTATATGTATCAAATAATAATACTCAGTTTATGCTATTTATATATATAAAAAAGCAAATAAAACACACACATTCGTACTGAGCGCACTGGTTCATTAATCTCAAAATAGAGTACCTTCATATTGTCATTAGTATATCCATGTTATGAGGAGGAGGAGGTTATTTAAATAACACTTTTAACGGATTGAAACGCGAAATGTGTTAGTTAAACCTATTTAAGAATTATTTTAAAGACGGCTCGAAGCATCGTATGTAGAGGAGGAAATTGAAATCCATATTTTCCAAAGCATGTTTAAAAAAAATTTTAGGAACCACTCAAGCATTTCAAACCGTTAAAGGGGGTTTTATTTAACAAAAATAAGCTAATATATTTCGAAGTTTGTGTACTACCTGCGTACACTACACACTTTGATAACTTATGCGATAGGAAAATTCATTAATGACTTCATACCGCTAAGATGGATGTGGGTCTATCACCAAAACACATTTATATGTATATCTGATATGTCATTTCGGTTTCGAGGGGCAAGGTGGCGCTGGTCGGTGCGGCCGCGGAGTCGGCTCATACACCTCATCATATAACAGCGCGTTAGCATATGTGGCCTGCGAATAATACCGACTACCCTCATTAATTTCACTGTACACATTACTGTCTGCATCGTTCACTTCATCGTAACCCGTTCTGGACGTCGAAGCGTACCCATAACCGTACCCCATGTCCACATTCTGATACTTCAACGCCGAGTAATTCTTCGAGTTCTCCAAGCGTTCGCTGAAGTTCTTCAACTTCTCACCCTCGTCATTCGGCACGTATATATTCTTCTCATAGTTACTTGACACTTGGCTCGCCGGCGTCGAGAACTTTGTGTAATAGTCCTTTGTTTCCAATGCGAACTGCTGTTCGGGGTTCAGGCTGTAATTGTTGTACACGGGAAAGTCGTCTTTAACCTCGAGCGATCCGGACACGGAAGAACCATTTTTATGCGCACTATTGACGTAGATATTATCATAGTTAGTGTTCTTACTTCTGAGATTCAGCGAGTCAGATATTCTATCGTCTAAGGAGATTTGTGCAAGAGTGTTGGTTACGCTCAAGTCAGAGAGAGCGTGCGAGGTATTTTGTATGTATGAATTACTAGAACTAACGGCGTTGTTGTATAATTGCGTGTTAATATCGTTATTGGAATATTGAGATTCTATTTGAGTATCTGTTATGTTAATGTCATAGTTGGGTCGTGTGTCATACGGCCTGGCGGTAGGCCAGACTTGTGTCGTGTCGAAGGGGTCGTTTCTCGTCGATGTGCTACACGACGCTAGGACATTGAGGCTGTCGAGAGATTTAGCACCATAGAGGTTCGGTAGATTTTGAGTGTTAGTTTGATATGCGGGAAGGCTTTCTATACTTTGCTGACCCCAGTCGCTGGCCTCTTGAATTCCTGCAATTAAATACATTTTGTAATTTTAAAAAGATTTTTTTATTGGAATAAGTAGGTCATTTTCAAATATCTAAGATGACGATGTCCCCTCTATAGTAGAAGTTGTAGCATTAAACCAAAACTACGAATCTTATACTGGTATATAGGATTAAGTAAAGTCCCTTGGAGCGAACACATTTCCATCTATTTCACGGATCGATTTTAATTTACAAGCAAGTAGTTAAACAGACTACTGTGCCCTGCCTGACCGCAACAATCTATTGGGATCTGAATCTGGAATTTATACTCAGGGACTCTTAATCAATACGTGCGAGTCAGATATTGACAATTCCTAGGTCACGTGAAAAACCTGAGATCCCCTTACCAACTTCAGGTACATCGATTGGTTCATCTAGTAAGGACCGGTTCTGTGTAGATGGCGGCTTGCTGGGCGTGCGGCTCGTGGCCGGTGGTAGATCCAGGTCGATTAATAGATCCTCCTTAACTGAAAGAGAAACATTTCTAATTGTATCCCTTGATGCGCCGTTTGGTGTAATGGATGTCTTCTAATGGTTCGTGAATTCGTTAGTCCAACGTGTTTCTTATATTTATGTACAACTCTCCTATATTTTAGACTTCGTTTGGAATATCTGGATATTAAACAGGTAACTCAAATTACCTTGACTCAAACTCTTAGATTGATTATCCCTAGCCGCCCTAGCGAGCCTGTCGTTCTGCAGAAGAGTTCTGTCGTTGATCAGCTTGTTGTAGTTGAAGTGTTTACTGGCGCTGTTCCCAGCTCGAGTTGTAGACGGTTGTGTTGATTCGATCGTTCTGCGCTTGCGCAGGATAATATCTGAATCGTCTGACGTCACTGGAACCACGGGACTTTGAGTGGAATCTGAAATGTAAAGTATAAGATGATGTTCTCATATAGAAAAGAAAATATGACACGGACAGAACTTGAACCCACGATCAACGTATTGTGTTGATCTACTGATAGATACGGTAGCTCAATTATTGACACAGCAGTAATACTGAACGCTGTGCTCGTCTGTTGAAATCCCCATAACGTCGCGTAGTACGAATTTCATCTTAACAATAAAAAAAATATGTTTTTTTATTTTATTTTTTTTATATTTTTATTATAATTTTTATTAAAATGTTTAAAATTTTTTATTTATTTTAATATTAATATTTAATTAATATTAATAAAGCCTTTATTTCCTTATAAAATATTATTAATTATGGATATTTTATGTAAATTAATTTTTAAATATAATAAATTATTTTTATAAGGAACCCTGTCAGGCGCAGGCCTCCTCCAAAGTTCACGCTTCTCGATTTTAGCCAGTTTTTTTCCATAAGCCATGTTAATTCTTACAGTCTTTACTAGATCTTAGGCTACATAATTTGTACTATGATATGATTCTTCTGTTTCTAACTCTATACGTGGCATCAATAACCGTTTCGATTTGTTTTTCTATTTGTTAGAGTGTTTTGTTAATCAGTGTTAAGAACACAAGAAATTTAATTTTATACACATAGTCATAAATAGTCTTGATTCAAGACGTATTAAAAGATACGAGACTCAGTATTAAATGAACGTAAACTTAAGGCTGCGCAGTGGCAAGGATTATCGATGTATCAAGTTCATTGGAAATACCTACAATGTCATCTATGTAGCGAGTTCACACAGTCATTGCTATGTGTTGCACTGTATCCGCACGACCTTCGCTACCAACCAATTCTCACTCGCTTCATCATTATATCAATTAGATTATTTCTAGCGGAATACCATTTTAAACGACGTCATTTAAATACTTGCGCCCGCGACTTCTTTACTTCGATATCTAGAAGTCTGTAACTTACATGTTTCCCTCCGTGACCACGACTGAAAACATCGGGCGCGACCTAGTTAAAATTAGTTAACTATTATATTTCGCGTTTTAAACGGTTAAAAATGATTTATTTGCATCGTATACTACCTATTTGAATAGCGCCGAAGTGTCAGTGTGAAGTGTAATCTAAACCTAATATTTTTTTAATTTACTTAAGTCATTAAAGTAAGTAATAATAGCACTTTTTTAAATCTTTTGGGTAGAGATTTTACTTTTAATTTGCACAATGATGCATAGAACCTTAAATTTTCACCCTTCCATCAACAACCCCTAATTCTATAAAAAAAAAATCGTTAACAGCGTTTCACGCCTCTTTCACTCATATACCATATATTATGATAATAACCGTTTTATTTACATTAAAAAAAAACCATAACGATTGAAAAACCAAAGAGTTTAAAAGCCATCGACTTTAACTCAAAGATTTTGCATTTTTGTATTAAATAAAGGTGTTGCACACTTATCATACGCAAACAATGAATATTATTATATTATATTAACGCTTTTAACGAATACTTTCAAAGTGTGTTTCAGCCGTCTGTATACAGAGATTTGAACTTAGAAAAAGAATCTGACGTTGCCAGTAGCCTTTGCACAATTCACATAGATAAAAAATGTTTAGAAACGTCTTTCAAAAATTTAGATGATCGAAAGGGTTGCGGAACGGACGGATTACCGGGAGTTTTCTTAAAAAGAAGTCAAGCTGGCCTCATAACGCCGTTATTAATACTTTTTCAGCGTTCGATTAATGAAGGAATTTTTCCTAAACAGTGGAAGGAGGCTCAACTAACCCCCATTTATAAGAAAGACTCTAGAATGAATGTAATAAACTACAGAGGTATTTCAATATTAAATATAGTCGGTAAAATGTTGGAGAAAGTTATTTACAACTATATTTATAGTCACATTAAACAATGCATACCTAGTAATCAACACGGTTTTGTTAAATCTCGAAGTGTAATAAGTAATCTACTTGAATTTACTCATTCCGTTAAAAACGACATTAACGATAATACACAAATAGATGTGATTTTTACTGATTTTGAAAAGGCATTCGATACTGTGGATCATTTCATACTTTTACAGAAGCTTTATTCAGTCGGTATCAGGGGCAATCTTCTAAGATGGATAGAATCTTATATTACAAATCGCTGTCAACGTGTGGCACTTGGGGGCTTTAAATCGGACTTTATCAATGTTACCTCCGGCGTACCTCAAGGATCACACCTTGGACCCTTATTTTACAATATTTATTTGTACGACTTAAGAACCTGTTTTCATAACTCCAATTTTGTTTTGTACGCAGATGACAAAAAAATTTATAAAAAAATTTGTAGCTTGGAAGACTGCTTTAAGCTTCAAGACGACTTACTAAGGTTATCTAATTACTATAAACTAAACAAAATTTCAGTTAATGTCGCTAAATGCAAAGTTATACAACTGACTCGTAAACTTAAAGGTGTGCTAGATTATAACTACTCATTAAACGGACAAACTATACCAAAAACGGAGCAAATACGCGACTTAGGTGTTACCCATGACGCCAAACTAACACATAATATTCATATTGAAAATATAACTCAAAAGGCATTTAAAACCCTCGGCTTTGTGCTCCGCACTACTGACGCTTTCAATGATATCTCATGTTTAAAAGTTCTATATTTTGCTTATGTGCGAAGTGTTCTTGAGTTTGCAAGTCCTATCTGGCGGCCACACTACCTTTGTCACATAAACAGGTTGGAAAGAGTTCAAAAACTATTTATAAAGAAACTAAATTTTTTAACTCAATACAAAACTAATAATTATAACGAAGCTTGTGCACATCATAATATTAACACTCTAGAAGACAGAAGAGATATAATAGACATGATGATTTTTTACGACATTCTCCATAACAAACTTGACTGCCCGGACATATTGCGTAATATTTTCTTTCAAGTCCCAAGCCTTCGCACTAGACATACAAATATTTTTTACGTTCCGTACGCTTCTACCTCTTACTTGAAACATTCCCCTCTTTACCGACTGCCCGATATTTACAATAAAAAATTTTCATCCATAGATATTTTTCATCTTTCACGCCCCGTCTTTAAAAAAGCCCTAATTAGCACCTTTAAAAAATAAGAACATACATTCACTTACACTTACACATGCATACAAAAAACACACCCCATCCCTGGATACGTCAATTCAGTTCTCGTTTTATTCACCTATAATATAGAACCTTGTCACTTGGGTAATCCTATTAAATTATTATTTGTAAATCCTTGTAATTGGCGTAATTAATTGCCTAACTACAAAATAACATGTACGTTTAGCTGTAAGGATTTCTGTAAATAAATAAATAAATAAATAAATAAATTATGGATGTATTGTGTATGTATTTCCCATTTAGCCATCCGCTGGGTTTTTTACGGAGTATCGCTCATATAAGCGATATTATAGACATACATAGCTTGGTTGAGAATATATATTTTAACTTTTTAAAGAAGAGAGAACACAATTTAATTATACATCAATGACATAACAAAAAATAAGAGATTGTATAACTATCTTACTTATTTAAAAGTAGGTTTAGACAGATTTTCAGGTGATTTGCAATCCAATACATGGGAAATATATTGGATATCTTACGATTTAATTGACCCGACGCTTTTAATTTTATTTTTTATTAAATATATGGTTTATGCAAAGCGCACTTTAGGTAAATTAGTTTCTTAAGAGTAATTTAGTAGGAAAAATTTGTACTTACTTCTTCTACTCGGTGATAATGTCTGTGCTTTCTTGATAGCTTGCACATTTTTATTCTTCGAGACGCTCACTATTGTACTGAAATAAATAAAAAAAAAAACAAATGTATTACCTCTATATTCCTTACAGTTACAGTTATTGTATTTTTTTTTAATATTTAGTTAATTACTTCTATATGTTATTTCTTTTAAATAGTAAGTATGATTGTAAAAAAAAAAAAACACAGAAATAGTCTTTCTTGGGTTATCGGGTAGATCGACCTATATCGGTTCAATTGACAATCAAATTTATAGGACAGATCTAGTAGTATTAAATTTGAAATAATACTGTTCAAAACATATGGGACCGCCTGGCATAGAGTTAATACCTCAAGTCTTTATTAGCGTAAAAAATCCAAAATGATTGAATGCGAATAAATTTCACGGCTTTTTCATCTGTAGACGGTGGTTTTTGACGGCTGTCCATACGATGTCCAAATTGTTTTAGAAAAATCATAAATTGATTAGAAAAATTTGAACCTGGCGGAGATCGAACCCGCGTCAAAGGCCAAGTATTTATGTAGATTACCTAGGAAACAATCCGACCTCCAGCGAGCGTTGGCTTTGCCCCTTCCACCAGTGCAGCTCGGGACGTTTGTCGATGAGGATAATAGCGTCGCCCGCTTCTATTGTCAACTGGCCTTGCTTTCTGTAACTGAATTGGATGAACGTTTTTAGAGAGCACACAAAACATTTTATAGATACATATATCTCAGCGCCTCGTTAGTCTAGTGATAAGTGCTCGACTGGAGATCACGGCGTTCCGCGTTCGAATCGTGGCTAAGGTGAAATATTGGAAATTTTCTAGTAATCCGAAATTTATTAGCTGCAACCGAATGTTGGAACTGAGCGGTAGATTAAAATTGGACAGTGGGACATCAATAGGTTGAATCAACAATTTGCAACAAAGTATTTTTTTTAAACTGATATTTAAAAAAACACTTTAACGGTTTCATCGGCCGACAGCTTGAGCGTTGAAGTGAAAAATGGTTTGAAACCGTAAAGTGTTTATTTAAATGTGAACTTATCGATGGTAAACTCCAGACAGTATTTAATTCATGAGATATCGTGACAGCTCCTGTATGTAAATACAAACTCGTATACCAAAAAACTACAACAGTTTTTATTCGTTTAAAACTTACCTAATGGGTTCGATATAATTTTGTATGCATCACTTTTACCAAATGTATTTCCATACAATTTTTGTAGATACGCGAGTACCGAGTAGTACACATTTAAATAAAACACTTCCACGGTTTAAAACGCGATATATTTTAGTTAAACTAGTTTGAAAATTATTTTTAACTATGGCCAAGGCTTCCGATTCTTTGGAGACAGACGTGGGAACAAGTTTAACCAAAAAATACGCGTTAAGCCGTTAAAATGTTTTATTTAAACAATTTCATATCTTTCTTTTTAACTTTAATATTTTGCAATTATTTTATCCAACATCTTTAAAATATTCAATCTAAGATTCTCAATTTATATCCTGATATCGAAAAAGAATTTTTCAAATATTGTCCTTACCTAAGATCTGCAATAGCTGTCTCGAACTTATTCGCCTCCATATACTGCAATATCCCAGAGAACGTGGGCCGCTCTTTGGGATTCAGGTCCCAACACTGCATCATCAGCATGTAGACGTCCGGGGGGCATGCGGACGGAGGGGAGAGGCGTTGACCTTCGCGCATTATCAGTCGAAGGATTTCAGAACCGTTCAATCCTGAGAAAGACGATTATGAACATAGAAATATCTTCCCTAATAGGGGCATGGCTAAGACACTTGTGGACCTGTTTCGTTGGTTTTTCTACAGACAATCAGACAAGTTTATACAATCGATTTCCTTGTGGAAAGTAATGTTTTTTTTGGAACGTACTTTTTTTTGTATTTTAACTTAGATTAAGATATTTTTTAATTCTAGACGGACATATGTGTGTGGAGTTAAGTAAAAGAAAATTATTTAAGTATTGTCTGTAGTTAACGCGAGTAGTAAATTAAATAAAGCACTTTTAACGGTTCAAAACTATACCTTTGCAAACCTATTGTTAACTACGAGTCATGGCTATTTATGGCTATATCAACATTAAACGCGAAAGCGTAATTTTAAAAAGCTGTAATAAGTTCTGGTTTTCCTTAAATGCCTCCAGGGCCGGATTTAGAGTAAGAGCAACCGGGGCCCTATAAAAAGGGGTCCCCGCAATTATCGGAATTTGTTCTTTGAGTTCCGACTAATAAACAACTTGCTCTAAGGCTTTCGGAGCTCTAAATCCGAAACTGATTGTCTCAGTGGAGCGATTTTCTCTCTTTATTACTTAAGAGACAACAATGTTAGAGAATATGATCACACGATGCAATTAAAGTCTATTGTTAGGGCGTGACCAATTGTCGATATTGCAAGAAGTATAGGTGAAAACGACCAATATACTTTCGAATATTAAGTGTACGCTAATCGATTCTTTATATTAAGATTAAAAAACGCAAACGCGGTAGCTCAGTTGATGAGTACAACATCACGCTGTGGTCGTTTAGTAGTCCAAAATAGGAAGGTAGGAAACGTAAAAATTTGAACTTAGTAATAATTATAATATGTGTTTTAAACCGATACAAAGTATCATGTGTTTGTTTTTGTTTAAAATGTTAGTTTAGTAACAACGATACTTCTTATCAATGGTAAGTTATGAGTAAGTAAAGGAGGGAGTGTTATTTAATTTTCCTGTATGATAAATGCCAGAAATATTCATAAATTATTAACAATTATCAGTTTATCTGCTGACAATCTCAAAACCAATAGGTGTGTAGCTATCACGAAGTATATTTTATATAGCAATAATAGCACATATTTAACCTTTTAATACATCGTTATAAAAATATTTATTATCCTAAAATATTAAATACCGTCAGTAGTACATATTTAAAAATGGCACTTAAACGTTTTAAAATGCGATATATTACAGTTAAACTTGTTTGAAAAAGCCGTGGCTACTGCAAGTAACGTCGGGAGAAACCATAGTTAAAAATAATTTTGCAAACAAGTTTAACTAAATTATATCGCGTTTTAAACCGTTAAAGTGTTTTATTTAAACATAAAATTTTTCTTTTTATATTTTGAAATAATGCTAAATCCCTAAGTCCTTTTAGGGGGGCAAACCTCCTTCCCTTCTAAAAAAAAATTTTTTTTTTTTGTTGGGTTTTTTAAAATGGTTTCCCCCCTTTTAAACACCCCAGGGGGGGGGGGGGGCCCCGGGGGGGTCTCTCGTGGGGGTGTTTTTCCCCCCCCCCCCAAAATGATAAATACATTACGACAGAGTAGTTTTAATACTGACTTACCTATCCAGGGTTCATCACCAAATGTATACATCTCCCATAGAGCAACAGCAAACATCCAAACATCAGATGCGTGCGAGAATTGGCGAGATCTCAAAGACTCGGGAGCACACCAGGGAAATGGTACCCGGCGTCGTTCGCTCATCACGTAGCAATCATCAGCATCGGGCAAGGCTCTCATCAGACCGAAATCACCAATTTTTACCTAAAAAATAATAATCTATACTAATATGTAAAGCTGAAGACTTTGAACGCGCTAATCTCAGGAAGTACTGGTTCGTATTGAAAAATTGTTTTTGTGTTGGTTAGAGCGCTTATCGAGGAAGGCTATAAAAACTCTCGCTGCGAATAATAAGAGCTAAGAAACAGTGGGATAGTGGGGAGTGGGAAATGAGTAAAACGGGGAAAATTATTCATCCGTCGCGGCCGCTGCAAAAATGGTTCAAGGTATTTAAATAAAACACTTTCACGGTTTAAAACGCGATATATTAGTCAGTCTCCCCGTGACCACGTTAGCTGCCAAGCATCCGAAACGTCGAGCCGAAGTTAAAAATCATTTTCAAATAAGTTTAACTAATATATCGCGTTTTAAACCGTTAACGTGTTTTATTTAAATGACGTGTACTATTCGCGTAAACTATAGACAGTATTTGGTTCAAGGTACCCAAAAAATATGTATGAGAGAATGATTCGTCTTTAAATGATCTAAAACAATGTCTGCGAGACTACATGTCTATCTTTTAAGATTAACTTGCAAGAACGACGGGACGTGGATGACATCAGGTAATGCTATAATTTACAGAGCTGTTTGCAAAATTATTATTGCAATTTTGTTAGTCCAGTAGAATCTCACTAATCCGGATTTACAATACCACGGTATGTCCTGTAATGCGGCATATCCGCCCGCACCTCCCCTCCCTATCGCCTTCCCCGCTAATCCTTTTATTCGCTACGCTATACTCTGTGGTAATGTGGTCAGTGGTCAGCAAGAATTATTACAGTATTTACCGCCAAATCCGCATATTATTTTATGAAAAAATATATCTTATACATTTAAATAACCTGATACGATTTAATCTGAACCTTAAATTTTTTTTACGATAAACAACACAGACCAGCATGGGGTCACTAGATGGAAAGTAAAAAAGATCGCGGGGAATTGTATTCGTATGTATAATACATTGTCAATTGGGGTTTCAAATTTATCGATAAATAAATGTAAAAAGTTATACATTTTAGATTGTCTCAAAAGGCGTATTGTCTAAACGACTTCTTTAATGACAAGACCGCCTGGCAGTAATATGAATTGCTCCTGTTAATCAATTTACAAAAATGTATTAGTTATAAGACATATTTAAAAAAGCCGGACTGAGTTTCTCGGCTGTTCTCCTCAGTTAGGTTGCTCTTTTGAACACTCTGCAGAATCACGACGAACAGACAGACAAACAAATTTTTTTTGACAAATCTAAATAATTTTTAAAATTTTAAATAGAATAAAAACATTGTACGTTTTATTATTTTTTATAAACTACTCCAGCCTTATAACATCTAAGCAAGACGCGTTGTCGACCTATGTATTTGAATGTTACGTAAATCACAAACTGGACCCGAAGCGCGTATAACTTCACAGTTTTGATAGTTTTAAAACACGTAGCTAAAATAAACCGTTAAAAGTGTTTTATTTGAATACTTTAATTGCATAAAAATATATATGTGTACACATGATTAATTAAAAAGCTAATTTAAAACAGATCAATATAATCCTACTGCATAAAACCAATAAAAAAAGCTTACCAGGTCCAAACTAGACAGCAATATGTTCCTACAAGCGAGATCTCTGTGAAGAAATCTGCTTTTTTCCAAATAAGCCATACCAGCAGCGACTTGCCCGGACCACTTCGATATGTAGTTTAATGACACTTTCCCATTTTGGGCCCGTATGTAGTCGAGCAAAGCACCCATTGTTGCCAATTCGCAAACCATCATCAGAGGATGAAAGACGACCCCGTGAAGCTTGATCAGATTAGGATGTTTCAAACTGTGCATAGCCTCGACTTCTCTGCGAAAGTCATCATATATCCCCGGTTGAGTGAATGCATCTGCTTTTAGTACTTTAACAGCGACTGCTATCGTTTGACTTGATTCTGATACCTTCCATTCCCCTCTTCTTACAACCCCAAATGATCCTTTACCTAATTCATTATGTAATCTGCGAATACATATTGTATGTTACTAATATAACAGAGAACAAAAGAGCATCAAAAAAAAATAATGATGGAACAATTATTATGATTTTGCAAAGGGATTTTGAGGGACACAGGGAGGGTCAGATAACCCATTGGCCTTCACAGAGGGGGAATGGGGAAATAGGTGACATGGTCAGCAAATGGTGTGAACTGATCACCCAACCTTGTATCAGTGTCTTCAATGGAAAATAAAAATAATAATATACAATTAAAATAAGACAGATGTGTTCCTCTGGTGGGGCATGGGACAGAAAATGTGTGTATTTTATACTTGCTCTTATGCTCTTTATCCATTGTTGTTTATGTGATATTTGGAATCAGAACTTTTTGTGCTTAACAGAACAGAAAGTGGGGCTTGTAATATGCAGTTATGTATTTGTATGTATGTCTTTATATGCGCATAAAAGAAAATGTAGGATATATTAGAGTAAATACATGGTTCTTTAAGTTTCCTATCTAAGACTCAGACTTTAATGTAAGTGCAATGCTATTCCAGTAGTAGTTGTTAAAACCTACAACTGGAACACCATTTTGGTTTTACGTTCTTAAAACCTTGGAACAAAGAAGACCTGGACACTTCAGTGAAACATTAATAGGTGAAAACTACTAAATGCTTATAGTAGCAATTATTGTCATAATGAACTATTCAGTGTTACATAAACAGTAATGAGCAGTTTTGTGTTGATCTGAAACAAATTCTTCTTTACATAATCCTATTTACACTAAAAAACTTACACAATATCTTTCTCTAATATAATACAAGTAGTCCTTGCTTCTGCCTGCGGTTGTGGTCTTAGAGTTGTCTCTAATTTATCCTTATGTACAGAACCAGAAGAGCCAAAGAGTTTATGCCAGAATTTACGGTTCCACAGTTGCAATTTCTTTTTTCGCACAGCATCTAGCAGCCGTCGAATACCTGGCTTACTAATTCCTATTCTTTCAAGGTCCTCGGTGTGTACATAATCGAAGTGAGCTAGCCTTGTTATCTACAAACAATTAAGGTTTTGTAGAATAATTATTTTTAAATACACTATCAATACTAGGAAATAATGCATCGTCTATCATATATAATTAAGTGAATTGCAATAATTAACATTTTAAAGTTAAATATTAAAGATTGGTTCTACGAAAGTTTAGTTTTTATGTAAGTAAATTAATCGTGTCTAACAGTTGTAATAGTCATAATTCTTACGTACGTTGAAAATGTGTAGCGTAAATACCATTTTAATTATATCACTTACTTGCAACTGGTCTCGAATTGGCAAATAAAATTGTTCGAGTTGAACATTTTGCAGAATCTCACACAGCCAATCGGTTCCTGAATCCATTTTTATAGCATATGCATATCAACCAAAAATAAACCCTCGATTATTTTAGCATTTCTTGGACACCGTGAGAACGATAAATAAAAAATTTCAGCTTTATTTTACATTATTAATAAACTTCGTATAACTAAATAAATTTTATATAAGTATTTGTTTTAAACACTTTCACGAAACGGCCTTTAACATTATAGGGTCTTTTACAAAAGCAAAATTAAAAACAACATTTTGTTATAAAAACCTGGCGCATTAAAAACTGGTAAAATAACCACCACAGCACCGCAACAAAGCGAAGATAATAATAATAATTGTCAACTTCAAATAGTGATGTACGAAAGCGATCAACGATTATCGGTGTCCATTCGATTCTTAATCGTCATTTATTAAAGCATTTTTTAAATAGGCTTTCTTGATTAATGTTTAACTAAACAGTTTTGTATATAATTTACTCACTTCTGTTGAATAAAACTTTTTTATTCAATTACTTTTGACATCACCAGTCATAACTTTGTCAATAAATTGACAAAATAACAATTGTTGAACGGGGCATATTCACATTTGTTTTGTGTAAGTTTTAAGTAGAAAGAAAAATCTCTTTAATCCGAATAGAATATCTGTGTGTTATTTTAGGCGTTATACCAAAATGCAAAACGTATCACTGGACAGTATATCCGATACTAGAATAGTTGATTTTGGATGTTTGCCTGTGGATCTAGAAATGGAAAAGTGTATCACACTACAGAACACGAGCTCCGTAAGATTTCAAATACTTGTTAACGCTAAATTAACATAATAAAATAATTATCTCGTTGCTCTACTCACTGTTACGCTGGACTTTAGAAAGTTTAAGATTACTCGATAACTGTCAAATTGTTAGTGATAGATATATTTGGATTTTTCTTATAAAATCATCATGAGATTAGTCACGCATTTAGCAAGATATAAATTGTTGTCCCATGTAAGTTATCTTGTGGTCACTTTAAAGCCACTTTCTTTTGAGAGAAAAATTTAAAAAAAATCGGTCAAAAATTAATAAAAGACGCCTAGACATTTTCATTAATATTAAATAAAACACTTTTACGGTTAAATACGGAATGTCTCCCCATAAATACGGCTGCAAAGCATCCGGAATGACGGGCCATAGTTAAATTAATATTTGAATAAGTATAACTAATATATTTTTACGTTTTAAACTGATATAGTGTTTTATTTAAGTACTACTCGTGTAAACTAAAGGTAGCATTTTCATTTCAGAAGGTGCTAACATATCGCATATCTCACATGTATATTGAAAACAACGTGGATAAAGTTTTCAAAGTTGCGATCGTGTCAAAACCGATTGAACCTCTCGATAGTGTGACAGTTACTATAACTTTCAAGCCCAACATACCGGGACAATCTTTTACCAATTATTATCTAATTGATGATGTATTGGGGAATTTTTATAGGCTTACTGTTACTGGGAAATGTTTTGGTAAGCATAACACAAGACGATATTGTACTATATATTCAATCGATTATTTAACTAATCGATTATTTTGATTCGTAAAAGTGATGCGCCTCAGTGACGCGAGCGCAGTATTTATTTGATTTTGACCATAGATTTCTTTCGGAAGTGGATAATTTAGTTTTTAGTAAAATTTAACTTAAGATATATTATGTTCTGTTACAACTAAGTTGTATACAGAACGCCATACGGTGCATCTTATTTTTTTTCTCAGGCCCAAACGTAACAATAGATACACGAAAGCTTGTCTTCCGCATATGCAAAACAGTAACGGAACAAAGAAGGGAAACGATAAAAATTATTAACAAGTCGCCGATAGACGCGCCTTATCAGTGGCTGCTACCAGTTACTGGACAGGGATACTTTCAGGTTTCATTAATTACAATTGAATATTTAAAACGAAAAATAAGCTCTCATAATTCTCTCTTAACGTTTCATAAAGAAGTTTCAGTCATAAGAGTTTAAAAAATATATAGAATAAAAATCCCTACACTTCACTTTTCCTTAACTATTTGACTGATCATGAAGAAAATGATATGTCACACTTAGCGAATTACGTAATAGATAGTTAGATATACTATATAGATAGGTAGTTTTAAATTTTTAAACAGTAAACGTTGCTATATAATTTACAGATATCAACTGGAAACTGTGGAGTTATTCGTGCGTTTGAAACCATAACTGCTACAGTCCATTTCAGTGGGATAGCATTGGGAATATATACTTGTGAGCTGGTGTGCCTCGTTTTGAACCAGGTAGATACGCAAAATGAGGGTAAACAAGACATCCATTACGACTCTGGTTCTACATTGGCGAGGAGTCATTATCACAATGTTATTTCCTATTCTTTTGCAGTTTCTTTTACATTTTCTGGTCGTTGGAGGAGGGTAGGACACAAAGACTTACTCTCCTCCCCCAAAACAAACGTAGTGTTACTCCTCACAGCGATTATAAAAAACAAAACTGTTTTTTTTAGGAACCCCTGTTTTTGAACGTTATAGCCGCCGTCGTATTACCGGGGAATCCCCTCTACAACATCAACGATCATGTCTTTGAGAAGGGATTTAAGCGTAAACGACGTTCCACACACCTAATGGAGAATAATCTTAGTCGTTTGACGTATATACCGTCAGCATCTGTGTATGATACTTACTTGGATTTTGGTACTGGTAGCGTTTCTGATGTTACGCTGAACATATCGCAAACTTTGTGTGTGACCAATCATCATCAAGAGGAAGATGCTTTTGTAGTATGGCTTTTGGGTTAGTTTTTATAATCCTGATTATACTTACATCAAAAACGTACTTATTTCTGATATTGCTCTTATTTATTTGTAATAAACACGAATTACAGAGGAAAATATTAGGTTTACTATTAAAGCCTTACTTACGTAAGCATTCCTTCTACAAGAGTAGGATAAATTGTTGTGAGAAACAGGAAGTGTGAAACTTATTTATTCCAAGATTCACTGATTTTTACAAGAGGGTTGACCCTTTTGTACTCTTACGAGAACAACATTGTTACAGTGGTAGTTAGATGTTATATTGTCAAACACTGTCTGTAGTTTACGCGAGTAGTATACATTTAAATTAAACGCTTTAAATCACGAAATATTTATTAACTTATTTAAAAATTATTTAAATAAAAACTTTAAGGTTTAAAACGCGATATATTAGTTAAACTTATTTGAAAATATTTTTAACTTGGCATTCGGATTCTTTGCAGAGCTTCACGGGAGATGATCGTTCGGATCTTTGCATCCGAAACGATGTTAGTGATATAGTGATGTCGGGCCGAAGTTAAAAATCATTTTCAAATAAGTTTAACTAATATATCGCGTTTTAAACCGTTAAAGTGTTTTATTTAAATGTGTACACTCGCGTAAACTATAAATATTTATTTAAAAATAAATTTAATTATGGCCCGATGTTTCGAATGCTTTGAAGCAGCCGTGGTCACGGGGAGACTAAGAAAAGAAAGTGCTTCTAATGTCGAAGCCAAAACTCCTACGCTAGCGCCATTTGTTCCATCGTAGTTGGTATCAGGCTCCGTCCTTGCAGAATTAAAAACTAAATTAAATAAGTTTAACTAATATATTTCGCGTTTAAACCATTAAAGTCTTTCAATATTTATATTATAGTTCTTTATTAATGTATGCTATGGTATTTGCAATATTTTCTTGTTAAATAATCTTTTAGGTCATTTGAGCTAAAAGCAAAACTGTTTCAGATCCAGATAACGTGTTTTCAATTGATCCATTTGAATCGATAGTTCCTCCTAGCGAGTCACGACTGTTCACTATACGGTTTAGGTTTGTTATTGAATTATTCTATAATACGAATATCTATTTAATAACTATCACTGCGCCTTGTGAGGCCGTTTTAGCATCTAGACATTAAAAAATAAAAAAATAGCAGTCGTACCTCAAACTTCTTGCTTATTATTTTATTACTATTATTAGCTAAAAAATAAATGTTCGTATGTTATTGTTGTTAAAAATATTTTTTTTAAATTTAAACAAACAAACTCTTCAGCTATATAATATTAGTATGATTTAGTGTGTGTGCACACAAGACAACTGCGCAGACTATGATGATGGTTTTACAGACCCAATTTCGACAATGAAGCCTACGGTTTCCTATTATGCGGTGATTGCCAACATAAGGTTTACGATAGTGATAATACAGGCGAAGTAAAAATCAAGCACACGTGGTTTAGAGTACCCTGCATTGGTAACACTTTAGGTCCTTGTACTGATTGGAGTACAGACTGGGATTGTCCTACAGAGGTATTTGGGTTTATTCTTTTTCAAGTTGTGTAAATCTATTTAGATTGAATAATATTTCCGACATGGGCGACACTAGAAACGGCATCCACAGCGTCCCGTACTGCTGCTCTAACCGATTGTGCTGCCGTGTCCTACACGTCGCCGTCAAATTTCCTCAACCTATTGATATATGCACCTTTCGTGTCATGACTACTACTTAGAATTTATGTATTACGTTCACGTGTAAGATCTTATGCTTTGATCAATCAAATCAAATCATTAAATATCCGCCCGTGTTCTAATTTTTTTCAGTGTAATTTTAGGTTATATAATGCCATTATAAGAAATGACACGTGATAAATATTTGTGATCTAGTTTCCATATTTTTATAATATAGAAGACAGACACTTTTGACGGGCACCTTCGTCTGATGGTAGCAATATAGGTAATAATCAAAATATCGTGGCTTTGCCCCACACCAACATATTGCAAATACATTTATTAGTTTCCTTAACGTTGAACTTCTTATGGAAAACTGAATATAAAACGCCGTCCACAGATGAAACGTTGTGAAGTAATTGCGTTTCAGTTTCAGTCTGTGGATGTTCACATATCCAAAGCCAATAGAATCTCTTATTTGGTTCTGCAGGTAGTTTTACCACCGACAGTCCCTTCACGAACATCGTTTACTAATTTCATGCTCTCAAATAAATATGATATACCAATGCAGTTCAAATTCGAAGCTCCACCGGAGACGTAAGTATCTAAATAAAAGGATTTTAACAGTTTAAAACGCGAACTATAATATAATACTTATTTTTAATTCATGTTTTAATAACGACCCTCTATCTCATAAAAATCTCATTGTTCTGGATACGGATATTATTATTATTAATAGAAATTATGTGCTGATACCTATGTGTGGAATCGTACAAGGCAGAGGCTGGCAAATAATATCTGTTGCTCTGGAACCTAAGACTAGCGGTCAATACTGTGAGACTTGGGACATCGTGATTAATAAATATCAAAAGGTATTGTCAAAATGTTGAATTTAAAAAAAGTTTTTTTTCATTTCAAAAAACTTTTTCAACCAATAATTTGGAAGTCCAGGTTTAAAGGTTTGTATAGTGTTCTCAAGATCTTTGTGTTTAATAATTATTATATATATTTTTTGAGAAATAAATGTCTTTAAACCTTTTCATTTGACAATTAAAAAAAAATAAAGAACACAACAAGTGGTATGGTGCTTTGAATTGAATTACATTCATATCTGTAAACTTGTCTTAGGCTCGCCTCTGTCTCTTTGGTAATGCGGAGATAAGTGAAGTAGAAGTAATGTCCCACGGGTACAACCCAGCTACCCACGCAATGTACGAGTTTCAACCAACCATTACAGGATGCAGCAACTATTGCTCAGCGTACCTACATAATCATACCAGAATGAGTGTGCAGTGAGTAAACTTAAATGAAGCAGTCGCAATCTTTTGTAAAACCGTGGCTATCAGTTTATCAACGAGGGTAGTTTTAAATGTAGACTTAGTTATTTATTGGAGCAATACTTTTTTTTCATTCTTTACACAATGACTCAAATTTATGAAAATAAATTGTCATAGTTCAATAAAACGTAACATCCTTAAATATAAGGCTACTACTAATAGTAAACGTTCATTTGAAATACTCATTTGTATATATGTCTCTTTATTTTTACGCCAGTATGCGAGTTCTAAACAGCGTGTCCTGGTTGGGAGCGGACAATAATGGCACAATTGTGTTGCCACCTAAGGAAATTCTGCGCTATCATTGGTGGTTTTTCCCTAAAGAACACAACAAAGTTTACGAAACTACCGTCACTTGTTCTTGCGTCTGTTTAATTGATGACAAGTGAGTCATACTTAATTAAAACCCTAACTTTTAACCTAAAAAATATTTGAATATTGATTACGGATTGCAGACCAGTTGGAGAGCCTACTGAGATATTTGTACATATAAGTGGATTTTCGGAACTGCCTGATTTGAGGGTAGGTTGCAATTTCGTAATCCATCGCAATCTTCAGAGGTTTGAATTTGGAATACTCTTTCAGGTTCTTCCGAAATCTTTGAATCTCCACGATGCTGTAGTCGGTGAGAGCGTTCCATTTTCAATAACACTGTACAACTACGGCTCTTGTTATTTTACATCTAAACTGTATTATTATACTAATGGCATGGGTGATGACTTTAGTGGCGATAAATTTGAAATGGATTCGGCTGTCGTGAGTCCCAAATTACTTTAAGTTTCAAAGCCATAAATAAAACTTATAAGAACTAATTCTTCTTTTAGCGATAAATAGACACTATGCCACAAAAAAAATATATATTATTTTGGATTTCAAATCTTTCATCGTGTGTACTGTGGTACTGGAGTCGTCCTCTGTATAGTGGTAAAGGAAAGTTGACACGACTTCGTATTATGAGGATGCAGAAATGTGTCGAACCCAGGAAACAACCTTGTAGACTAAGTGTCGTTCAAATAACCACCATCGCCGACAGAGAATCGAAATAATTGCAGAACAGTTTAAAACCATCAAACCATTGTGAAGTGAAAATGGTGGCAACAGCTCACGGTGCTGGGTCAAGGCAGGTGGATATCAAGTACACTGTGCTATTTAGGACGGAATACGACGAAGTTGAGGAGATACAGCCGATTAAGAAGACCATTTGTATTGTTTGGTATGATGGAATCTATCCGACAATAAAGGTTAGGGCGAACCTTCAGGAATTCCGCTTACCTTGTACGTTCTATGTTCATTTGGTTGGTGTACATTTACCCAGAACTGTGTCATTGAAATATGAAGTCTAGATCCAAATCCTGTATTTAGTTGTAGTAGTAGTTGGGTATTCCGATTTTCTTATAACATTTCTAGTTAAAGCTAGAAAGAGAACACCTCAAATCCTATGTTATGTTTATCTTGACTAATTTGTGTAAGTGGTCTTATAAACAGTGACATATCATAGATTAATATACCATGTCCTATAATTCGTATCTATTTATATATATATGTCTTATACTAAAGTAGGTATATATAATTAGTAGAGGAAGGATTTTCATTAATTTATTAATACATTGCAATTTTTTTAGGTCAAGCGAACTATATCTGTTAAATGTCCAGTTATTTTAAGTAATCATTGCGTTTGGAAGATTGTTAATGTTGAAGAGTAAGTAAATATTTACATTTTATACAGACAGACAGAAAAAAAAACAAACGACGCCAAGGATCACCTTTTTATACTAATTTCTTTTTCTCTATAAAAACATTTTATAACTCGTTATTGCTGTCTGATACTCATAAAAAATAAATACTCTACACCCTTAAAATGTACATCGCTGTCTATAAATCTATTAAGCTATGTCCCTCTATCGATCGTTGTTAAATTTTGCTGAATGTTTTACATATTATGAACTAAAATAAATCAAATATATTTTAAGAGCTTTTGTTAAATTTGTTTTGCTATTTGATAAAAGGAGTAGCGGCGTCTTTGTTTCCTTATATTTTGATGTGGTACGTTAAGGAAAATTATGTGCCTTTAGTTTGAGAGTGACCTGTCCATGAAATTTATAGTATAATTGCGAGCGTGTAAAACCTGGTCGAAGTCAATTTCTCCGGCACTGTCTTTTATTGTCCTTTGGCATTTCAGACTGAACAAAGCACTCCAGAACTGCAGACCAAACAGACCTGTGAACGTCAACTTATACGCTCCAGACCTCTGTCTTCGATCACAGCAGGTGGAATTAATCTTCGTGATGGGTTGCGTATACAATGTCCCCGCGCCGTGGAATTTGAGACGCGAGAAAATATGTGACTGCGAAATGGTGGAGGTCCAAGTGGGGATATCGACTTATGTCATGAGACATACTTGTATACATCGATCGCTGGTGGAGCTGACTCCGGAGAGTGGGATCGTTTCAGTAGGAATTTACCATTTACTGTGGAATTTATCTGGAAGTGCGGATTTTAAATGGGTGGGAGGAATATGGAAATTCCGTCCGCCTGAAGAACTCCATAGAAAGTCCATAAATGAAAAAGCCCTGAAGTTTAGTCGTGTTTCAAACGTTTCTAAATATCCAAAATACGTCGACTTAGGAGTATATAATGAGTATACGAGTGAACCCCTTCTTGTCTGTCGTACTTTATCATAATATATATAAATTAAAAACTATTTAAGATTAATAAAAAAAATTATGTTACGGCTTCCCATTCTGTGCTGTTGATTTAAGCAATTGTGGTTGCGGGCAGGACTTGGACAGAATTTTTAAATAGGTATATAAGAAAGGACGACAGACAAACATGGAGGATTCACTTCTATTAAGATGGGTAGAGTTATTTTGGATTTCAATATTTGAAAATCCTTATCAGTTGCAAGAAAAATATTAAAGTTTCAAGCATAATATATGTAGATAATAACATTTCTTCTTTTCGATATGAACCCTTTCTTTCCATACCCACACAATTTCTAATTTCAGCCTGATAGTCCATGTCTCCTGCACCTCAAGCTACAATACTGTCTAGAAGGAAAGAACACATTATGCTACGTCTTGACCATGCCGAACCACCGCACTATCAACATCTTCATCCACATCTTCACTCATGTGAAGTCCAGGGGTGTTCTGACGCCGCTGCGAAGGAATGTCGAGAGTAACGAATTCTTGACCATATTGGACTGCGGCAGGGTGCCTATAAATAACCTGGATCCCGTTATACGGGTGAATATTTTGTTGGACCTTAAATGTAGGCTGGGAAACGAGTATTACCAGATGCTATCCGGTTTTCAATTTTAATAAGTTGTATTTATAGACTGTTGAGTACTTAAATTCTTTCGTCTACTGCTTTAGTTTTTTTTAATGCATCCTGTATTGAGGTCTGGGCTTTTTTGTAATCTTTCATACAATATTCAAATAATCTACATTTTATATGTACCTAAAGGAGTTGGTCTTTAATGAAAAACGTTATTTTTTAAGTTATGCATATAGGTTTTATTTACTTAAGTAGTGTACGTCTAACATTGGTTTGAACTTTGTATCTATGTACTAGTATTCTCGCCACTGTCATTAATCACTGCATAATATATTATAACTCAAACAAAATTACTTATATTACTAAGTAATTATGAATATTTCGCGTTTAAAACTGTTTTTATTTAAATATGCACTACTCGTGAAAAGTACTAAGACTCAGTATTTAATCCTGAAGCCTCTAACCAAATATAACTATAGTGAATGTAACAGTTTGCAGCAGCCATGGTCACGTGTCTCCCCGTGACCACGACTGCTGCAAAGCATCCGAAACGTCGGGCCGAAGTTAAAAATCATTTTCAAATAAGTTTAACTAATATATCGCGTTTTAAACCGTTAGTGTTTTATTTAAATATAACTATAGTGCCTAACAAAAGAGTACATATACGTATTTGTCAAAACATATTGTATTTACCAATGAATACCAACCATTTTTTTAGATTGTGTGGCTCTACAACCCGACAGATGTCTTCACCACGTGGCGTTTACTTCGTGGTAATACCACATCACCAAATACAGTCATACGCTGCCTTCAATACTTTGCTGAAGTTCCGCCAGTTGATAAATTGGGTGTACCGTTTGCTTTCATGCCCACAGAGATGATAGACTATGAGGTAAATACTAAATGGTATTACAAAATAATCTATAGTCATATACAAAGCTAGAGAGTTTGTTTGTTTGAACGCGCTAATCTCAGGAACGTAGTTACTAGTTACGGGTCTGAAGTGAAAAATTATTTTTGTGTTGGTTAGAGCATTTATTGAGGAAGGCTATAAAACATCGCCATGCACTAATACAAGCAAAGACATAGAAAATTTAAAAAAAAAATTGGGAAACTTATTCATCATTATGGATTTCCAAGGCGGACGCTGCAAAAACGATATCCAAAAAATATTTTTGAAAGATTTCTCTTTAAATTATCTAAAAAATGTCCACGACGCTATATGTATATATATATATTTTAAGATTAACTTGCAAGAACGACGGAAAGGGACGCGACCGACGTCGTGGGTAAAAGCTTAAGTTTATAAAGGCTTAAGTTTGTAAAGCTTGCAAAAACGAACTTGGATGCCCAAAATAACGATTCTCGCGGACGAATTCGCTGCAACAGCTAGTCATAAACAAAGTTAAAATTTACGGACCGCTGAAATTAGAAATATAAGAAATGATTTAGGTACTCAACTTGTTATTGTTAGTTAGTAAAAAATGACACTAAATATTATCGCTTGGACAGGATTGTGGTATTAAAGTAATAGAAAAAAATTGAAATGCTTTCTAGTCGCATAGTATACAGTTTTATATTTTAGATGACTTTCTACTGTTCGTTTGGATACGAGATTGTGAAGATACTGGTAAAAGGGCAAGGCGGTCTACCGAACAGTATTGAAACAAGATTAGATATACCTAGCTATGTAGAGCAAAGGATTCGAAATGCGTACACCGAAAATGTCGTAAGTGTATTTTGAGTTCTAACTATACTTATAAAATATGATCCTTTATAATGCAAACATAGCTTTGTGCCTCTTTTATTTGTTGACTTAAAATAAAACGTAAAATATATAATAGGATACCCATTAAAGCGTTGAACTCGATTATACTTCAGATGACAAATTGCGCAGGCGCCGATCTGGTCCGTGTTCTATATCTTTATATAAACACTTCTATGATAGTCGTTTTTCAATAGATATAAGAGTAGATTCCATTAATTATTGTAGATTCTATTAATATATATGATGTTATAGCCATTTCCAATGCGTTGTCGGGTTGAGAAAAATAAGTCTAAAGATAAATTGTTTATCCACCTCCAATCCCGAGCCAAAAGGTCGACAGCGCATCTTGTCAAGATGTCATATGGCTGGGGTATTTCACCTGTCATCGGGTGAACCCAGAGCTTGTGTAGCCTCTTCTATCTTAGAAGCAAATTTTCCGTTTTAAATTGTTGATGTATTTTTATCCGATAGGTGTATTTATCGAAGGACCACATAACTATACCTGTTATGCCGACACATTCACTTTCTAGGGATGTTATAGCTATAAACAATGATACAGAACATGTGCTTCGGATTTATTTGGATGCCGTGAGTAGTGTTTCAAATAAGTTTAACTAATATATCGCGTTTTAAATCGTTAAATTGTTTTATTTACCAGTAGCTTTACTACTCGCGTAAACTATTGACAGTATTTAAGGAATAATGATTTAAGATAGTGTAAATACTTCAAATGTATATATAAGTATATATATATAAAAATATAAACTTTTCCTGAAACGTATACATATCTAAGTATCCATTTCACAGATCCGTTCTTTTAACGGGCAAGTAATTGAACCTGTGCCCTGCCCGACCGAAACAATTTTATATTTCCCTGGGATTCGAACCCAGGATCTCCAGGACCAGGACCTTAACGCAATGCTAGGCAATACGTTTAACCATTTGGCTACAGAGGCGGTCATTAGAAGTATACATAACATTAATTATTGTAACTATACATCTGATTTTTTCCGGCTGTATGTTCGTCCCCATCGGATGCAATATGTTTTAATGCCCAAAGATCCCAATTAGTTTATGTACTAAAATTTCTAATATTCCTGGTATCTATACTTATATTATAAAGCTGAAGAGTGTGTTTGTTTGAACGCTCACCTCAAGAACTACTTATTCAAATTGATAAATTCATTTTGTGTTGGAGCATTTACATTTACCGTGGCTTTAAGCTATAAAGCATCACGATGCGACGTTATAAAGACTTAAGAACTGTATATATTTAATAACAAGATATTAAATTATATACATATAGCATTCGGAGGAAATAATATGTCAAAGATGTTATAGCTTTAAATTCTTCAAACATGTGCAGAGAGAGAATAGCCAACATAGTAAACATAGTGATGACGCCATGGTGGGGAGTTCTACAGCCCAAAACGACAGAGTGGATTACTATGACGGTGTACACACTGCAGGAACCATCGACATTTACGTAAGAAAATTTAGATACTCAATATATTTACATCCAAATGTTACATAAGTCTACATTTGTAGTAGATATCATTGACTCCTTGTGGGGCATGGGGCGAACACATATGAGTCCGTTGATCAGACTACTCTTTGATAACAATGAATCCGTTTCCCCAGGATTTAAACCCAGGAATCTCAATGCTAAACGATGTGTTTGGTTATTATTCTACAGAGGTGATTGTTTTTAATGTTGTGTTAATTAACAGGCAAAAACGACCCTTAATATTAATAAAAGATGTAAGAACGGCGGAAGACATTGTAAACTTAAATACTGTCTAGTCGGGCCAAAATCATTTTCAAATAAGTCTAACTAATATATCGCCGCTTTTAAACCGTTAAAGTGTTTTATTTAGACATTGTAAACTTTATAATTTAGTCGGGCCGAAGTAATTATACAGTGCCTTCAAAATATTAAATTTTTCATTGTAAACTTTTTCAAAGACTACCTTTTATAGCACAACTATATCATGTGAAATATTGGACTTGACCGAGCGAAGGCGTTACCAGCGAAATGAACTTCTGAGACGAAATAAAACCGAAAAATGCTTTCAAGAATTCATTATAACGGAAGAGGGCATGTTTCATCCAGTTAGTTTTTTAGCATTCTAATCCTTGCTATTGTTTATGTGGGTAGTTAGAGATTTCGTGCTTTTAAGGCCAAACGTGTGGATTGTTTTTAATATACATTACCTGGTTTTGTTGGGCCTGGATAACTAAGAAACTTGTAATGACGTCCCGGTTCCTGTTGAATTACCTCTATTATTAAAACTTTTTAAATTTGGTTAAATGAGATTTGAATTCTAAGACTTTTTCAACATTCAACTATAACTAACCACTAGACAAATTGATCGTGTTGTAACGCTCTGTAAATAATACAACTATAATTTTAAACCTGTTTAATTAGAAAGCTGGGTTTTTGGAAACCACCTAATAATTGGGACATATGTCTTAGTCCCTCGAGATCCCAATTAACCAAGTATCAGGTTTGTATATGTCATCTATGGTCCAGAGTGTACAATTCTATTAATAATAGTGACGCCCCCTACCGGAATACCCTCATTCTTTGTTTGTACCAGTAGTATTTTGCCGAATATCCAAATAGGAGGGGAGTCGCATCTTGTTGGCAGATGTCCATGGCTAGGGTATTTTACCTTCCATCAAGTGACCCCATGCTGTCTGTCCTCCTCTATCAGACAAAACAGAAGGTTCGTTATGAAACCCTTAACTAACTCAGTCTATAATATATATTTGACATTTTAGGGAATAAACGATTCTCCTCCTTTCGTTTTGGATTTGAAGAAGCCGCAACCATCGTACCTAGCGTTATCAATATCAGTGTGTTCTAAAGGACAACGTGATGGCTATCCGAAAATGCTGATGAGGCAAATGTGGGAACAGGTATGTTTTTATAAAAGAATCTTAGGTTCAAAGCATATGACATTGAACCTCCATACTTAAGCGTTGCAGGCACATTGCGCGAGTACATCTATTATTGGTTTTGGATAATCGGTAATCCACACACTGAGACCGAAGCGCGATTAAACTGGAGGCTTTTTCATCTTTGGACCGTGACCCGGGTAGAATTTCATAAATTTCCTCCTACCTAATATCCAGACTCCGTCTAGACATCTGGATCACTACGATATCTGGATATCACAATGTTATTATTAGATAACGAGTACGTTAAAAATAAAATAAATTTATATAAATAAATTCATGTTTTTTTACCGTAATATTATTATTTGTAAGACATATTAAAAAAAAACCGGACTTAATTTCTTGGCTCAGTTATGTTGCTCTTTTGTACACTCTGTAGAATCGCAACGAACAGACAGACAAAAAAACCAAAACATTTTGACGAATCTAAATATTTTTTTAAATTTTAAAGAGAATAAAGTATATTTTATATATATTTTTATATACAAGTTTGATATCTACTAACGTCTTGCCTAATGATTTAGACGCCCCCCTATGACCTACAATCGTCAGACTTCAATGACTACGGTTCGTCCGGATCTGGTTTAAGCGGGAACAACATGACAGTGGCCGATATCATTCGTATTATTGATGGGATTTTATGGTATTCCAGATCTATTTATTTTTATAACTCTTTTAAAACATGACATTGCAGCTTGATAAAGTACTAGCTATGGCTACGTTTTTTTGACAAAAGTTGTTGCCGACGACGATCCTTAGCATTATAAATCCATTCTTGCGTATTAATCAGATACTGTCTCGGACATTTTTTCGATAATTTCAAGAAGAATCATTAATTTATACATGATACTTGGTTTCTGTGTTTTCACAGCGCACGCAAAGGAAACTCTCAAATATGAATAATTTACCTGTTGCTTCCACATTGCCAAGTTTTTTCGCACCTATTCGGTCTTCCTAACTGATCTTTTATAGCTTATAGCGTTCCACAAAAAATGATATATCCAACACAAAAACAATTTTTCAATTCGAACCAGTGGTTACTGAGATTAGTGCGTGCAAACAAACTCTTCAGCTTCTTATTGCAGCTGACTGTGCAGCTAGCTTCGTACCGCTAAACACAAATTTTGTATATTTCTAGGGATGCACTGCATAGCAAAATGTTCAAGTACCATTTGCAATATTATGCCAAGGAAGACATTCCCACTTATGGACAACTTGTGAAAGTTATGGAGGGTGACGCGAAACCTATGTTGAGTAGAAGGTTAATTTCCTAAATCTATAGTTGATTTATTTTTAATAGGACAGACAATATTGGGGTTCCCTCGAAGGTAGTAGTAGAAGTATAACACCTCCACATCTGCTGTAAATCTATTTCGCCTTGGATAGTCGCAAATCCATAGACTATACCGAAACACGTTTAAAATTTAGTGCCTTCCCATGTCGTGTGAACCCAACCAAGATCTGCTTTAGTAATTTCTTATACTATAATAATTCTATCTGTGTTGTAGCGTTAGTAGCCCTACTCGCCATCATTGCTTGTAATACTATTTCCTTCTTCTTCCTTTTCAGGGTCACATCTGGTATATGCGACGCCATTGTCAATAAAGCAATCTTTCATGTTTACAATTTGAACTCCAAGCGTGAAATGACCATACTGGAAGCAGAGTAACTTTTAAATAAAATAGTGTTTTTAACAGCGAAACCGTGACCATCTCAGTTGAAAAGCATTAACGAAACACGACATCATAATTGAGAATAAATAACTAATAAATTTTGCATTTTAAACTGTTAAGAGTGTCTTATTGAATGATTTATAGTTACCGAGGGCATAATCGATTCTTTTATTCAACGATGTTATAAGAGTTTTATTTAATCAAGAAATTAATATTTTATGGCCGTTCGTTACGAATAACACGGAGGAGGTAACTATCCATGAAGTATCATATTTTCTTTAGTATATTATGCGAACAACTATTTCTAAATTTCATGTATGTAATTTGTTATGATAGGAACTTATAAAGATATGCAAGTTAAAACAATTTTACCCGTTTAATACGAGAAATATATAACTTAACTTCGTCCACTCGTCACAAGGGCTGCTGCAAAGCATTCTATACGTTGGGCCGTAGTTACAATAAATTTAAAATTAAGTGAACGAATATATTTCGCGTTAAAACCGTTATTTTATTACAGTGTGGTCTACAGCCGTAAACTACAGACTTATATGGATATAATAATTCTTTCGATGATTTCATTAATCAGATCGCATATAATGATTAATCAGTACAAAAATATCACAGTACAAATAAATAATACTTATTCGAGCACTCTATCTAGTTTCAACTGCAGTTTCTTTGGCTTTGGTTGTGTTGATGACGGTGACGGCCACCCTGTCACCCAGCTTGGGTGTCTGGTTGCCACCCAGGTTGCTCCTGTGAATGAGACCGTTGTCGCCCACGCCGCAGTCCACAAAACAACCGAATGGCACCACGTTTCTTACCACACCTAGAAGAAGAACGTGTTTCAGTTTATGTATTTTATATAAAATTTAAGAAGATATTTTTTATGTTCTTCAGATAACTATTAATAACATTTTCATCCATTCACATCTATATTCTATGATAGAGTAAGCATTGGGTTTACTTAAGTATTATCGGTAGTTTATAAAGGAGTACAAATTTAATTAAAATACCTTTTAACGGTTTAATATGCAATATTTTAGTTAAACTATTATTCACTTTAACTACGACCCCGACGTCTTGAACACTTTGCAGTAGCCGTGGTCACGGGGGCACTAATGGTGGCGTTTATCCCTTGTGTCAATTGTCAAAGTCAAATCTGCTACGCTAGCGCCATTTGTTTCCTCGTGATTGGTATTTGGAGGAACTGACTCACGTTGTCCTTTCGTTTTTCGGTGTGCTTTTTTTGGGTATTTTTATATAGTGTATGATATCACGAGCATTAAAAGCATCAAAGACGTCGGGCCATATTTAAAATAAAAACTAATAGATTTCGCGTTTTAAAACGTTTATAGTGTTTTATTATATATGTTTACTCTCATAATCTAAACACAAGGCAGAGTTTGTTGGTTTTACCTTAAAACCTAATCACAGTTTTTTTGTGTTATACTCTTTATTAAAACATTAAATTTGTACTAAAATAAACAAGACATAATACCAGACGATAATACAATAAAATAATACATATCAAAAATATTTGCAATAAGGCTTTAAGGACTTTGGTATTTGTATTAAGAATGGCACCTGGATTTAAAAACATAAAGGTGATTTTGTCGCTATACAATGCTCTGGTTCGGAGTCATTTGGAATGCTGTGAGCTATCTGGAGCCCACACGAGGCAAAGTATAGCTTAATGTTAGAGCGTGTGCAAAATAAATTTACTCGATACATCTACTTGAGACTATATAGAGTATACCCTTTTTATCCTCTTATGTACCCGAGCTTATATGTACTAGGGATGCTAGGTTATGCTCAGTTAAGGGTAGACGCGAGTTGGCGCTAGCCACATATTTATTTAAGGTGCTTCGGGGCAAGCTACAGCACGCTGAAATACTACAAAGGCTGTGCCTCAGCGTTCCGGGAGGCGATATGCCACGAAGAAAAGCAACACTGCTAGTACTCGCGCACGCGCACACTAATCTGTTAAAGTATGCACTAGGTAAGCCCTTACTATTGAATGAGGTGGCAATAAAAACTGATTTATTTTGTTGCACGTTGGCCGAGTTTGCAAGGTAAGCATTATGGATAATCTCATTTGAAACTCGATAGGTAAATACTATTTGATAATTTTAAAAGATAATAATCTTCAGAGTTAGTTTTAATTGTCTATTTTATTGGTTCTCAGTCATTTTCAATGTAATAAGATTTTCATAAGCTGTAAAGATGAAAATATAAATTAAATGAAATAAATAAATACTTAGTGAATCTTGACGTGATTATATACCTCCATATTTAACTCTTTTTTTAAGAGAGAAACATTTTAAAATAATATCCAAAGCCGTATCTTTTTTAGATGTTATATATATCACTGGGATATTTCCCCTACTATCGAGTGCACCCTATGTCCCAAAAATACCTGTCAACTTTGTCCCCGCAATAATTTGTTCGCTGGTCTGCACAGAGATGGAATAAACCGGTCTACAAAACGTAATAATATTATCCTCATAGCTCTTCTGTTTGAACGCCGTCAATATCAGCTCTAGAGTACTGACATCTGTGTCCAGGTCTTTGGTAAGCGACGTTAAGTCAATGTTCACACATCTTCGTTCCACCTGTTCGGGGAACTCGGGCCTTGTCAAATGCTTTATTTCCACGCCGATTTTTTTCGCGAATCTGAAATAGAAAAGGCAGATTTTAACTAAAGTATTGTCAAAGTAACTGTTTTAACGGTTTGATATGCGATATTTTAGTTACATTACGTTTCTTTTGAATAGACGTTTAATAAATATAAACCTAAGTATTTAGGCGAGTAGCATACATTTCAATAAAACACCTCTAACGGTTTAAAACGCGAAATATTAACTATAACCTGATTTCTCGGATGGATGTGGCTGATTTTTTTTTTAAAGTAATATAAATCGCCTTTTATACCTTTAAAAAATGTTTTTAAAAACTTTTTTACTTTTCAATTTAGATAATATATTAAACTCACAATTCGGCAACACCATAGCTCTCTGGATGTATGATAGTGCTGTCAAGGGGCTCTGGTCCTCCCACTATCTTCAAAAACCCGACACACTGCTGATAGGTAATTTTCCCTATACCGGACACCTTTAGAATTTCTGCTCGAGTTCTGAACCCGCCACTGTCTTCTCGGTATGAGATAATCTTCTTAGCCCTGCCATCGTTAAGGCCTGCGATTCGTCTGTAGGATAAACATGGAACTCTTTTTATGACAGAGAATGAATGAATAGGCAGTGAAATTCTCTAATTAACGTTTAATTACGATGTGCATACGATCTATTATGGCTTGGCCTGCTCAACATTTGAAAAGATCACATCAACATCAGTTTGTCTCTCTCGCTTCTCTTTCTATATAGTCCGATGGGTCTCGAGAATGGTATTTAATTCAATAAATATGAAATTTTTTTGTAAGTAAGTCAAAGACATACTGTCTATAGTTCACGCGAGTAGTACACATTTAAATAAAACACTTTAACGGTTTAAAACGCGATACATTAGTTAAACTTCGGAGTTAGAGAAACGTCGGACCGAAGTTAAAAATAATTTTCAAATAAGTTTAACTAATATATCGCGTTTTAAACCGTTAAAGTGTTTTATTTAAAAGTCAACGACATATAAACGTGTCTGCATTTTGTGTATCTTATAAATGGTAACGAATAGTATCAAAACCCAAAAAGAACTCACCGAAGCATAGCCTGAGATGCAGTATTAATGTCCACGCCCACCAAACTGACAACCTTCTCCACTGCACCACTTAGAGCTGACTCCAGCATTTTTGGAGGAATGTCGTGTTGATATAGGCCGACGCCTAGATTTTTTGGATCCACCTTAAATTGGAAATTACAGAATCAAGTTTTTAAAATTAAAAATCGATTATAAATAGAAAAAATTACGACAAGGGCCGGACTTGAACCGGTATTTACAGCGTGCTGTCGTTCTAAACAATTGAGCTATTGCAGTTTAAAATTGATTTTTAATTTATATAGTGCCATCATGTGCAAAGGACGTGTGAAAAATATGAAACTTAGCTTAGTTTTTTTATAAAACCCTTTTTTATGAGTGACTTCCTTTCAACAAGGAGTGTTCCTGGGATGTGAACTTAGGGCTCATACCGTTAAACATGTTGGGCCAATAAGTAACAGAGGCGGTTTAATTAAACCAAACTAGTTTAGCTCATAGAAGTCTCTTTCCATTTTAATAAGAAGACTATCAAAATGTTTGTGTAGTATTCATTTACAAGTGTTTACCTTTATTAGTTCCCCTAAAGGATCCAGAACACGTCGGGCTATAGACAAAGCTGATATGAGATTAGGGTCCATATTTGGGTGTTCCTGGAAACATTAATCATAGGTAACGAATCGTGGGCTCCATTTCCAAAATGTTTCTAAAATATATATTTATTCTGAAACATGTCAACTCTTGTCTAGAGATTTTCAAAATTCCGTCTACAGATTAAAAGGGCGTGAAGTGTAATCGCGTCTGTAGATTTCTGAATGCTCAAAACATTAAGAAAAACCCTAAGAACACAAATATTGTGTTTAAATAAAACACTTTAACGGTTTAAAACGCGATATATTAGTTAAACTTATTTGAAAATGATTTTTACGGAAACGTCGGCCCGACGTTTCGGATGCTTTGCATGAGCTGTTACAACTAATATATCGCGTTTAGAACCGTTAAAGTGTTTTATTTAAATGTGTACTACTCGCGTAAATTATAGACAATATTTACAAATATTGTGTAGTTTAAGCTAGCGCATTTAAATAAAAGTTTTAACGATTTAATACACAGATCATATTCCCGTGGTAGCGGCTCCTGCAAAGCATCCGAACCGTCGAGTAAGGTTAGATCAAAAAAAGTTCATAGATTTCGCGTTTTAAACCGTTCAATATTTCATTTAAATTTGTGATTCATACTACCGGGGTCTCCGGTGACCACAGCTGTTGAAAAGCGTCCGAAATGTCGGGCAGTAGTTAAAAAATATATATTGCGTTTTAAACCAACTCACGTTTATGTACTCGCTTATGATTACTTAGCCCTTGAAGATCGAATTAAATGTACAGATGAACTATTTCTCATATCTTATTATAGTAAAGCTATATCACCTTTTGCGCTTCCTTGCTTACAGAATAGATTGAAGCTCCTTGTTCCGGTACTATGATGATGGGAATGTCATCAGATAGATGGTGAAACTTCAACCAGCTCTCTGTTTCACGGCACGCCGTACCATTGCCAAGTCCAATGAGGTCTACCCTGAAACAATTACTCATATTAATTGAGTAACTTACTAATATTTAACCACTTATCGATTGCCATCGATATATAAGAAACTTCCCATTAGTCATAACTGGGACTTCCGGGTTGCTTAACAATGAGGGAAGGACTGCGGCAAATGGACTGTCTGTCCGCTGGCGAAGTGTGGCGGCATTTTTTTTCCCTTTTTTTCTTCCCCCCCCCCCTAATGATACACGGGTAGCAGATTATCATGATATCATATTGGGTGTATCACAGTGTTTTCCAAAACGGTACGAGAGACAGCATATGCATAGAGGGGGGGAACCGGGGGCAATTTTTACCAGCAGCTTAACAGTTGATGACAACATTAATTCTTTTGGGGTAAAAATCCGTGGTGACATCATTGTTTTCTTTACCTTGATTACTATTACATCACAATATTATATACCATTTATAAGATGTTGATTTGTATATCTTTTCTTTAAAGAATTCTAGTGAGTGCAATTTACTCACTAAAACTATACTACAGTCAATTCCACAGTACTTAATCGCGAGCACCGCTATTACTAATATTATAAATGCGAAAGCCTCAAAATATTGCCTCCCCCCTCACCCCCGACCCTTATTCTGTCACTTTTCTCTATTAAGACAAAGTTCTCGCATACACATTTTTCATGAACACCTGTAAATAGAACATACCGATGTTTTTCCAATAACTCTTGCAACTGCTTGGCTGCTGGGTCACTATTGTTATAATTTTTGAGGTTGGGGTGGATCGTGCAGGCTTGCAATTTCGCTCCATTCACATCAATTATGCCAACCTGATGATAAATATCTGGTTTTTCTTGAGAGCATAGGACAGATAGTCGAACCAGAACCCTTTACGTTTCATGGCATACAATTAAAATCTAAGCCACAGACAATTTTATAAATAGTTCTAAGGTTAGATTAGGTTGACGCTTCTGTCCCCCCAAATTCCCGGCCTTGGGGAGGGGGTGGGGGGGGGGGGGCCCGCGGGGCGCGCGGGGGGGGGGGGGCCGGCCGGGGGGGGGGGGGGGGGCGGGGGGCCGCCCCCCCCCCCCCCCCCCGGGCGGCCCTGGCGGGGGGGGGGGTGGGTGGGTTGGGGGGGGGGGGGGCGGCCCGCCCCCCCCCCCCCCCCCCCCCCCCCTGGGGGGGGGGGGGGGGGGGGGGGGGGGGAGGGGGTTTTTAAAAAAAAAAACGCCTCTGTAGCCTAATGGTAAAACGTATTGCCTGCATTGCGTTAAGCGCGACAGGTCTTGGGTTCTAATCCCGGGGAAACAATTGTGTCGGTCGGGCAGGGCACACAACTCTAAACTACTTGCCTGTTAAAGAACCGATGAGTGAAACGGATACAAAAATGTGTTCGCTTCATGCCCCACGAGGGGGAAACGGGATTTCACACACAAGAAGTTAGGTTAGGAAAAAAAAACCTATTTCAAAGTTCAAGTTACATTGAGCTAACGAAACATCAATTAGGATAAGATGCTTATTGTAAATCACACATTTTTTACGATAGAGGAGAGACAAGCATGGTGTAACCCCAATACTCCAGCCACATCTAAGCAAGACGCGCTGTCGACCTATTTTGACTTTGGATATTCGGAAATCCACAGACACAAACCGAAACGCGATTAAACTTGACGGCTTATTTCATTTATGGTCTTTCGACGACTCCGACGAGAACACGATTTTCCTAGGCTCAAACATAGGTCTATAATGGTTGAAGCTATTTTACCATTTAACACGCTACCTTACACCCAGCTTTAAACCCTGGATCCAGGCCGGCAATCCGTCTGTTCTTTATCGGTTCAGTCAGTAGATATTTCTCCAAGTTTGCTGTAAATGTCTTGATAGCTTCTTTCTCCGCTGCAGCTGTGAGTTCAGAACGGACCTGTCTCGAAAGCCATGGCTTAATCAGTCTTGTGTAGGCGTCCTGTAGGCCTTTGCGCACCCATTGATTACTTTTCCATAATGATAAGCAAAATCTGTGTAAAAGTTGTAAGCGTTTTAAGTCAGTCAATAAGGCCACATTTTTTTAATGACAGAGGAAAACAGATTTGGGGTTCACTTGATAGAAGGTTACACCCAGCCATATAACATCTAAGCAAGATGTGCTGTCGATCTATTTTGGGTTGAGATCTGGACTTACACAAACAGGTGCCAAAGGAACAATTCACGGTTTATATATGTATCGATAGATGGCGCTTATGTAATTAAAATATTATGCATAGTTTACTGGAAAGGAGTGTAATGAGACTCTGTAGGGGATTTAGGCTAATTATTAATATAAAAGGTAAGGCTTATGTACAGAAATGGTGAAGGCGAATACGCAAGCAAATGTATAAATAGTTTATATGCAACTACGTTCCCAAATACAAAAGAATATGCTTACTAAATGGAGTGGCTACAATTTACACACCTTTAAAAACATAAAATAAGTAGAGATGCGCCGAGTAACGAGTTTTACTCGGCTCAATTTTTTTTTCAATCAAATTCACATTTCACGCGCATTTTGTCTCATTGCAACTCTTTCATTTGCATAGTTTTGATTTTCTTAAATGAAATTTTCTCTTTGATTAACAATGTTGTTTTCATAATATCTACCTTAATATATAGCTTTCTTTAATCACGTATAGTCATTATCAAAGAACCGAATTATCTGGCCGAGTAAGAGTATCAAAAACCCGCCGAGTACGGCCCATTTAATTATGCTGACGGTTGCTCTGGCGCCGAGTGTAGACCAATGTCACTGGCGAGAATTTGCTGATGGTATTCTGAAGGATTTAGAACCGACATCTTATATATAGAAATAAGCTACTAAATTTACCTTTCAAGCTTATTATAAAACCAATCAGGCACAACCACTTTCACAGATAGTATCTTTTCATCCTCCCCTCTATTTATGGCTAAGGTCTGGTAACTTTTAACGAAATGCAGTGGACACTTCCAGTCAAAATAAAGCTTGTATGTCTCCGGATCTGATTTTGTATCATATTTTTTTTTCAGCTCCTCCTTGACCTTAGTAGAACTCTTGCTTCTGCTACTTTGTAATATAAATTTTGTCTCTTCTCTTCTGTAAAATAGTTAACAATCATTATAAATAAAATACCAAAAAATACAATTATATATTTCTTATAAACAGTTCAAGTGCCTGTGTGAGGAATAGTGCCCCCTTAATAAACAAAAATCCTTTAGGACATATTATATCATTTTAGTATTGGGTTTAATGCAGTAACAGAAAAACATTCATGTAATTTCAATTGTCTAACTATAACCGCCTCTGTAGCTAAATGGTTAAATGTGTTGTCTAGCATTGTGTTAAACGCAAGAGGTCCTGGGTTCGAATCCCGGGGAAACAGTAAATTGTTTCGGTCGGGTAGGGCACAGAAGTTTGATCAACTACTTGCCTGTAAATAAAACCGATCAGTAAAACGGACACAGAAATGTGTTCACCCTATGCCCCACGAGGAGAAACGGGATTTCACATTTAACTATCATATTTCTACAGTCACAATACAGCCTGGTAATAGCCAGACAAGAGCCATTTTGTTCACATACATTACTGGGTCTTGCAAGTTTCAATTAATAAGCAAAATTACATAATCTCACAAAAATAGTTTAACCAATAAAAACACATACAAACTTCTCATTTGTTCCAACACTCGAGTGTCCTTATAAATAATATCAGCTACTATATGAGTAATGTGGGATTCTACTTTTTCTGGACTAGATAATTCTTCACTCCCATCACATAGCGTCTCCAGACTTAGATATCCCCCATTCAATGCATTAATAGCGTGTGGTTCTAAGCCTAATGATTTTGCTCGTTCCGCAAGAGACAGTGAGTGTGATTTGAGTGGTGCATACTGTAATTTTACATAGTCATTAATAACAGACTTATCTATGTAATCACATATAAACTTTTTTAAGAACAGTAACACTTGACAAATCTTTCATCTGTGTCAGACTTGGTGAGAATGGACATTTTGATTTTTAGCAATAGATAGCTCCCATTAGTACATCTAGACCCTCAAAAGATGACATCTAAAAAATATGATCATGCCTTTGAGAGAAGAAAATCTCTTACCACTAAATCGAGTTCAGACAGATTTCTAGCATTTAAAATACTCTTCTCGACTTCTGGTGTAAGTTTCTTGGACTTTTTCAGTGTTTCTAATACAGATTTAACTTTCTTTTTAAACTGGGCTATGTTTTGGTAGCTTTCATATATTTCTTGAAGTCTGTAATCAAAATATTGTTCTAGCACAATCTTGCATTTTACTGTTTCTTACTATTCTAATAGTGTAGCCTAATACAGTCAGTAATATTTCATAGTATAAGATCTAACTATAGTATTTTAGCTAGTGGGCACATTTTTGGTAGCAGTACATATTTTGTAGATACTATGTTTAGAGAATAACTGTATTATATTTTAAGTAAGTTTTTATTTTGTATTTAAAATCGAAAATAAATGCGAGATCATTAAAATTATTCTAAAATGAGCTAACAGATTTCTAGACTAAGAGTCTTTGAGTAAAGTATATCAGTTTAAGTAAATCATCATATTTTAACTGACCTGTCAGGCAATAAATGATCCACAGCTTCTTTACGGTACCTTGCTATGAAAGGTAAGGTGCAGCCTTCGTTTAGTAAATTTATAAATTGCGTAGCTAAATGTGATGGTACTTTTTCTGCACATGAAAGCATCTGTGCTTCATTCCACAAATTATCACTGTGCTCAGAAGTGCACTCATCTGGTAAACAAACGTCATTTTCACAATTCTCTTCTGGTATCTTCTTTACTCGTTTTTTTACAATTTTCGTCGTTTTAACTTCTGTCTTACAAACCCTTTCAGTTTTATCACCCTTTTTGATGACCTTCTTAGGAGTGTTACTGGACGCCTCTGTGGCTTTTCTTTTTCTAGAAGCAGGTTTTGATTTCTCCATTTTTTTTTTCGTCGTTACAATGAACAATTAATAGTAACTGTAATAAATAATAACTCCTTCCCATTGAAAATTCCTTCTGAGTGGCGGGAATAACAAAATATTATTGTTATGATGTCACTGTCAAATACGCAACATGACATATAATTAACACTTCACATGTATTTACAACTTCACACTTTTTTAAATAATATTTAATGGCCGGGTAACGAACCTTTAAGCCAAGTCCTATCTCACACCTTATAATAGAAAGTATTTTCGATAATTAAACTTTACACTTTTCTACTAATATCCATCCTGTAGTGTTTTTAATGTATTTGTTTAACGCACTATAATACTTTTTGTTTCCTAACCTTCCTAACAAAATGTCTACAGACAAAAATGACTGTTATTACAATTATTTTACCTTTACGTGATATTTTGCTTTTACATAGATATGCGAGCTTTAAACATGTAGTTTTATAGACAAATTTAAAACTTGCAAACTTCTGCTCGCAAGTTGCAATGTTTAAAACGTTGTCTTAGTGTTTAAAAAAAATGATTATGAAATGGGCATTATAGGGCATACCCATTACCAATTTTCATGAGATGTAAAAGAAACATAAATTAATGCTGTATATTTATTTTTACAATACACGCTCTTATATTTGGATCCCAATTAATGTGGTTATTGGTATTCATTGTTATTTTCTCTGTAGTCATATTGTATTTACCTGAAAAGTATCAAGAAGAAATTAGTATCTTTTATTACTATAAAATATTACTTTTTCACGTAAAATTAATCATGTTGTTTTACCTGTAACAGTCAAAAAACTGATTGAATGTTTCTTCATTTCTTATAACACAAGCTATGTAGGCACATACATTTTTATTTTTCATGAAAAAACTATTTAGTACTTTACACAATGGATCCAATATACACGGATCATAAATAATATCTGCTCCTATTATAATATCTGGATCTATACCAATGTTAACTTCCTTATTCCAGTCTAGCATAGATACTCCTAAAAAAATTTTTTTTACATTTTATTAAAGTATTTATTAATATAGCTATATAAAAATATAAATTTTATCTAATGACATTACTAATAAAATTGCATTGCACCATAAATACCTGAAATATAATTCTTTTTTCTCTAGGAAAATACAGAGAGTGTAGACCAATTAATGAACATTTTAAAAATAATAATAAAAGTAGAATAAAATTAAGTCTTGATTATAACTTACGCATCATTTTATTGTCCACTTCATATACAATCACATCATCTTTTTCATATCTTTGTGAATCAGGAAAATTGATTTCTATATTCTCTTGAATAGTATTTATAACATCTACGTGACAATCTGTGAAGTCTATTGAGGAAATATCACAGTGTTTATTAATAGTAATTCCAGTGAAACCAACCCCAGATCCTAGTTCTAATATAATTTTATTCTTAAATAAAAGTTTATTACTTAAAATCCAATCAGTTAAAAAGAGGGCAGCCTGAAACATAAATATTTGTGTCAACTTTCAAGTTAAATATTACTGTGTATATCTACTTAATTAATAATTATAATGTTAATATTAAATATTCAATTAGTTTTGTAGTTTTATACCTCCCACGTCTTCATGCCTGTTGTTCCATTGATAACCATGTTTCTTGATTCCTTAATAGTAATAATGTTTGTTAAATCCTCATCAATTACATAGTGTTTATAGCATGTACTGTCTTTTTGCTTATTATTCATAATGAAACATAAATATTCATATATGCTTTCATGAACCTCTTGCAAGGATTCGAAATATTTCAGTAGGTTCTTTAAATATAGTCTACAGAAATCATAGCTTACGGGGAATTTCTTTATCAAAGTGCTATTAATTGTTAGATTTAAGAGCTTTTCTTGTTCGGACCAGGACAAGGCCTCCACTTCAGAATCCTATAAAGTAGAACAGCCAAGTTAGATAATATAAAATAATATTCTGATAACAAAATGTTAAATGCTCCTTACTTCTAGATGAAATTGGTGGCAACCTTGATAAAATAATTTGGCCAGTTTCTGAATTAAACATTCCGATTTACTTTGGGGACCCATGATGTTTACGACTGTTCACAATAGTATGTGAATACTTAAAAATTGTAGTTACTGTAGCAAATTGTAGTTGAGTACAAAAATCGTTATTATTACAAATAATATGGTAACTTTGTAGGTTAATTTTTGTTTAAAATTTAAAACGAATATGTTTCTTGATAATGTTATTTTTAATTTGAAAGTGTCAACATTGTGTTATGACTATTGTTATTGTACAAAACTATCGGACACGGCCAGATGACAGCTGTCAGAATCGTGTTTACATAAACCGAGCAAGCAACCTAGAATTTCTATAATATTCACAACGAAGTTTCTTTTTAGGGGTTTTTGTTAGAGGGAAAAAACATCTAATGCTTTAAGAAGATGACTGCTGAATCCTCGTCCGAAACAAAAGCTAACACGGAAAATGCCCAACAAAATGATCCACCAGGAGAAGCCTGGGGTTACGATTTGTACCCCGAGAGAAGAGGTACATTTACTCCGAAACTGTCTAATATTCTATTAGGAAAAGAAGGAAAAGAGAGCATAGAAAAGTTCAAGTGCGAAAAGAATGTTTACCATTGTGTCAAAAATAGTAAGTATATAATTATGAGTACATAGTCATTACAATTAAACTAAATCAATTTAAAATATTCAGTATTGTGATTGAGCACTGAAAAGTATTTAATACAAGACTTGTTTATCTTTAAAGTCACTCTTGATAAGCAGCATTTTATATAATTATTATTGATTAATATAGATTCAGAGAATATAAACATCTTAATACATAAACCATTGTTTTTTCAGGTCCAATTGTAAAAACAATGATGGCTGCTCTTAAAAGTTCTGGTTGGTTAGTTGTATGTTATTAAACCTATTTTGTAATAAAAATAAGTTCTTTTGATATTGATTGGGTTAAATTTATGCTGTATTCTATGCTTGTCTGTCCATGTATGTATTATGGTAGAGGAAACATTGTACATTATTAAAAAAATATTTTTTACTTGTACAAATATATTCTTATTAGTATGGTAGCCACCATTATGTAGAGCAACAGTGCAGTATGATATTGGTTGTAGGTTTAATTCCTACTTATATGATATTTTTTACTCTTGAAGATTTTCATTCACATTGATTTATTATAATTTCAGCCCAATAGACATAAGAAGACACATATCATGTGAAGTATGTGATTACTCTGTTAGTGGAGGTTATGACCCACAATTGAATCAAGTAAGTTAGTCTGAGTCTGAGCCTTGGGGAAACGGATTGTATAAACAATAAAAAACACTTTGTGTTTTAGAGTCTTCTATATAAATATCTATGTACCTTTTACCATCTCTAATTCTGCATGTTAAATTAATTATATAATATCTATTTTCAGATTGTAGTATGCCAGAATGTATCAACCAGAAAAGGGATGGTACAAGGTGTACTGACTCATGAGATGATCCACATGTTTGATTTCTGTCGGAATCAATTGGACTTTAAGAACATGGAACACTTAGCGTGCACTGAGATACGTGCGGCCAACTTAACTCATTGTTCATTTGTCAGTGCTTGGTCACAAGGTGATGCTTCTTGGGTGAAGGTGAAAAAGGCGCACGAGGTATGTATGGGAGCATGGTGGGAAATGTTTGTGTTCTATAAATAACTTTTGTGTCTTGTGTTAAGTAGTTGATCAAATTTCACTGTCTTGCCAGGATTGGAACCAAGGATCACCTGATATTGAACCATTGATTTATGGTGGTGATCAAGTTCCATTTATTTTTAAAATGATACTTTAATATTTTAATGTCTTTCTGAGTAAATGATGTTTAAAGGAGGTTTTATCAAATATAATAATTATATCTGTTTAAATTTTTCCTTTCTTTCAGGATTGCGTTAAAACAAAGGCTCTTTACTCAGTGCTTGCTGTTAGACAAATTGGCAAACTAGAAGCCGTTGATATTATAGAAAAAGTGTTCCCTAAATGTTATAATGATTTGGAACCGATCGGACGTCGTATAAGGCGAAACTCGGAGGATGTTTTCCGAGTTCAAAGAGATGCATCTTATTATGGATATATGTAGTAATCCCATTTCCCGTTGTTCCACATACATGGGTATTTATTAAGAAAATCATGTAGATATAATTAAGTAGTCTGTAGGAACGCAATAAAAACATCTATCAATTTAAATAATGTCTTTTATTTCGAACTATATTTACAATTTATAAGTTTAAATGTAAGGTATTTATTGTTTCTGTCGTCAATAAAATTCTAATAGCCTTGTACTTTAGTGTAAAGTATTTGTGCTTATTGAAAAAACTGTTGCGAATATAGGCTGTCAAAATTGTGATAGTCAATATTTTTACTATATAGACATATAGTCTGTGGTTTGGTTTCAGTTACTTATTTCTAGCCTGTGGTTTTAAATGTTGATTGCTTGGTATTCATCACCACTTCATGTATAATTATTACCTTAAAATGGTGTTACTTATTAGAATAGGTTATATATTTGGACGGTAGTTATACTATTTTACTATAAATTAATAATTTAACTACCTTCATTTGAAATACTTAGACACTATAGATGTTACTTCGTTAAATATAGTAAGTTTTTGGTGCTTATTATAATATACTGCGAATTAACATTGCAACTGCGTAGTTATATTACCGTGTTTAATTTACAGGCGTGAATAACTGACAAACAAACGTAACGCTCCACCTACTTGTAGATATATAATGTGATTTATTATAGTAGTGATTAGGTGTAAAATATTATTGGGCAATGGAGAACTAAAAAAGTGTCTTTATTAAATATTATTATAATCTATTTCATTACACTTACGGAAATAAATGTTAAAACTCTCTTAAATATAATTAAAACTTAACTGTACAATTTCATAATGAATAATTTTATGGACGTATTTCAAGATTGGTACCATGTACCGGTTATAAATATCGTCATTAAGTATTTGGACAGTTTTTACAACTTGAGGCACTTCTCACAATGTTGATATGCATTATAAACATATAATATAAGTAACAACTTAGTTCCTAAATTGTAGGTCACCCGTGGTGCGCGCTGTGCATCGCTCGGTGGGCCTCGCTGAGGTAGGTGGTCCAGTAGATCACCGTGAAGAGTATGAAGCACATGGGGAACACGAAGAGGGCGTATCTGTCTAGTGCCCCGTGCTGGGCACCACAAAACATGACACCTTTGTCGGTGAACGAGCAAACCCGCGCCCAAAACCCACTTGCAACCCCAGACGACGCCATAGCCTCCAAAATGGGTGAATCCTAAAAAGATAAGTTCAATTTTAATGCGATATTGACATGCAACAACTATACAATAATTTTTATATTCTCATATACAATTAGCGATTCTAATCAGACATAAGGCACCATCGATACCTCCAAAGATAAACGACCTGCCAAAATACGTGTGCTCAAGCTGTTGTGCTACCAATTTTAACAGCTTCTCTAACATTAAACACCTAATCAATCATACAAAACTTGTACTATCAATACCTATCTACAATTTACGATAGCGTCCACCAGGTGTACTACGGTTATTCGTGAACTGCTGTAAGGATAATGTAGAGCCGTGTTTAGCAAAAATACCAATTCACACTGTGCGGGGTTGTGAGCACTTTTACCTTACTTACGGGTCTCGTCTCACATCCAACCTTATTCCCACGCCAACTTCTTCTTTCCGAAGAGGTGGACTAGAAATTTCGTTCAATTTACTACTGATTCTTCCAATTATTTCCCACTCAGATTACTAAAAATCGGGCTTGTATGTAGGAGCTGTTGCAGACCAACAGAAGCAATTACAGTTAGAGGACATCCACATTAAAACAACATCAATTTGGGTAGTCAGACTTGGTAAGTGGGGGGGTGCTTTGTGACCGTCACCTAAAGAGGGGGTGTTCTATGGTTTCTACACTGAATGAAGCTTATTCGAGTAAAATATTTACCCTCTGAATAGTCTGATGAGAGAACTGTTGTTTGAGGCCCTCGTCTTCGACACTTAGTTGGGGTGAGAAGACGCCGCCTTGGGGTGTACCAGTCACGGGGGTACTTAACCTCTGCGAAGTTTATACGTTTAAGAAACCTTTATATCTAGAAATTAAAAGACCTATAGGTCGACAGTCAGGGTCTGAGATGTTGGGACTGAAACCCTTGGAAGTGCTTCTCTGTGGAAATCTACAATATTTCTGCTAAAGCTTACTAGTATAAGCTAGGCTATCCTAAGATTTACTCTGTAGAAAAAAAATGTGCTAATTATAATGAGTACTTTATTAGTTCGTACTTGTGAATGGTTCATGTGTAAGGGCGGTGCTAATTGTGCTGCAGAAGCAGCACGGCGCAGGTCCTGCCGTCGCTTGCTCCAACTTTTATCATATCGGATCCCGAAGAGGACCACAAAGTATTCCAAGAGGGCAAGGAATACAAAGAGAGTGCATGAGATCAGCCAGACTTCGATGCATTTTAATTCTAGTGCATCTGGCGAGTTCGTACTGAAAAAAACAAAGGTATTGCAAAAAAAACTTCATGCCATCACACATCATGATTTGAAAATCTATATACATAGATGGAAAAAGGTGCCCCCAGATCCAGTGATCCGTGCTGCTGCTCTAACCAATTGAGTTACCAAATTAGCAGCACGGGGCGCTGTGGACAATTCAAGCTCCGCTCGTGCCGTCAATTTTTTATCTATATAGATTCTTAATTTATAAAATAAATTGTAAATATACAAGTTAGAAAGAGCAATGAAGTTTTTTTTAAAGATCCTTGTTACTTATTATAAGAGATATAAGCAGAAATATGGAAAATCTTAGCAGTTATATAATTTGTAGGACTCACTCACCTCACAGTATCAAACATGGTGACGAGAGATAATAGTGTAGTAACCAATAGTACCATACGACCTGGCACTATTTCCGGTATCACGCAGAAACTACCCCATGATATGATTACAAACAGCGATGAGGGTAGATAGCTTTCGAGCAGGTAGCCTCGGAGTTCCCTTGACAGTTTGATTTGCAGCCGCGCAGCTGAATGTTCACCTGTCAGCGAAATAAATTAGATCTAGGCGTTCTAGTGTATGTCATGAGCGTAGATAGTCTAGAATTATAAATAATTCTTGACTTCTGCTAAAAACTAAGAATGCTAAAATACTACGCCCTTTTTTACACAAGCATACCCCAACAATAGCATGCGGCTTATCTACCTTCTGGCTACGACCAAACTACCTACATATAGACAATAACGAACTTATAAACAAAAATCACATAAGAGTAGCATTTTTACTATTGCTGTATAACTTAAATAATATAAGTTAGGTACATGATTTCATTTGGTTAATTAAACACACAAAAAATAAATCTATGCATGCAAACGCAGTTATAACGTACACACAAACATTGATACATAGTAATTTACTTACAGAACCGTTACCATTTTGTTAGATGAAACGATACATTCTTATTACTAAGTGATATTATTTATTAGTAATGTTATGCATAGCTCCTTATAATGGAACATATCATCTTCATTATGTTGTTGTATGTAGTTTACGCAATAGTATATTTACATTTAAATAAAATACTTTTAACGGTATAAAAGTCGAAGTGTTGGTACCTAATCTTATTTTAATTTAAGGTAAATTTGATTTTGATATTAGGAACACCCTCCATCTTTACTCGCCCTGTGAACATTAATAATTAATCCGAATTTTTTTTTTCGGATTAAATTTTTAAATTTTTTTTTTTTCTTAAACGGTTAAAAGTGTTTTATTTAAATATACATTATTTTACGAAAGTTAAATTGTATTTTCTGGGTGGAATTATTAAGTATTTTTATTCGGTATAAAGTTTGTTGTTTGTAAACTCAAGTTTTTACTTAAACTATTATATTATGTCATTATTGTACCAGGGACGTAAATACGACTGTTCGATTTAAATATAAATATATATTTCTAAGCATATAGATAAGTAATTGTTCATATCAAAGTTTACTAGTTAGTCCTATTTAGAAGTAGCTGTACATACAAAATTTTATTTATTCTACCAAATTGCAAGAAATCTTTGTAGGCGATAAGACCGGTTTTTCAATATTTTTTAATGTAAACACGTAGATGCAGTAATTTTGTAAGATAATACATAATGCAAAGAAGTGTTATTATTTAGATAAAAACCCTTTCCAAAACACTACAAAGAATATTAGTTATCAAAATAGCTTTATTGCTTAACGCAAAAAATAATAGCTTTGGTTAAGTTACTAGCCCATACAATACATGTACTGATTGTAATATCTCACCCAGAACAGACATTTTTATTACAGACATATTTGTTTACTGACTTACTTATCCCATAGAGATTTCCTTAAGTGAGAATCGTGAAGCAAATAAAAACTTAATATTTTTAAGTAAATGATAGATAAGTAAATGTGCCCGAATTATTTTGTCTAAAATATTTTTATCTAAAACTTTACCTAAGTCGTGTGTGATCTACTAAATAGCGTTTAAATAAAATGAACCAGTAAAACGGATACAGACATGTATTCGCTCCATTCCCCACAGCGGATAATGGGATTACACAAAAGATATGCACTTGAAAATAGTCATAAGTTGGTTTCCCGCCTGAGATGGTAAATGCGAACTGTCACAAGTGCACACTTGTAGCGTACTGTTTCTATGTAAGTACTTCCATGTCTTTAATACCGCCAGTCCGTGAAGATCGAAGGGCGAACGGCGACGCGAATGTTCGCGCGACTTTTTCGTTCTCGCTTGCTCCGTACTTATTCATGCTATTGTTTAGCTTTTAGCTATAAATTTGTTTCAATTGGTAGCCGCGTCGCTAGTCGTGTCGCTAATCGCGTCGCCATTCGCTTCGCCAAGTGTTTCATGGTCAGGTTAGTTGTAGGTCCGAGCTTCGCGTCGCATACAAGAAGCACCGCGAATGCATAAACGTTGCGTAGCGTTAGTGATGACAGACTTATGTAGACTAGAAAACGCTTTAATTATATTCAATAACGTACAGAAACTACTCGTTACTTTCCGTAGTAATTTTGATTGTAGCTTTTAATTCCAAACACTGTTTGGTGTACTTACTTTCGTTAGAAATTTTTTAAAGTTTTTAAATTACGTTTAAGATAATTTTGAGTAATCTCTGAGTAGTGCACATTTTCATAAAACCCTTTAACGTTCACTTAAATTTTTATTAATTATGTTTAAAACCCAACATTAGGATGCTTTATATTACTTTTTGTAAGATATTTACACCGTCTCCAGTAGCCGCGAACACAGGGCATACGTTATTTTTTTATTTATTTTAGACATTTCATAAAAGAATGTAAACATTCACTTATCATTAATCAACTTACACTATAACGGAGGTAGTTAGGCATATCTTGGTCTTAGAATCGACTTCCGCGCTAAGGCGCCCCCCCGAACACAAAAAAATTAAGAAAATAAGACAGATAAGCAGTACTGGTGCATTAGCTGACATTCACATAATTTTTGTATGTTTTATATATCGCGTTTTAAACCGCAACGTTTTTTAAAGATTATTTAGATAAAGATTCTACTTCAAACAGCGTCGTCTAGTCCACACTTGTCTGTGGTGATGACAATACGAGGCGCAAACAGAAGCGCGAAGCCATAAGTTTACATTTACCTTCACCAAAATTTCGAATATGATTACTTTTGTCCGTGACGAAGGTCACCACGTACTTCGGGAGACGGAACTCGTGACGCTGCTCACCAGCGATCCCGAACCATGGCGCCACCTCCCTCCACTCGAAGCGGACGTCCTCTGTCGTGTATTTATCTGTAAATGTGTCTGAATTCAAATTAAATTCCTGACCACATACGTACACAAAAAACGAATAACAATGTAAAAAACGCTTTTTTGGGTTTGTGATTACGTCACTTGCTTAAGCAGTGCTAAACACCACCATGCTTCCTACTGTTAAAACTGTTCTATTCTCTGCATTAATAAATAAATAAATTTGTAACTAATCTTGTTAAATACTGTCTATAGTTTACGCGAGCAGTACAAATTATTTATACTGCTCGCGTAATAAAACACTTTAACTATTTAAAACACGATATATTTTAGTTAAAACTTGTTTGGGAATTATTTTTAGACTAGTTTCACCAAATACCAACTTCGACGATACAGACTAGCGTAGCAATTTTTACTTTGACGCCAGAGACATCCTCCATCTTTAGTCTCCCCGTGACCACGGCTGCTACAAAGCATCCGAAACATCGGGCCGTAGTTAAAAATAATTCTCAAACAAGTTTTAACTAAAATATATCGCGTTTTAAACCGTTAAAGTGTTTTATTTAAACTAATCTTGTTACTTTAATCATTGTTAAGTAAATGCTAAAAATTACATGTAGATTCTACATCATTTAATCGATACACACCAATGGCTAATATAAAGGTCGTGACGTCACTAGCCATATTGCGGCGTTACTTCGCATAATTAGCCTTTAGGCGCGCAATTTAAATGTTGGATTTATAATTTGTTATATTTTGGCAAATATGCATCAGAATTAAAAAATACTATGTATTCATTAACATATATCAAATAATACAAAGCCCATTTTTAAAATCAGACAAATAGCCCATTTCAATAGACAACACGATCTTAGTAAAAATAATATCAGCTACTGTTTTTCCAGTTACTCAAACATGTCCTAATACTCTTAAGAAAGTTCTCACAGTGTTTATCTATACTAATAATATAAAACCTAACGCCGTTATATCTAATTAGTTCGGTCGAGAAGGGCACAAATTATATTTTTGTGTCCTGCTTGACCGAAAATTGTGTCTTGATGTCTGCACTATTTATACTACATTTAATATAATATTGTTGTACATACAGCTACTGAAGTCTATAGCGCAGTTTTGCACATCTAACGGATAGAGTACGAAGTCCATCTCACACTTTATCGTTATTGTAGCACTGAAATAAAAAAAACTATAAGTATACAATATGTCAACATAGCTCAAGACTCTAGTCTGAGACTCAAGAGTCTAATAGTAGTATGGCTAATAATCAACGGGTCGTGGGTGCGATCGCCACTGCGTCGGACATGTTTCTGATCAATTTATTATTTTTCTGAAACATGTCCACAGATGAAAAAGGCTGTTAAGTTTAATCGCGTTTCAGTTTCAGTCTGTGGAAAGCGCATCTTGTAATGTTATATGGCTGGGGTATATAATCAAGTGAAACCTGGCTGTCCACCTCTCCAACATTTTTTTTAAATATCGAAAAGGGCAGACAGCCTTGGCATTCACTTGGTCGGAGGTGAAATTTTGGCTTAAAACGATTCTCATTCTTATTTCCTTAACGATAAAAGTTATTATAAATAAACGAACCCAATACTGACTGACACGGTGCGGTTGGCATAAAGCCGCAACGAAGCCATTTCCTGCAGCACAGACAATATCCTCATGGTCTGAAGTTGCCATATGTACAGGTCCGGGGTCCAGATCAACTGCCTGAACTCCCAGGGTAAGTCTATGAAGGGCATACCAGGTGGTACGTTTAGCCTCATCTCTTCCCACGAAACTTGGAGGAATACATCTAGTGTTATTTCCTGAAGAGGCAAAAAATAAGAAATAACTTTACAGTAGTAATAGACGCCCCCTACGTGTTGCCTACAATTGAGGCCAGAGTAGCCTAACTGCAATTTTATGACTTGAGTTATATTTTTATAGTCTAAAAATGTTAATCAACAAAAGCATAGTGACCGAAATTGTTAACATAATTCTTACACAAATAATCGTTACAATTAATTTAAGTTAATTGAGCATTTTTATTTTCCTATTTATTGAAAATTATGTTTTTTGTCCCTGGCCTCTCAGGCCACTCTGCCTCTAGCAGCTTCAAGCCTCAAAGCACGAGGTCCAGGGATCGAATTTAAAAAGCTATAAATTAATTATTATCTGTACTTTATTCAACTACTATACACTTACATTAAACCCTTTTTTAAGTTTTAAAACGTAAAATAATACTTAAATTGGAACTAAGCTAACCAAAATATTTAACGTTTTAAACCGTTACAGGTGTTTTAATTAAACCACTTATTGTTTCGGTCGTGCAGGTCAAATTAGTTGAAGTATTAATTATAATTAAGAACTTGCATCATACTAATATTGATCCCTGTTTTTTATTTTAAAAATATTTTTGGATGATATGAAAAGTAACCTAGAAAATAAAATAAATTACCTCTCTGTTCTCGTCAACACCAGAAACTCTGTTCACGTTTATTCCTATATACACTGTAGTGTTTTTGCCTGAAAAAAAAACAATCCTCTTTTCAATCAATTAACTAGAAGACACTACAATTTATGTGCTTGTTATGGCGGCATTTTTTAATTTTTTATTGCATTATTATTTTGCTGTATTCGTGCTTAAGCGGAGTGTCTTCCGTCTATTGTCGTTGACTTTGTCTAAATCCCGTCCCTCCAGGCCATAAAATATTAATTAAAAAAAAAACAACCTATGTATTGTCTGTGTCCCTGGCTTACTGTTTACGTAAATTAATTTTAAGGAATTTTATTAATTAAATATAAAATTGTGGTTTATACGAGGTGGATTTTAAGTTAGTGTCAAAAGTTTAATCCATGTGTGTATCAAATTGTTTTTAGTGTAAATCAATGTGAACTTTGTGAGAAAAGTTTTTATGTGAATTGTGTGTTTGTTTAGTGAAAATGACAAAATTATCATTATGTTATGGTGGTAGTTGTTAAATCATCACAACAGCTTGGCCACTATTCATTCTATGCGAGAGAAAACCTGGGCCCAGCCGTGGGAGAGAAATAAACGTATACCTATTTTGATTTCTGTTATACCATTCGTGTAAACAAAAGACACGCTACAGCTTGTTTTCAGCAAAAACATTGCTATCTGTCTCATTGAAAAGCTATAAACTGTTGCATAGGTTGTGGGAATTATCAAGTTTATTGCGGATAGCGGAGATATCACCAATACTCGCCGTGTTTCACTTACAGTAACAGCTAACTGATTCAGTTATGTTTAAATAATCAATACTACAACCATAATTGTTATGCAGTATTTTCTTCATCTTTGTTTGTGGCATTTAGGAGGGTTCCGCTTTGTAACGTAACGCGTTACAGCGACCGTCTGTTACTCTGACGTATACTTAATTAAATGGATTCATACATAACTTTTAATAGCAATACAGGTCTATGTAGATAATCTTTTAATTTGGGTACCGCTTCGTAACGTAACGCGTTACTGTGACCGTCCTTTACTCTGACTTATGTCGTTTCCGAGACGCATACTTTATTAAAAGGATTCATCCATAATGTTTAATGGCAATACAAGTATCTTTTAATTTGGGCAAACCGCTTCGTAACGTAACGCATTGTGGCGATCGTCTTTTACTCTGACTTTGGTTCCAAGATGTACACTTAATTAAAAGGATGCATTCATATTGTAATGGCAATACAGGTAGGTATATTTTAATTTTGGTAAACCGCTTCATGAAGTAAACGCGTAACGTCCGCCAGTCTATCATTGTGTACATACTCTATTATAGCACGTTAAATGGCATAAACACTGAAATAATTTTGGAAGGGAAACTTTGATCATATTTTGTTAACGTAAATAAAATTAACATTATTTCAATTCATAAAGAAGCAAGTCAGTTTTGTATATCTTGATGGAGGGTAATAAGCAAAATACCTCAGACGCCTTTTTTGTCTTCACGGCTTTTTTCATCTGTGGACGTTGAGTCATCACTCAGACGGTATTCCAATATTCCTACCACGAATTTAATATCCGAATTCACTCGAAGTCCAAAATCTTTCAGGATCGAATCCCGGACCCGTTAATAAAAAGCCGGTCATAAAGTGAAAATCCAAGACATTAGGAGACTATTTTATATATTGTCTATAGTTTACGCGAGTAGTACACATTTAAATAAAACACTAACGGTTTAAAACGCGATATATATTAGTTAAACTACTATTTTATTAAATGATATCTCTTGAATCATTATTATTTCTACATTATGTATTAGATTAAAATTATTACTTTATTTTTTATTATTTACTTACTTTATTTATTTTTTATAAAGATTATTTACCATTTTTGTTTGCGTCGGTATATTTTACGTAATAAATTTTGTAGAGCAGCATAACGCTGTTGTCGTGGGTTCTAGCCCCGCCTGTATCATACTTTAGTGTTAATCCAGGAAGACTATAATTTGGTCGCATAAAAAACTGTAGCATATATGTCCATGATGTCAAAATTACACTCGTGAATTGTGACTCGGCGTTAGTCTTAATGACTATGCATTATGAGCGTCCAGTATTTTGCCGTCTAACGTCCGGCACTAAGTGGTTACCGGTTATCCTTATCATCAGGGTGTGATCTGCGAAAATTAAAATCGCTAAAAATAGAAGGGCTTGTCTAGCTGACAGCACATAACCGCTACCGGTTTCCACATGCCAAACTCTGTCAAGTATTGTCTGTAGTTTACGCGAGTAGTACAAATTTCAATAAAACGATTTTAACAGTTTAAAACTCGAAATGTGTTAGAGACACTTGTTTAGATCCAATCGTGATCAAAGCGAAGTATCCGAAACGTTAATAAATTGTTAATAAATTTAACTTAACTAATACATGCGTTTTAAACGATAATTCAAATATCTCATATATTTCATTTATGTTGTGTATGTGAAACACATTTTTGTATCCGTTTTATTTACGGGCAGCCCAAAACTTTTGCCTTTTTTTTCCAAGGTTTGAACTTAGATGTACACAAGTGTCGCGTCTAGCACACCACATTTAACCATTTAGCTACTAGCGGTCGGGTAATAAGGGTACGGAACCCTAGAAACTACACTATCTTTTGTTTGAAAATTTATATTTGTGAAATGTATACCTATTATTTACTCAATGTAACCAATTATTTACTCTGGCTGTGCCTGCGACCTCGTTCGCTTGGAATAGTTATTTTGGCCATCATATAATTTATTTTTGCAAACAACCTCCTCACATTTATACTACGTCGTGGGTACATTGCTGTTACCCACGACGTCGTCGCGTCCCGTTTCTCGCGAGTTAATCTTAAACAGTAGACATGTTTCTACTGACATTTTTTAGATTGTTAAAGAGGAATCATTATTTCATATATATTTTTTATTTTTATTGAATGAACATTTTTCCGCATTGCCCTCTGGCTTTTTGTTCCTATCCGCCGCGATTTATAGCCTTTTTCTAAAAATGGTCTAGTTGGACACAAAAATATTCTTTCAATTCGAACCAGTAGTTCCTGAAATTTGCGCGTTCAAACAAACAAACTCTTCAGCTTTATACATTAGTATAGATTACAGACATGGCAGTTGTTGAATGAGTTAGTCAGGCGTCTTATTATAAGTCTCCCTTTATTTTAACCGTTACTATCTTATCAATTACAATTCGCGTTTTGTTGCAAAGAATAACAAACTACAGTGCTACATTGTAAAAGGTAACAATCGTTTTAGAATTGAAAACAGCGTCCCATTATGTAATTTCTTCTTATGAATATAACGTGTTCCCTATATTACGCTTACAAAGTCGTTAAACAAAACAATACTGAGAACATCTAAGTAAAACACTAAGTGACATAATAGTTTAAAATGCTTGATACAAAACATATTAGTTAACGTGTTCAAAACACTATAGTAAATCTACGCTGATACTATACAATTTCTTCAAATAGTGAATTCATCAATGCACTTTTAACGGTTTGAAACGCGAATATATTAACTTATTTACAATTTATTCAACTATACGCTGACGACGCAGATTTTTTACGGCCGTGGGCACGGTGAACTTTCGCGTTTTAAACCGTTAAAGGTGTTTTATTTAATTGTATACTACTTGCATAAATAATAAACAGCGAGTGGCGTAGGATACATAGACAGGAAGACATGGAACTGCGTTAGCGCGAAGGTTTGAATACCGGGGTAACATAAGAATTATATTAGATGAATACGCCCGGCAAAGGTAAGAAACTAAATCTAAGTTTATCGCTTGCTATTGATTGATGGTTGATATATTTAATTGTGGCGTCGTAACGCGTTACGCAACAAAGCGGGTTATCTCAATAAGGAACAATACGTAACTTTAGATTATAACTTGGTAACAAATAGGCCATTCAAAAGTTTTATCTTTTTTTCAATTTACCTAAAAAGTGATAAAAATGCTTACCAGGCGGAATGTTTCTGCTGTAGTTGGTAGGAAGCTGATACGCATATTGGTCCATGTAGAGTATCTGGCTGAAAAAAAGTAATAATATTTAAATAAAACACTTTTACCGGTTCAAAAAGCGGAATATATTTTAAAGCTCTAATAAGTTTTAAGCTGCTTATAATTTATTTCAATAAAGACAAGAAGAGTAGGAGAATCATAAGATTTCTTAAAAAAACCACTGCGGGGCATGGGGCAAACACATTTTTGTGTCAGTTTCACTGATAGTTTTATATTTAAAAACAAGTATTTAACTCGACTTCTATCTGACAGAAATTATTATGTTTTTTTTCTCTGGGATTCGAAGCCCGGACTTATCATGCTTAAAGCCATGTTTATAAATTAGAACATTGTATGCATTTACACCATTTAAACGCTATTTGTATACATTATATTTCCGCTATCAACTATAAAATACTGCCTCTAACTTAGAAACCCAACAGCGTTGTTTTATTTATCTATTATTAAATATTGCTCATAATTTTAAACCTCAAACAATCTCAAGATAAGATAGCTGTAATAAAGATGTGATTTCATGTGAAGTTGATCTCAGTTAATGTGTTTGTGGTTAAGAAATTTGTGGTTATATCCTTAATCTGTACTTGTGTAGGGATTGTGTTTGTAATGTAGGTCTTTAGGTGAGGTATTATCAAATAATTGTTGGAATACTAGCCACAACATACATAACATTTCTAACGTAACATTTACTAACTAAAAAAAATACACAATATTAGGTACACCAAGTAAGTCGTCTAGAGTAAGAGAGTTTTGCTTACTGTTTAAATGCCTTTTATAAACAAAGTTCTTAGACCTCTATCGACCCTAATTTGTTATTATTAAACGATCTAAACCCATAATAAACATATAATAATCACATGTAACTATTGCATGAGGTTGAAGGGCACGAGTTATAAACCGTTATTTTGATCTTTAGATTATCAAACGCTTGAGCGGATCGCAAACCTAAAATATGTCCATATAAATAAATAATAAAATATATTCACAATTTTTTAACTATGGCACGAGGTTTGAGGTTACCATGAGTTTTAAACCGTTAAAAAAGTTTTGATCTTTCATATATTCTTTAATTGCTATGGGGTACAGACCTCGGAGTTAGTCGTCTGACAGCTTCCGTCATTTGACTAGAAAGTCAAAAAGGTCGACAGCACATCTTGTTTAGATGTTACATGGCTAGGGTACTTCATCTACCATCAAGAGAACTCCCATACTTGACTGTCCTCCGTTATCATAAAAAACATATTGACTTTTTTCTTCTTTTATTTATTTTTGGCTCTTATATTAAACCTTTTGTTTCAAATACAAGACTTTCTTGTTAGGGGGTAGGTGCACAGTACTTGTTTAGCCAATCAGTCACTACTAAATAAACAATGGGCGACTCTTTGTCGTAATTTTTAACGACCGAGTGTTCATAAGAACGATATTTATCGTACAATTGCCTATGACAATCACTAGAAAATGCATAATTTGCTAGTTCGAAAAACATAATTTTAGTTGAAAATCAATATTTTTTTATACATATTGAAGAATCGAACCCGGGTCTTTATAGATTTATAGATAGAATGTTTTTAACGGAATAATGCTGGTGTATTGAGTGTTTCAAATTGGAGTTGGATTGCAGCGGATTTACCATTTGAAATATGAAGAAATAAATTATTATATACAAACATGTTTGAAGTGTTTATTCAATATTAAATAAATAAGAAAGGAAAATAATAATACAAATTGTGATATTCAATATTAAAGTATTGAGATACCAAAATAAAGTACGTAGAAATAGTAAAAATTTGAAGAAAGTATTTACTTCTTCGAATTCTTCTAAATAGATTATAAAAAAATGTATGTGAGTCATTAAAAATTGTCATAGTGCTTACTTCCAGGTAAAACCAAAGTTGAGTTGTGTACCTCCATATAAATCTTGTATTTGTGTTTTTTTGTCGTGCAAGCTATAAATAATATACCTAGTAATTATATAATATATATTATAAATAATATAGTTATATATTGTTTAGCATTCGAAACGCTGGGCTGTTTTTAGTTAAATAATATATAACTTGAATAAGATCGTTTTTTTTTACTAATAATAGGAATACTCTCATAAAAAAAGATGGTTCAACACTGTTGATATTATAACAGTGTTGCATTGCACAGTAATCTATACTAATATGCATTAATATTATAAGATTGTATGGAAATTTGTGGTTTTTGAAGCTAAAACAATGAAACTTTCTTCTTTGGCTTTTTGGGAATAGGAGTGGGAGTGGGAGTGGGAGTGAGTGTAGGAATGAGAGTGGGAGTTAGAGTAGGAGTGTTGCGGCAAAGTAGCACTTACCACATGGATTAGCTGCCTTGAATGCGCCCTTTTATAAATAAATAAACAGCCTAAATAATTAAAAATTCTATCCAAAGTCACTATCCCACGCGACGAAGTAGCGGGCACAGCTAGTGTATGATATATTTGGCACACAAATATATCCTGCCTTTACAGATGAAATCAAGTTTGAGTGACTCTAACTACAAAACTAAGCACTACCGCGAACATCAAAGCAATAATAAACAATACAAAAACTGTATAAAAACTAAATTTTGATGATTATTTTGATTATAATTACTTTCAACAATTAAGTTATTTAGAGTAGTTGCTATTTCGTTCAAATACCCCGGGAAAATATAAACGATTTTGTGTAAAAATATAATCACTTCAATAGTTTGTCGTATGTGATTCACGTATTGTAATATTTTGTTTAAGCTGACGTGTCGAATGTCTTGCGTGGCAAGCATTAAAATTTTGAGCTCATTCAAAATGTATGCAAGTGCATTAACTTGAAATTAACCTTCAGAATTAAGTGGGAGCGATTTCATGTAGAAACGGTAATTATTGCGGAGGGAAATCGCATGTCTTAAACTTGACACGGCAGAATGTACAGGCCCTGATGGTTTTCAAAGCATTGATTAAGCCATACTAATATTGTAACGAATGAAGAGTTTAATAAATTGCGAATTGTAAGAATTATCCATCATGTGTGGACGGCATTATCTCCTGATGATGCCGTCCGCACATGATGGCGAAACGTCGAGAACCTCTTCTCGCTCACGTCGGCCGAACAGCCCGAAGGACAATGATATGCTGAGGGCTTTTGTGACGCGCTAATCTCAGGAACTACTTTGTTAGATGAACTATATTTTGAGGAAGGCTTAAGGCTACAAAATATTAGGCTGCGACCAATAGGAGCGAAGATTAAGGAAAAAACGATTTAAGATTCCCTTTTATAAATAATCTAAAAAAATAACAACACGGTATACTTATATCTATTTTTTAAGATTAACTTGCAAGAATGACGGGTCACGGACATTTTTTAAATCATTTAAAGAGAAATCATTGTATTTTTTTTTTTTGGTATCTGAATCGTTTACAAGGGTGAATGATTTTCCCCGTTTTTTTTTTTCACATTCTCCACTGTTTCTTCGCTCCTATATCACGCACCAGAACTTTCCGAGATTAGCGCATTCAAACAAACAAACTCTTCAGCTTTTACATAGACTATAGAGTATATATAGGAGCGGGGAGAGGAGGATATTGGTCAGCCATTGACCGGTGGCAACATAAAATAATAAATTTCTGGACTCAGTGCTATTTAAACACAATTAATCGGGCATTTAATATTTTTATTTATATAATTTTCTTGCTAATGTTATAGTATATTTGTTGGGCAATAGGCGAGTTTTATTGAAGCGTATAATTTACGACTCTCAGCTGGTCATTAACTACTCGTAAACGTATCTAAAACGCGGTAAATTTATCCAGTTCGGTCTTGGTAGAATTATAAGGCAGATACAATATGTAACAGATTATAATTAAATAACTATAATCTGTAGTGATTTATAAGATTATGACAGGTTACATCTGATGGTAACTACCTACGAATTATTTATTGTCTGTAGTTAACGGAAGTGGTGCGTACACTTCAACGGTTTAAAACGCGAAACATCCCACTGCTACAAAGCATTCGATTAGTAAGGTCGTAGTTAAAAATATATCGACTATGTTTCACGTTAAAGACCCATAAAAGTGTTTATTTCTTAAATAAGATTTCTAGGAAACAGTACTAGTACATAATTATTTCGTATTTTTCTAGGAAATTTGTAATACCCGTTTCCCCCTGTGGAGCATGGGGCCAACACATTTCTGTGTCCGTTTGTTTGATTGGTTCTTTTACAGTAACTGCATTTCGCGACCATAACAATCTGTTTCCCTGGGATTCGAACCCAGGAGCTATCGCGCTTAACGCAATGCTAACACATTCAGTCATTCGAATATTGAGATTCCTTACTTTCTTTTTCATTAACTCTAAAAAGTGTCACAATTAAAATTTGTTATTAAATTTGTTACCTGTTTAAGCTATTTTAATAATACAATTTTAAGGGGTTTAAAACGATATATTAGTCAGTCTCTGACCACGGCTGCTGCAAAGCCGAAATCGGGCCGAAGTTAAAAATCATTTTCAAATAAGTTTAACTAATATATCGCGTTTTAAACTTAAAGTTTTTATTTAATTGTATCGCGTAAACTATGCAGTATGTTTAAGCTAGCCTTAGAAAACATGAGAATCCCTATTAATAATTCTACGGTTATTAATGTGGTAACGGACCACCGGAGAAGCCCAACTCTTGCATCTTTATTAACCCCATAAGTAGACCTTGGCACTGATGTTATGGGGTAAACACCATCGGATGCAGTATGGCTTCTAACTAGATATTAATACTCTTAAGAGTACAACGTACGTAATTATGTGGGCGTATTAGAATAATGCTATAACGACCTAACGTTAGCGAGAGTTACGGACACATGTTTATGTCTGCTTCGAAATTGTCACAAGCTATAAAATAGGTCGATAACACTTTTTTGCTAGGCTGGGTATTTCACCTTGTCTGTTGATTATGGAAGTAGTACTCATTTACAACACCTTTAACGGTTTAAAACGCGAAATATTAACGATCGTGTAACAACTGA